GCAGCTGTTTCAGCTGGCATCCCTTAGCCCTCCTGTACCCCTCTCTGGCAGTGATGGCACGCTCGTCAAGCGTCCTTGCCGGCGGCCTGCTGGGCGCCGCTTCTCTTGGCGGCCTGGCCTTCCTGGCACCTGGCCAGAGCCGACCAGAGCTCGAGGTGCAGACTCAGGTGGCTGCTCAGGCTCCAGGCTTCCTGGCGTCCTCCTCCTCCTCCAGCAGCAGCAGCGCCGCACAGGGCGTGACCGGTGCCTTGGCCGTGGCTGGCCTGAGCGTCGCTGCTGTGCGAGGCGCATCGGCCGCGTCCCGCCAGAAGGGCATCAAGCCTCGGGCTGCCAAGAGCGTGGTCGCGTGCCGGTCCCTGGCCAAGCTGAAGATTGACGAGGTGGACTTGAAGGACAAGCGCATCTTCATCCGTGTGGACTTCAACGTGCCCCAGGACAAGAAGGACCCGGACCCGAACGGGCGTGAATTCTCTGGGCACCTGTGAGCCTGTCAGGGACTAGGCCTTTCATGTATGGAACAAGTATATTGCACACTCCAATCAGGACCCCAACGTATAAGCTGTTAAGGTGTGGGCCAACTAGGTGTGTAGGATGAGCCAGACTCATGATATTGTTGATCGTGATGAAGTTGGTGAGGACCCGAACATCATCACCAACACTGCCCGCATCGATGCGGCCCTGCCCACCATCAAGTACGCCCTGGACAACGGTGCGAAGTCTGTGGTGCTCTGCTCGCACCTGGGCCGCCCCAACGGCCAGAAGGACGAGAAGTTCTCCATGAAGCCGGTGGCAAAGGTGGTCGAGGAGAAGCTGGGAAGGCCCGTGAAGCTGATGGACGATGTGGTTGGTGAGGATGTGGAGGCTGCCTGCAAGGATCCTGAGCCGGGCACCGTGATCCTGTTGGAGAACTCCCGGTACTATGTCGAGGAGGAGGGCAAGGGCAAGGATGCTGATGGCAACAAGGTGAAGGCGGATCCTGAGAAGGTGAAGGAGTTCCGCGCCTCCCTTGCCAAACTGGCTGACATCTACTGCTCCTTGGGGCTGGTTTACGTAATTTCACGTAGTTCTACGCAACTTTTTCGTAGGTTGTTGCTGCAAGCATCCTGCGGACATAAGACCAGACGAATAGTCAGGCTCGGATGCCTTCGGCACGGCGCACCGCGCCCACAGCTCCATGGTCGGAGAGGGCTATCCCGTGAAATGCTCCGGCTTCCTGCTGGCCAAGGAGCTCGATTACTTCGCGAAGGCCGGGTCTGTACCGCCGCACAGGAAACTTTATTTTTCGGTCATTCAGGTCACGTCAGGATGAGTCCCTGCTCAGGTGGTGGATGCCCCGACCCGGCCAGTGTGCGGCATCCTCGGTGGAGCCAAGGTGGCAGACAAGATCCAGCTGATCATGAACCTGCTTGACAAGGTTGACATCATGATCATTGGAGGAGGAATGGCCTTCACCTTCATCAAGGAGGCCGGTGTGGACATTGGCAACTCCCTCTATGACGAGGAGGGCGCCAAGCTGGTACCAGAGATTAGGAAGAAGGCAGAGGAGAAGGGCGTTGAGCTCATCCTGCCTGTGGACTTCATTTGTTCCTCCAAGTTCGGTGACGATGGAGAGATCAAGGAGGGCGACATGAGCACAGGCGTTCCGGACGGCTTCTTGGGTCTCGACATTGGCCCCAAGTCCATCGAGATGAACGACGAGGCCAGTGACCTTGGTGAAGAATGCAAACTCACATGAAGGATCATGAGCCATCAGTGCGATGACGACTCAACATCGCCACGCTTAATGCGCTAGCGGCCAGCCTCGGTATCTTCTGAGTAGTATCTGAGTAGTACCTGTAACTTGTAGTACAACGTTTAGCTCATGCAATCTTCACACTTCAATTCTCTCAAGCTACCAACCAGGCCATCAAGAAGTCCAAGACCATCGTCTGGAACGGGCCCATGGGTGTCTTCGAGATGGGGGCCGCTCGTTTTTGTTTTGCAGTGTGTTCCTGTCCGCCTTATCTCCACCTTGTCTCCCCTTACCCAAGCACCCCGGACTGCAAATTCTTGCAAGGCCTTCGAGAAGGGAACCAAGCAGATGATGGAGACCATCGTGGCAGTCACAAAGGAGGGTGCCGTCTCCGTGATCGGCGGAGGCGACACCGCCACTGCCTGCAAGAAGTACGACACCGTTGACAAGGTCTCCCACTGCAGCACCGGCGGCGGTGCGTCCCTGGAGCTGCTCGAGGGCAAGCTGCTGCCCGGCGTGGCCGCGCTGGATGACTCCAAGGAGCTGGCAGATGCCTAAATGTTTTGTGTGGTGCTTGTTGTTTTTCCCGGGTTTTGGCCCACTTGCAGAAGGTCTCTTGCGATTTTCACTAGCGCAAAGGGGACTTTCCGAGAGCACTTGTGGGATTTAGCCAATTTTCAGCGACCAAGATGACAAATCCCTCGCTGCTGGACAATTGCAAGGGTGATTGCAAGGGTGATTGCAAGGTGCGACATGAAACCAGAACCTCAGAGTCAGCATGTGCTTAGCTCGAGACAGCCTTTTCTGCAGCTGTTTCAGCTGGCATCCCTTAGCCCTCCTGTACCCCCTCTCTCTGGCAGTGATGGCACGCTCGTCAAGCGTCCTTGCCGGCGGCCTGCTGGGCGCCGCTTCTCTTGGCGGCCTGGCCTTCCTGGCACCTGGCCAGAGCCGACCAGAGCTCGAGGTGCAGACTCAGGTGGCTGCTCAGGCTCCAGGCTTCCTGGCGTCTTCCTCCTCCTCCAGCAGCAGCGCCGCACAGGGCGTGACCGGTGCCTTGGCCGTGGCTGGCCTGAGCGTCGCTGCTGTGCGAGGCGCATCGGCCGCGTCCCGCCAGAAGGGCATCAAGCCTCGGGCTGCCAAGAGCGTGGTCGCGTGCCGGTCCCTGGCCAAGCTGAAGATTGACGAGGTGGACTTGAAGGACAAGCGCATCTTCATCCGTGTGGACTTCAACGTGCCCCAGGACAAGAAGGACCCGGACCCGAACGGGCGTGAATTCTCTGGGCACCTGTGAGCCTGTGAGGGACTAGGCCTTTCATGTATGGAACCTGTATATTGCACACTCCAATCAGGACCCCAACGTATAAGCTGTTAAGGTGTGGGCCAACTAGGTGTGTAGGATGAGCCAGACTCATGATATTGTTGATGGTGATGAAGTTGGTGAGGACCCGAACATCATCACCAACACTGCCCGCATCGATGCGGCCCTGCCCACCATCAAGTACGCCCTGGACAACGGTGCGAAGTCCGTGGTGCTCTGCTCGCACCTGGGCCGCCCCAACGGCCAGAAGGACGAGAAGTTCTCCATGAAGCCGGTGGCAAAGGTGGTCGAGGAGAAGCTGGGAAGGCCCGTGAAGCTGATGGACGATGTGGTTGGTGAGGATGTGGAGGCTGCCTGCAAGGATCCTGAGCCGGGCACCGTGATCCTGTTGGAGAACTCCCGGTACTATGTCGAGGAGGAGGGCAAGGGCAAGGATGCTGATGGCAACAAGGTGAAGGCGGATCCTGAGAAGGTGAAGGAGTTCCGCGCCTCCCTTGCCAAACTGGCTGACATCTACTGCTCCTTGGGGCTGGTTTACGTAATTTCACGTAGTTCTACGCAATTTTTACGTATGTTGTTGCTGCAAGCATCCTGCGGACATAAGACCAGACGAATAGTCAGGCTCGGATGCCTTCGGCACGGCGCACCGCGCCCACAGCTCCATGGTCGGAGAGGGCTATCCCGTGAAATGCTCCGGCTTCCTGCTGGCCAAGGAGCTCGATTACTTCGCGAAGGCCGGGTCTGTACCGCCGCACAGGAAACTTTATTTTTCGGTCATTCAGGTCACGTCAGGATGAGTCCCTGCTCAGGTGGTGGATGCCCCGACCCGGCCAGTGTGCGGCATCCTCGGTGGAGCCAAGGTGGCAGACAAGATCCAGCTGATCATGAACCTGCTTGACAAGGTTGACATCATGATCATTGGAGGAGGAATGGCCTTCACCTTCATCAAGGAGGCCGGTGTGGACATTGGCAACTCCCTCTATGACGAGGAGGGCGCCAAGCTGGTACCAGAGATTAGGAAGAAGGCAGAGGAGAAGGGCGTTGAGCTCATCCTGCCTGTGGACTTCATTTGTTCCTCCAAGTTCGGTGACGATGGAGAGATCAAGGAGGGCGACATGAGCACAGGCGTTCCGGACGGCTTCTTGGGTCTCGACATTGGCCCCAAGTCCATCGAGATGAACGACGAGGCCAGTGACCTTGGTGAAGAATGCAAACTCACATGAAGGATCATGAGCCATCAGTGCGATGACGACTCAACATCGCCACGCTTAATGCGCTAGCGGCCAGCCTCGGTATCTTCTGAGTAGTATCTGAGTAGTATCTGTAACTTGTAGTACAACGTTTAGCTCATGCAATCTTCACACTTCAATTCTCTCAAGCTACCAACCAGGCCATCAAGAAGTCCAAGACCATCGTCTGGAACGGGCCCATGGGTGTCTTCGAGATGGGGGCCGCTCGTTTTTGTTTTGCAGTGTGTTCCTGTCCGCCTTATCTCCACCTTGTCTCCCCTTACCCAAGCACCCCGGACTGCACATTCTTGCAAGGCCTTCGAGAAGGGAACCAAGCAGATGATGGAGACCATCGTGGCAGTCACAAAGGAGGGTGCCGTCTCCGTGATCGGCGGAGGCGACACCGCCACTGCCTGCAAGAAGTACGACACCGTTGACAAGGTCTCCCACTGCAGCACCGGCGGCGGTGCGTCCCTGGAGCTGCTCGAGGGCAAGCTGCTGCCCGGCGTGGCCGCGCTGGATGACTCCAAGGAGCTGGCAGATGCCTAAATGTTTTGTGTGGTGCTTGTTGTTTTTCCCGGGTTTTGGCCCACTTGCAGAAGGTCTCTTGCGATTTTCACTAGCGCAAAGGGGACTTTCCGAGAGCACTTGTGGGATTTAGCCAATTTTCAGCGACCAAGATGACAAATCCCTCGCTGCTGGACAATTGCAAGGGTGATTGCAAGGGTGATTGCAAGGTGCGACATGAAACCAGAACCTCAGAGTCAGCATGTGCTTAGCTCGAGACCCTTCTCTGCAGCTGTTTCAGCTGGCATCCCTTAGCCCTCCTGTACCCCCTCTCTCTGGCAGTGATGGCACGCTCGTCAAGCGTCCTTGCCGGCGGCCTGCTGGGCGCCGCTTCTCTTGGCGGCCTGGCCTTCCTGGCACCTGGCCAGAGCCGACCAGAGCTCGAGGTGCAGACTCAGGTGGCTGCTCAGGCTCCAGGCTTCTTGGCGTCTTCCTCCTCCTCCAGCAGCAGCAGCGCCGCACAGGGCGTGACCGGTGCCTTGGCCGTGGCTGGCCTGAGCGTCGCTGCTGTGCGAGGCGCATCGGCCGCGTCCCGCCAGAAGGGCATCAAGCCTCGGGCTGCCAAGAGCGTGGTCGCGTGCCGGTCCCTGGCCAAGCTGAAGATTGACGAGGTGGACTTGAAGGACAAGCGCATCTTCATCCGTGTGGACTTCAACGTGCCCCAGGACAAGAAGGACCCGGACCCGAACGGGCGTGAATTCTCTGGGCACCTGTGAGCCTGTCAGGGACTAGGCCTTTCATGTATGGAACAAGTATATTGCACACTCCAATCAGGACCCCAACGTATAAGCTGTTAAGGTGTGGGCCAACTAGGTGTGTAGGATGAGCCAGACTCATGATATTGTTGATCGTGATGAAGTTGGTGAGGACCCGAACATCATCACCAACACTGCCCGCATCGATGCGGCCCTGCCCACCATCAAGTACGCCCTGGACAACGGTGCGAAGTCTGTGGTGCTCTGCTCGCACCTGGGCCGCCCCAACGGCCAGAAGGACGAGAAGTTCTCCATGAAGCCGGTGGCAAAGGTGGTCGAGGAGAAGCTGGGAAGGCCCGTGAAGCTGATGGACGATGTGGTTGGTGAGGATGTGGAGGCTGCCTGCAAGGATCCTGAGCCGGGCACCGTGATCCTGTTGGAGAACTCCCGGTACTACGTCGAGGAGGAGGGCAAGGGCAAGGATGCTGATGGCAACAAGGTGAAGGCGGATCCTGAGAAGGTGAAGGAGTTCCGCGCCTCCCTTGCCAAACTGGCTGACATCTACTGCTCCTTGGGGCTGGTTTACGTAATTTCACGTAGTTCTACGCAACTTTTTCGTAGGTTGTTGCTGCAAGCATCCTGCGGACATAAGACCAGACGAATAGTCAGGCTCGGATGCCTTCGGCACGGCGCACCGCGCCCACAGCTCCATGGTCGGAGAGGGCTATCCCGTGAAATGCTCCGGCTTCCTGCTGGCCAAGGAGCTCGATTACTTCGCGAAGGCCGGGTCTGTACCGCCGCACAGGAAAATTTATTTTTCGGTCATTCAGGTCACGTCAGGATGAGTCCCTGCTCAGGTGGTGGATGCCCCGACCCGGCCAGTGTGTGGCATCCTCGGTGGAGCCAAGGTGGCAGACAAGATCCAGCTGATCATGAACCTGCTTGACAAGGTTGACATCATGATCATTGGAGGAGGAATGGCCTTCACCTTCATCAAGGAGGCCGGTGTGGACATTGGCAACTCCCTCTATGACGAGGAGGGCGCCAAGCTGGTACCAGAGATTAGGAAGAAGGCAGAGGAGAAGGGCGTTGAGCTCATCCTGCCTGTGGACTTCATTTGTTCCTCCAAGTTCGGTGACGATGGAGAGATCAAGGAGGGCGACATGAGCACAGGCGTTCCGGACGGCTTCTTGGGTCTCGACATTGGCCCCAAGTCCATCGAGATGAACGACGAGGCCAGTGACCTTGGTGAAGAATGCAAACTCACATGAAGGATCATGAGCCATCAGTGCGATGACGACTCAACATCGCCACGCTTAATGCGCTAGCGGCCAGCCTCGGTATCTTCTGAGTAGTATCTGAGTAGTATCTGTAACTTGTAGTACAACGTTTAGCTCATGCAATCTTCACACTTCAATTCTCTCAAGCTACCAACCAGGCCATCAAGAAGTCCAAGACCATCGTCTGGAACGGGCCCATGGGTGTCTTCGAGATGGGGGCCGCTCGTTTTTGTTTTGCAGTGTGTTCCTGTCCGCCTTATCTCCACCTTGTCTCCCCTTACCCAAGCACCCCGGACTGCAAATTCTTGCAAGGCCTTCGAGAAGGGAACCAAGCAGATGATGGAGACCATCGTGGCAGTCACAAAGGAGGGTGCCGTCTCCGTGATCGGCGGAGGCGACACCGCCACTGCCTGCAAGAAGTACGACACCGTTGACAAGGTCTCCCACTGCAGCACCGGCGGCGGTGCGTCCCTGGAGCTGCTCGAGGGCAAGCTGCTGCCCGGCGTGGCCGCGCTGGATGACTCCAAGGAGCTGGCAGATGCCTAAATGTTTTGTGTGGTGCTTGTTGTTTTTCCCGGGTTTTGGCCCACTTGCAGAAGGTCTCTTGCGATTTTCACTAGCGCAAAGGGGACTTTCCGAGAGCACTTGTGGGATTTAGCCAATTTTCAGCGACCAAGATGACAAATCCCTCGCTGCTGGACAATTGCAAGGGTGATTGCAAGGGTGATTGCAAGGTGCGACATGAAACCAGAACCTCAGAGTCAGCATGTGCTTAGCTCGAGACAGCCTTTTCTGCAGCTGTTTCAGCTGGCATCCCTTAGCCCTCCTGTACCCCCTCTCTCTGGCAGTGATGGCACGCTCGTCAAGCGTCCTTGCCGGCGGCCTGCTGGGCGCCGCTTCTCTTGGCGGCCTGGCCTTCCTGGCACCTGGCCAGAGCCGACCAGAGCTCGAGGTGCAGACTCAGGTGGCTGCTCAGGCTCCAGGCTTCCTGGCGTCTTCCTCCTCCTCCAGCAGCAGCGCCGCACAGGGCGTGACCGGTGCCTTGGCCGTGGCTGGCCTGAGCGTCGCTGCTGTGCGAGGCGCATCGGCCGCGTCCCGCCAGAAGGGCATCAAGCCTCGGGCTGCCAAGAGCGTGGTCGCGTGCCGGTCCCTGGCCAAGCTGAAGATTGACGAGGTGGACTTGAAGGACAAGCGCATCTTCATCCGTGTGGACTTCAACGTGCCCCAGGACAAGAAGGACCCGGACCCGAACGGGCGTGAATTCTCTGGGCACCTGTGAGCCTGTGAGGGACTAGGCCTTTCATGTATGGAACCTGTATATTGCACACTCCAATCAGGACCCCAACGTATAAGCTGTTAAGGTGTGGGCCAACTAGGTGTGTAGGATGAGCCAGACTCATGATATTGTTGATGGTGATGAAGTTGGTGAGGACCCGAACATCATCACCAACACTGCCCGCATCGATGCGGCCCTGCCCACCATCAAGTACGCCCTGGACAACGGTGCGAAGTCCGTGGTGCTCTGCTCGCACCTGGGCCGCCCCAACGGCCAGAAGGACGAGAAGTTCTCCATGAAGCCGGTGGCAAAGGTGGTCGAGGAGAAGCTGGGAAGGCCCGTGAAGCTGATGGACGATGTGGTTGGTGAGGATGTGGAGGCTGCCTGCAAGGATCCTGAGCCGGGCACCGTGATCCTGTTGGAGAACTCCCGGTACTACGTCGAGGAGGAGGGCAAGGGCAAGGATGCTGATGGCAACAAGGTGAAGGCGGATCCTGAGAAGGTGAAGGAGTTCCGCGCCTCCCTTGCCAAACTGGCTGACATCTACTGCTCCTTGGGGCTGGTTTACGTAATTTCACGTAGTTCTACGCAACTTTTACGTAGGTTGTTGCTGCAAGCATCCTGCGGACATAAGACCAGACGAATAGTCAGGCTCGGATGCCTTCGGCACGGCGCACCGCGCCCACAGCTCCATGGTCGGAGAGGGCTATCCCGTGAAATGCTCCGGCTTCCTGCTGGCCAAGGAGCTCGATTACTTCGCGAAGGCCGGGTCTGTACCGCCGCACAGGAAACTTTATTTTTCGGTCATTCAGGTCACGTCAGGATGAGTCCCTGCTCAGGTGGTGGATGCCCCGACCCGGCCAGTGTGCGGCATCCTCGGTGGAGCCAAGGTGGCAGACAAGATCCAGCTGATCATGAACCTGCTTGACAAGGTTGACATCATGATCATTGGAGGAGGAATGGCCTTCACCTTCATCAAGGAGGCCGGTGTGGACATTGGCAACTCCCTCTATGACGAGGAGGGCGCCAAGCTGGTACCAGAGATTAGGAAGAAGGCAGAGGAGAAGGGCGTTGAGCTCATCCTGCCTGTGGACTTCATTTGTTCCTCCAAGTTCGGTGACGATGGAGAGATCAAGGAGGGCGACATGAGCACAGGCGTTCCGGACGGCTTCTTGGGTCTCGACATTGGCCCCAAGTCCATCGAGATGAACGACGAGGCCAGTGACCTTGGTGAAGAATGCAAACTCACATGAAGGATCATGAGCCATCAGTGCGATGACGACTCAACATCGCCACGCTTAATGCGCTAGCGGCCAGCCTCGGTATCTTCTGAGTAGTATCTGAGTAGTATCTGTAACTTGTAGTACAACGTTTAGCTCATGCAATCTTCACACTTCAATTCTCTCAAGCTACCAACCAGGCCATCAAGAAGTCCAAGACCATCGTCTGGAACGGGCCCATGGGTGTCTTCGAGATGGGGGCCGCTCGTTTTTGTTTTGCAGTGTGTTCCTGTCCGCCTTATCTCCACCTTGTCTCCCCTTACCCAAGCACCCCGGACTGCAAATTCTTGCAAGGCCTTCGAGAAGGGAACCAAGCAGATGATGGAGACCATCGTGGCAGTCACAAAGGAGGGTGCCGTCTCCGTGATCGGCGGAGGCGACACCGCCACTGCCTGCAAGAAGTACGACACCGTTGACAAGGTCTCCCACTGCAGCACCGGCGGCGGTGCGTCCCTGGAGCTGCTCGAGGGCAAGCTGCTGCCCGGCGTGGCCGCGCTGGATGACTCCAAGGAGCTGGCAGATGCCTAAATGTTTTGTGTGGTGCTTGTTGTTTTTCCCGGGTTTTGGCCCACTTGCAGAAGGTCTCTTGCGATTTTCACTAGCGCAAAGGGGACTTTCCGAGAGCACTTGTGGGATTTAGCCAATTTTCAGCGACCAAGATGACAAATCCCTCGCTGCTGGACAATTGCAAGGGTGATTGCAAGGGTGATTGCAAGGTGCGACATGAAACCAGAACCTCAGAGTCAGCATGTGCTTAGCTCGAGACCCTTCTCTGCAGCTGTTTCAGCTGGCATCCCTTAGCCCTCCTGTACCCCCTCTCTCTGGCAGTGATGGCACGCTCGTCAAGCGTCCTTGCCGGCGGCCTGCTGGGCGCCGCTTCTCTTGGCGGCCTGGCCTTCCTGGCACCTGGCCAGAGCCGACCAGAGCTCGAGGTGCAGACTCAGGTGGCTGCTCAGGCTCCAGGCTTCTTGGCGTCTTCCTCCTCCTCCAGCAGCAGCAGCGCCGCACAGGGCGTGACCGGTGCCTTGGCCGTGGCTGGCCTGAGCGTCGCTGCTGTGCGAGGCGCATCGGCCGCGTCCCGCCAGAAGGGCATCAAGCCTCGGGCTGCCAAGAGCGTGGTCGCGTGCCGGTCCCTGGCCAAGCTGAAGATTGACGAGGTGGACTTGAAGGACAAGCGCATCTTCATCCGTGTGGACTTCAACGTGCCCCAGGACAAGAAGGACCCGGACCCGAACGGGCGTGAATTCTCTGGGCACCTGTGAGCCTGTGAGGGACTAGGCCTTTCATGTATGGAACAAGTATATTGCACACTCCAATCAGGACCCCAACGTATAAGCTGTTAAGGTGTGGGCCAACTAGGTGTGTAGGATGAGCCAGACTCATGATATTGTTGATGGTGATGAAGTTGGTGAGGACCCGAACATCATCACCAACACTGCCCGCATCGATGCGGCCCTGCCCACCATCAAGTACGCCCTGGACAACGGTGCGAAGTCCGTGGTGCTCTGCTCGCACCTGGGCCGCCCCAACGGCCAGAAGGACGAGAAGTTCTCCATGAAGCCGGTGGCAAAGGTGGTCGAGGAGAAGCTGGGAAGGCCCGTGAAGCTGATGGACGATGTGGTTGGTGAGGATGTGGAGGCTGCCTGCAAGGATCCTGAGCCGGGCACCGTGATCCTGTTGGAGAACTCCCGGTACTATGTCGAGGAGGAGGGCAAGGGCAAGGATGCTGATGGCAACAAGGTGAAGGCGGATCCTGAGAAGGTGAAGGAGTTCCGCGCCTCCCTTGCCAAACTGGCTGACATCTACTGCTCCTTGGGGCTGGTTTACGTAATTTCACGTAGTTCTACGCAACTTTTTCGTAGGTTGTTGCTGCAAGCATCCTGCGGACATAAGACCAGACGAATAGTCAGGCTCGGATGCCTTCGGCACGGCGCACCGCGCCCACAGCTCCATGGTCGGAGAGGGCTATCCCGTGAAATGCTCCGGCTTCCTGCTGGCCAAGGAGCTCGATTACTTCGCGAAGGCCGGGTCTGTACCGCCGCACAGGAAAATTTATTTTTCGGTCATTCAGGTCACGTCAGGATGAGTCCCTGCTCAGGTGGTGGATGCCCCGACCCGGCCAGTGTGTGGCATCCTCGGTGGAGCCAAGGTGGCAGACAAGATCCAGCTGATCATGAACCTGCTTGACAAGGTTGACATCATGATCATTGGAGGAGGAATGGCCTTCACCTTCATCAAGGAGGCCGGTGTGGACATTGGCAACTCCCTCTATGACGAGGAGGGCGCCAAGCTGGTACCAGAGATTAGGAAGAAGGCAGAGGAGAAGGGCGTTGAGCTCATCCTGCCTGTGGACTTCATTTGTTCCTCCAAGTTCGGTGACGATGGAGAGATCAAGGAGGGCGACATGAGCACAGGCGTTCCGGACGGCTTCTTGGGTCTCGACATTGGCCCCAAGTCCATCGAGATGAACGACGAGGCCAGTGACCTTGGTGAAGAATGCAAACTCACATGAAGGATCATGAGCCATCAGTGCGATGACGACTCAACATCGCCACGCTTAATGCGCTAGCGGCCAGCCTCGGTATCTTCTGAGTAGTATCTGAGTAGTATCTGTAACTTGTAGTACAACGTTTAGCTCATGCAATCTTCACACTTCAATTCTCTCAAGCTACCAACCAGGCCATCAAGAAGTCCAAGACCATCGTCTGGAACGGGCCCATGGGTGTCTTCGAGATGGGGGCCGCTCGTTTTTGTTTTGCAGTGTGTTCCTGTCTGCCTTATCTCCACCTTGTCTCCCCTTACCCAAGCACCCCGGACTGCAAATTCTTGCAAGGCCTTCGAGAAGGGAACCAAGCAGATGATGGAGACCATCGTGGCAGTCACAAAGGAGGGTGCCGTCTCCGTGATCGGCGGAGGCGACACCGCCACTGCCTGCAAGAAGTACGACACCGTTGACAAGGTCTCCCACTGCAGCACCGGCGGCGGTGCGTCCCTGGAGCTGCTCGAGGGCAAGCTGCTGCCCGGCGTGGCCGCGCTTGACGATGCCTAGACCCACCATCAGGGCACCGATAGAGTTGTAGTTCTTGTTCTCCTACATGAGCCTCTGCCAGCAAAGTTTTAAACTTGAACCATTTTTCGCAGAGCTTGCCTGCACTGCATGCAAGCTATCAGCTCTGAAGCTTGAAGCTTCCTCAAATGCAAAAAGATCAAAAAGAGTCTCGCACCCCCCCCTCCCCCCCGCCGACGCGGAGACCGAAGCCAGCAAACCCTTTGACTGTGCAAGTGAGATGTCACGCGAGAGATCTTGTCATGAACGAACGCATGGAACTCTTGAACACTTTCGATGCTTATCAGAGTTCTTATGTGCAAGCTGAAACAACCTGCCTGTTTAAGTTGCTTTGTCTGCAGCTGTTTCAGCTGGCATCCCTTAGCCCTCCTGTACCCGCTCTCTCTGGCAGTGATGGCACGCTCGTCAAGCGTCCTTGCCGGCGGCCTGCTGGGCGCCGCTTCTCTTGGTGGCCTGGCCTTCCTGGCACCTGGCCAGAGCCGACCAGAGCTCGAGGTGCAGACTCAGGTGGCTGCTCAGGCTCCAGGCTTCCTGGCGTCCTCCTCCTCCTCCAGCAGCAGCAGCGCCGCACAGGGCGTGACCGGTGCCTTGGCCGTGGCTGGCCTGAGCGTCGCTGCTGTGCGAGGCGCATCGGCCGCGTCCCGCCAGAAGGGCATCAAGCCTCGGGCTGCCAAGAGCGTGGTCGCGTGCCGGTCCCTGGCCAAGCTGAAGATTGACGAGGTGGACTTGAAGGACAAGCGCATCTTCATCCGTGTGGACTTCAACGTGCCCCAGGACAAGAAGGACCCGGACCCGAACGGGCGTGAATTCTCTGGGCACCTGTGAGCCTGTGAGGGACTAGGCCTTTCATGTATGGAACCTGTATATTGCACACTCCAATCAGGACCCCAACGTATAAGCTGTTAAGGTGTGGGCCAACTAGGTGTGTAGGATGAGCCAGACTCATGATATTGTTGATGGTGATGAAGTTGGTGAGGACCCGAACATCATCACCAACACTGCCCGCATCGATGCGGCCCTGCCCACCATCAAGTACGCCCTGGACAACGGTGCGAAGTCCGTGGTGCTCTGCTCGCACCTGGGCCGCCCCAACGGCCAGAAGGACGAGAAGTTCTCCATGAAGCCGGTGGCAAAGGTGGTCGAGGAGAAGCTGGGAAGGCCCGTGAAGCTGATGGACGATGTGGTTGGTGAGGATGTGGAGGCTGCCTGCAAGGATCCTGAGCCGGGCACCGTGATCCTGTTGGAGAACTCCCGGTACTACGTCGAGGAGGAGGGCAAGGGCAAGGATGCTGATGGCAACAAGGTGAAGGCGGATCCTGAGAAGGTGAAGGAGTTCCGCGCCTCCCTTGCCAAACTGGCTGACATCTACTGCTCCTTGGGGCTGGTTTACGTAATTTCACGTAGTTCTACGCAACTTTTACGTAGGTTGTTGCTGCAAGCATCCTGCGGACATAAGACCAGACGAATAGTCAGGCTCGGATGCCTTCGGCACGGCGCACCGCGCCCACAGCTCCATGGTCGGAGAGGGCTATCCCGTGAAATGCTCCGGCTTCCTGCTGGCCAAGGAGCTCGATTACTTCGCGAAGGCCGGGTCTGTACCGCCGCACAGGAAACTTTATTTTTCGGTCATTCAGGTCACGTCAGGATGAGTCCCTGCTCAGGTGGTGGATGCCCCGACCCGGCCAGTGTGCGGCATCCTCGGTGGAGCCAAGGTGGCAGACAAGATCCAGCTGATCATGAACCTGCTTGACAAGGTTGACATCATGATCATTGGAGGAGGAATGGCCTTCACCTTCATCAAGGAGGCCGGTGTGGACATTGGCAACTCCCTCTATGACGAGGAGGGCGCCAAGCTGGTACCAGAGATTAGGAAGAAGGCAGAGGAGAAGGGCGTTGAGCTCATCCTGCCTGTGGACTTCATTTGTTCCTCCAAGTTCGGTGACGATGGAGAGATCAAGGAGGGCGACATGAGCACAGGCGTTCCGGACGGCTTCTTGGGTCTCGACATTGGCCCCAAGTCCATCGAGATGAACGACGAGGCCAGTGACCTTGGTGAAGAATGCAAACTCACATGAAGGATCATGAGCCATCAGTGCGATGACGACTCAACATCGCCACGCTTAATGCGCTAGCGGCCAGCCTCGGTATCTTCTGAGTAGTATCTGAGTAGTATCTGTAACTTGTAGTACAACGTTTAGCTCATGCAATCTTCATACTTCAATTCTCTCAAGCTACCAACCAGGCCATCAAGAAGTCCAAGACCATCGTCTGGAACGGGCCCATGGGTGTCTTCGAGATGGGGGCCGCTCGTTTTTGTTTTGCAGTGTGTTCCTGTCCGCCTTATCTCCACCTTGTCTCCCCTTACCCAAGCACCCCGGACTGCACATTCTTGCAAGGCCTTCGAGAAGGGAACCAAGCAGATGATGGAGACCATCGTGGCAGTCACAAAGGAGGGTGCCGTCTCCGTGATCGGCGGAGGCGACACCGCCACTGCCTGCAAGAAGTACGACACCGTTGACAAGGTCTCCCACTGCAGCACCGGCGGCGGTGCGTCCCTGGAGCTGCTCGAGGGCAAGCTGCTGCCCGGCGTGGCCGCGCTGGATGACTCCAAGGAGCTGGCAGATGCCTAAATGTTTTGTGTGGTGCTTGTTGTTTTTCCCGGGTTTTGGCCCACTTGCAGAAGGTCTCTTGCGATTTTCACTAGCGCAGAGGGGACTTTCCGAGAGCACTTGTGGGATTTAGCAGCAGTGACTCCAATTTTCAGCGGCCAAGACAAGAAAGGCGTCGCTGGCTCAGCAAAAAGCATAGTTTGACATGTGCATAGTTTGGCATTCAGGTCATGTGTGCCCATCCTGTCCTGCAGCAGAACCGATTGTGGTTCGCATGGATGCATGTTCTGCACAGTGCAGTGATAGGAAGTGTGTCGCCGTATCGCTCCGTCTCCACGTGCAGCTCTCGCCTAGCGTATGGCTTAGCTTTTGGTGTATGGGCCAACTTCTGGGAGAGTCTTGAAGGTACCAAGTCCTCTTGGCAGATGCAATTGCAACATTGTACCCCAGAGTTGCCCCAAGACAACTCGCCTCATTTGCATCTTCCTGGGTCCTTACTGCGCATGCCTGCGTGTCACAAGCAATGTCGGAAGCAGTGGCCTTAGTGCGGATGCCAGCCAGCAGAACGGAACATGCAACTATTGTGACATGAGCATGAAATTTGCCGTACAGAGGCGGACGCTGATACCAGCACGCACGAAGTGGGATACTTGGATGGCAACCCGCCGAAGGCGCGCGCTGTTGGCTTACTGTTCCGAGGGCGTGACTCGTGAACGCCTGCCGCCAGGTCATCAATAGTGACAGCATCTACCTCATGTTAGGCCAGGGAGACGGTGAATCCAAAGCACGACGGTGAACCCAAAGCACACGGGTATTCCGAGGCTAAGCCTTCCAACTTTAACCCGGGGGGAACTCCCGAATCAAGCCAGGACTGGCAGTTGCCATCGTCATGGGGTGCCCGAGGCTAAAACTGGGACGCTTACTGCGACGCTTACCGTGATTGGGACATGTAACGGTGCTCGCATGCATAATGGGACGGCCCAGGCCTTTTGGATAGGATGTCGACCTTCAAACACTTCAATGCCACGCGCCAAAGCAGGCACCGGAAAGGAAAGGTGTGCCACAGCTGCCAAAGCCTAGGCAAAGAACAGGGAGCCATTTTGGGTGAGAGACTCGGCACCCGATCATCGTTCGATGCAGGCAACGAAAACATCAAGAAACCTTAGAAACCTTGATCTCGCGTTCAGAGGTGCTGCTGCTCGTGTTGGTGAGCTATGGGTATTTGATTCCAGGCCCGGAGCTGGTACATCGGTGATACATCGGTCAGTAGTGATACATCTGCACGGTGCACATACGGTGTAAGATGTGTAAGCCTTGGAAGCGATGCTTGAAGCCAGGTCTGGTGGAAGTGCTTTTCAGCTTCAACCTGGTTTTTGATACGGGGACGGGTGTGGTGTGCTCAGTGATTCCTCGTCCTTGGCCAGTGCATGTCGCGCCCCTATGGAGAGCTGCACTATGCTGCTCTTGCTGCAGGGATTCTTCGGAATCGGACCCGACTCTTCCTTTAACCACGCGCCGACCACTCGGAGATCTCTTTGATCTGTAGGCCATCAAATTCGACAGGGCATTGCAGATCAAGATCGAGTCATAGCCCGGGCTCTCATCGCTGCCAAGGCCCCCAACGACCGAGACCATGTTGGGCAGGGAGCTCGCACTCGTCTGTGCTGAGCGAAGAGAGCACCGAGCTCTCTTCACATCCGAGCTCCGAGCTCGCCTGGCCAAGGCTTGGTTAGGCTGTTGTGGGGTGGCGGCCTGAGCGTGATCGAGCGTGATCGAGCGTGCAGCCATGTGCAGCCAAGGGGGCGTGGGGGGGGGGTTGAATTTCATGTGCTCGTGATCTGAGAAACGGGATCTTGGCTTGGTGCTGTGCTCGTGGTCTTCTACGCCGGGCCCTTGGTGTCCGGCCCCATTCGAGACAGACACAAAGCCTGCCCTCATGGATGCTCCCAGCCCAGGCGATTGCCATTCCTGTGACCAAGCTGCCAGTGGCCGAGCCTGCTGGAAAATATAGGGAAGAGTGTTTTCTATGCATCGGCAAGAAATAGCATTGGCGGAAAGCTTGGCAAAAGAAACGAGACAAAGGATCTTGCTGCTGGTGGGCAACCTGATACAGAGAGACTTCCCCAAAGCCTCGAGGAGGCGAGGGCAGAACGGGCTTCGCTCTCCCTCTCTGCCCCTCTGCCTCCGCTCTGCCACTCTTCTGTGCCTCCCTCTCTCCCTCTCTCTCCCTCTCCCTCTCCCTCTCCCTCTCCCTCTCAGTCTCCCTCTCAATCTCCCTCTGCCTCTCCCTCTCCCCCTCTCTCTCTTCTCTCTCATTCTGTGCCTCTTGTTTTCCCTTATTTCCGCCCTTTCAGAGAGCTTTCTGCTTCAAGAGGTGCATCCAGTCCGTGCAAAACATCTCCAAGTGGGCGTGCCCTGCAGGGGCCTCAGAGCCGAGAGGAAGCGAGTTGTTCTTCACCACCGTTTCATTTATTGTGTTTTTGTTGATTTATTGATTATTGTCATTTGTGTGTGTGTGTGTGTTAGCTTCAACCTTCTTCTGCGTGGGCCTCTTTCCTTTGCGTGCTTGGAGGACATGTTCGCCTACATCCTGCTCATGCATCTTGTCAGGTGCCCGTGGCCCAGTGTGGCTCATGCACTCCACGGGCACGCTTCTCAAATCTTGTGGGTATTCCTTGCCCTGCGTGCTAAGCACTGGCCCATCCGCCGTATCTCTTAGCGAACGGACGACTCGACCTCGGATTCACGTGCTTCAGTCTGTTTTGCCGCGACCTCAATTAAGAGCTGTTGTTCTGGAGTGATGCACTCTCTGTCTGTTGCATTTGTGGTGATTCCACGCAGGCCTTGGATCTACTATCGCGAGCCGCACTTAGCAAAGTACTTTGGGCTGCGCTTGGTCCAGGTTTGCTGTTGAAATTTGGTAGATTGACCGAGGGCCCTCGGGATACGCGTTCCCGATCGGGAGCATGGTTGTGAGGAACACAGCTTCGGTTGAACCGCAGTATGGGTCATGAACCAATGAGTGTTGAAGCACAACGCACAACGTACGTCCCACGTGACATGCCAGCAAATCCCCAGGCTTCCAGAAGCTAGGCAGAGCCTCATTCAGTGCAGTGGACTTTGTCGTGTTTGCCAGAAAGCCTTGTGCCACTATGCCTGACAGGGAGGGCCCTGACTGAGAAGAACCTAGTCCTGGTCGGATGCAGAGTGCTTGCTGCAAAACATGATCGCTTCTCTTTCTAAGACATGCCTCAGGGTGGAGCTCTGAGAGTCGAACCGAGTCTAATCCGGCTGCAGGGCGTGAGTGTGCTCTTCGTGTTGTTTGCCATTCCCTTCTTCTGGGGCCTCAACGAGACCGTAATGGTTCAGCCTGCATTGTTTGCGTGAGCTTGTAAAGGCTTGAAGCGCGTCGCATGCAGGATGTAAGTTCGAAGCTTGATAAGCTTGATAAGCTTGCGCCAGGGGTTGAAAGTGGGTCAACTGGACCCAATGATATCGATGACCGCCCAAACCTCGGTTCTGGGCTTCGGCTTGGCTTGCAACTTCCCTCTTTCCTCTCTAATCTCCCTGCTCCTCGTTTCTTGCCTTGGGCAGTTCAAGAGTGTGTGTGTGTGTGTGTGCTTTCTTTTTTTGTTTAAATAGTTTTTTTCGCGCGATGCTCTCCCGAGTTGTCGTTCGTTGGCCTCACACCGGAGAAGCTGAAGTCGGACGTGAGCATCATGCCGATCGCCCCAGACAATCTGAGATACAAAGGTAGAGTTCGAGGGAAATCGAGGGAACGGGTTCAGGAACTGCTTGGGCACTCTCGCGGAGGAGATTTCTCACGGAGAGGCGCCTTGAAGTTAGTGAGAGTCAGTGTCCCAAAGTGCCCCAGAGTGCTGTCAGATGAACAGCTTCATCGGCTTCGTAATGTCCCGACCTGTGCTACGGCTTGATGCAGAACGTTACTGGTGTGACCGGCGTTGTGACAAGTGCCGGCGTTGCAGCTGCAGCACACTGCATCTGTTTTGCAAGGTTTTCCGTCTTCGTGATTGGAATGACGCTGCTGGACATGATCGTGCGGGACTCTGTTTCGTGGTGAGGCTTTGTCCGTCCAAACGCAAAGCTGCTTTAGGTCCTCCTCTGGATCTCGATTGCTTCTTGGAGAGGACGTCCTGTGGCTCGCAGTGGGCTCGGTGTGCTGTGTCACCCAATGCTCTCTCTGGGGCATTCGGGAACCTGGGACGCTCGGAGCTTGTGCACTTGCTGAAATTGCGGCTCAGAGGGCTTCCTACTACAACGGTAGGAAGTCGGCATGGAGTTTGCAGGAGACTCGGCTGCAGGCTGCGGCGACAGGTGAGTGTTTTTTCCATCTTGAGCTCGAAACGTGTCGCAGGAATGTAGTTTCTCTGTTGCTTCCGCTTTGCGGGAGCACTGCGGGAGCACTGTGAGTCAGTGATTCCGAGCCTCGGTTGCACAAGGAGGACCATTGAGGGTCTACAGCTTGGCAGGTGAGGTTTAGTATGGTTAAGGAGGCTCAGGCTTTGGGCACGTCGCAAACGGGGCGGTTGCGTGAAGGTGTCCGAGATGGTGTCTCGAGCTCTTTGCCTGGTCTTGGTGGCGCTGTCCTCTTTGCACGGCGGATCCGCGACCAGAGTAGCAAAAGCATCCCCCTCAGCGCGGCTTAAGGACCCACTTCGCCTTCTCCCTATAATCTCTCGCGAAAGTTGGTGTTCACTTGTTTCTGGGTTGTTTTTTCTGTACTGTACTACACACAGACTAAGACTAGTACTCGACGACAAAATACTGATGCTGCTCTACAATAGTATACTGAAACCATACCAGTCCTGCTCTGCTCTTCTTTTCTCGTCTCTTCTCTTCTCTTCTCCTTTCTCTCTCTCTCTCTCTCTAAAACTCTCTTGTTCTCGGAGGAGGTCCTGGAGCTGCTGCATTCGATGAGGGAAAAGGTGCTGGCGGAAGGAAAGCATCAGGCGGAGCTGTATGACAAGTTCCGGTGCCACTGCGAAACGAACATGGCCTCCCTCGGCAGCAATATTGAGACGGCAAGCAGGCTCACTCAGCCCATCAGATCAGTGGCTCGTCAGCTTTGGCCGATCAGATCAGTTTGGTGCAGGGGGTTTGAAAGGTGATGCTTTCGAGAGCGAGCTTTGTCTTTGTGAGGAAATGAGCGAGTTGGACGGCCAGAGTGGCAGCTTGCAGGCAGAGCTCGAGCAACATGCCCGCGATGAGAAGTCTTTGTTAGAAGGCATGCAAGAAGCACGCCAGATCCGGCAGCGCGCCAGTCGCTTGAACGAATGGCATCTTCGTTTTGCTGCAGCAGTGTTTTCTCAGGTGAACGCGCATGATGCCAACAAGAGATCTTTCTTTGTCTTGCCTCGTGTTGTTGAGGTGATGGGAACAAAGCGAGAGCCAAAGAGCTTTCGCAGCACATGGGAATGATGGATGATGCAATCCGTCGAATCCAGGCAGGAGGCACTGGCTTCCTGCAACAAGAGCTCCAGCAGCTCCAGCAGCTGCAGGTTCAGGAAAGGCTGGCTTTGACGGGCGAGAGCTTGGATAAGACGACCAGCTTTTCCCGAGACCCAGGAGCTGCGCTTGGCACGCTTCAAAAGCTGAGAGGAGACATCGAGGAGGATTATCGGGGCGCCCTCCAGTCCGAGAAGGCATCTGCCGCCGAGTTCAGAGACCTGGAAGTGTCCAAACTCAAGGAGCGCAGGTGCTTCGGCGTGTTTCGGCATGTTTCGGTTCAGAGTTGCAGGTGTTTTTCTTTTATGTTGATCGAGCCGCGTGCACAGTGGAAGAGCAGAACTGCAGAAGCTGAGGTCTTTACAGCAGCAAATGCAGCGCAAAGGAAGCCACCTTAGTGATCTCAAGCTTCGGCTAGTGCAGTTGCGGAAGAACCTTGAAGAGACGGACAAGCAGCTGAGTGAAGATCAGCAGAGCCTGCGTGACTTGAAGGAGTCATGCCGGCATAAGAGCGAGGAGTGGCAGACCACGGAAGCGAGCCGCAGCGATGAACTTGCTGCAATCGCAGAGGCGCTGATGTTGCTGAGCGATGGCAGCGGTGGCAGCGATGGCCCGAGAGCTCTCGAGCTCCTGGACGTCGGGCCTCCTCGGAGTGGCAAGTTTTTCGGGGAGCCTCTTGGCGCTGGCGGGCCTCTCGGCTTCAGCCTGCTCCAGCTACAGAAGCTCTCAGGTCGCAAAGCGCTCTCAGCGCTTTCGGGCCTGGGCACGGAGTTTATTTGGCTGGCGATGCGTGGCAGCCAAAGCGGTCTGGACAAAGTGGTCTCGAGAATAGATCAGCGTGTGGCCAACTTGGCGAAGGAGGAGGCATCTGAGGAGCAGAAGAAGCTTTATTGCAAGGCGCAGTATGACAGCGTGGTGCGGCAGGCTGCTGAACTCAGCTCAAAACGCGAGGATGCAGAGTCCTTGCTTAGACACCTGGCCGCAACCGCCCTTGCCGGCTGCGAATATCCCAACAATTTTCCACATATACGGTTTTTTTTCCTCTCTGTGGCGCTGATTTTTCGTCACTCTGCCTGCCATGCAACCCCCTAATCAGGAAGTCTACACGGTCGGCAGGCGGTGATACAGCAAGAGCTTAAGGAGGAGATGGATTCTCTTCAGGACGGAGGTTCATGCTGCCAGCCCACTTGAAGACATTCCGCAGACCCCTGGAAGGTGCTTGAAGAGTCACAGCGGGAGGCTGAGCGTCTCCGAGATGAGGAGAGAGCCGAGCTTAAGAAGCGAAAAGCAGATGCTCTGGAAGCAAAGGACCGCCGCAACGACGTCCAAAAACGCAAATATGGTCAATGGTCAATGCATTGTTACAATATGCGTTGTCATACAATGCACTGTCAAAGCCCTGCAAGGACGTGCTGGAGAAGGTTGTCACGCGGCTAAGTGCAGCCTATGCGAATCCCAAGCGGCAAAGCCTGCTTGACAAGGCCCCTCGGACCGACCAACATTTTAGTTCCGGAGCAAGCCTGGCGAATGCATGTGCCATCCTGGTCAGGCCTTTCACGTTCACAGAACACTCCCTCACAGACCCTCCAGCGTTGAGTTCAAGTCTTCTGCCGGCGAGACCATGTCGAAGCAGGCAGTGGTAAGCCTCGAGTCTATGAAATGGAATCCTGAAGTGGTGCCAGATTTTCCTTTTACAGGCAATTTCACAAACCACATGCGCAGCAATCTAAGCTAATACGAAAGGGCAAGTCCACTCTGTCAGAGCACTTTTGTTAGACTCGAGCCATGAGATTCTCTGAGAAGCAGGTCCGTGTGCTCAACAAACAAACAAAGCCAGGAGCGACATAGATGCCAAGATCAGCATCGTGGTCACAAAACAACGCGCCGCGCACTGTGGACAACAAGTCCAAATCAGCTTACGGACTTACAAAGGAAATAATCCAAGATTCGTCGCAAAAAGATCTTTCATGGGTGCCCCAACCCGAAAACGAAATCATTGAAAGCGGGGGCAATCAAATTTCAGTGACTCCCACAAAAAACCACAGTACATGTATTGCTTTTCTATTTTCACTCACTTTGTTTGGAAAGGGAACGCACGTGTGAACAAAAGCCCCATATGTCCTTCACTTCGCAGGCTTCATTCATTTCGTTCATGAGCATCGTGTTTTTAACAGTTAATGTATGCTCGCTGGCGCTGTGAGGGGCCAGTCTCTGCTTCCATGCTTCTGGCATACAACCCAAATAGATTTCAAGTCCTATCCTCGCATTTGGCTTTGCGTGCTTTGCGTGTGTGAGTGACTGCCAGTCACACAGTCACACCACTGGCTCATTGAAAACTTGAGTCTTTGCCTGGTTTTGTCCTCAGTTCAAGGCCAATTTCGCTTTGCTGCTAGGTTTCGCAGAAGCAGGAAGGCACCCCCCCTCCTGTTACCCTCCGCTTCACAAACGCTTGGTCCAGAATGGTCCAAATCCATGTCGTGAAAAGCCGGATGATACAGACATGAGCCGCTGGAGCATGAGCCGCGCAGGTCATTTTGCTTCTGCATCGCCTCATGAAAGACCTGGATGATGAGAGAGATCAAGCAGAGATTGCAGAAGAGAAGGGCCAGCTTGACCACCAAAATTTCTTGAAGGAAGCTGCATGTTGCTGTTGAACTCTGCTGATGCCTCTTATGCTCGCACTGTACTTGCTTGCATTTGACTTCAAATATGCAGGATGCTTCGGAGCGAAGGTCAGGGCAAATGGCGCTCTTGATTTCGAAGCGGGCAGAGAAGGCAAATGCTTTGTGCTTTCCAGTGCCGTTCTTGTAGCATCTGCAGCACATACGACCGGGCATGTTTGCATCTGTCTGGAGATGTCTGGAGTCTCGAGGGGTGGAGGGCGCCCGAGAGCCGTACTTGAAGAGTGTTCCTGCCTTCCTCTGCAAGCCTCCGCTCGCGGAGGCTTCGCTTGAGGGGGAGCTGCACGATTTCAAAGAACGTCGTGCCAAGGTCCTCATTGTGACCATGTACACACCTTTACAAAAGAGCTTGCCTGCTTCAATCTCATTCCACGCTCTATAGGCTTTGCAGCACAGTGAAGAAGAAGCCCACAAGGACGGGATTTCTGCCGCGAAGATCGCTGGGAGAATGACTGAAGTTCCCCGCCCGCTGATCCTTGAAGTGCCCACCCCCGGAGTCATCCCCACACGATACCCCAATGTTCTTTTTTTGTTTATCTTTGCGGTTGTTGGGCCGCGCGGATTGAAACAGAGCACGGCGGAGCCGACCACGGATTGGGCCCCGGCAACGGATTGAAGCAGATTGACCTCATAGAGACGACCGGCGGGCTTACGTATTGTGAGTGGCCCGAGTTTTTTACGAACAAGCCAGTTAAGGCCCAAGGATGGAAGAAGGCCTCGTAAAGCCCAAGTCATGGCGCGGCTGGCAGAGTAGTGGCAGTGCTACTAGGAGCCCTCGCATCAACCTGCAGCCTACATTGCAATCTACTGTTGCGGACACTTTCAGAATGGCAAGCTGTCCTTATTATTTAGCCACTTGAAGCCCTTCCGGTTAGCTGCTTTTGCACCTGGAGGAATACAAGGCCTCGCTGGATGGCGAATGTGTATGGGCCTTAGATGTCCAATCACCTTGTGTTCTAATTCGGCACTGCGCCGTGCCATGCTCGGCAGTGTAGCCTTGGTTATTTTGCCCCTTCGTTTCAATCTTAGGACTGGTTGGTCAACAACTGGGATGCCAGAGTTGCTGCAAGAGAGCGAGACGTGCAGGCAGTTGTTTGAGATGTGTTCGTGCCTAGCAAGCATGGGGACGGCTTGAACTGAAATGAGAGGCCTTGAAGGATGCCAAGTCTTCGATTCAACGTGCGCAGGACTCCAGCTAGATCGCAAGAACCGGACCATTGGCTGTCACTGTAGTAAATGCTTTGCGAGCGAAAGGGCAAGATGCAGACTACAGAAACCTGCTTACGTCGTGCCCGATTTGGAAAAATTTTGTGGAAGTCGTGCCTCTGAAGCCGCACACTGGTGTTTCACATTGCTCTCCCACATCCCCGAAGATTCCCAAAATTTTCTGAGTTTCAATGCGTTTCCTGGATGTTCGTGCTGAGCAAAATGCTACTTTGCTGCGTTTCAATGGGGCTTCGTGGATGTCCGAAACTAAGTTGTTTGTTCTGCTTGCGTTTGGATGGTGTCTGCTTGGCCAGGACAGCAGCTGAGAGTTCTTAAGATTCACGAAAAGCTCTCGGCATCACTGGGCCACATCGCTCATTTGCCATTTTCAGTTTCGGGTCCGGGTGTGGCTGGCCGGCTCGAACTGCCTCAAACCAATGACCGATAGCGTTGGCGCCCACAGGTTTGTCGATTGTTATTGGGTTGTGTCTTAGGCCCTACAGATACAGTTCCCAAGTTCCCAAGTTATTCAACCAATACGTTATGAGTTTGGCATGATTTCGTTTTCCTGCTTCTCATTGTGCCAAAGGTGTGACTTGGGGCATGGCGGAATCATTTGTCAGTTCTGGACGTTTGGAGAGTGTTTGGAGTGTGTTTGAAATGAGCAGGAGAGCAGCCGCCTTGGCAGCTTGCGTGGTTCCGGAGCATCTCTGTGATATTCTCATGGCCAAAAAGGTCTCGCGTCGTTGAGCCGGCTTTTCGCTGCGCATTGCAGCGACGAAAAGGAGTCAAAAGCTGTCAACAGCTGTGCCTTTCTGGCCATCATTTGCAGGGCTAAGTCTTGAAATCTGCTTCGAAACTCTGAAGGTTGGATGCAGCTGTCATGGGTCTTGAAAAAACTGCCGGCAGCCAAGGAATCACCTTGTTGTTTCTGCCCGTGATGCGATGTCTATGCATGTTGGAGATTATTCTGGTCGCTTGAGCAGTTGATCCGTGGATCGTTCAAATCACATCTGGAGGCTTTGACATCGACGTGCCAAGGTCAATGGTCGATGTCACGTGCATGGGCGTCCTAATCGTGACAATGTGCATGTCGATGTACAGGCCGGGCTTGGGGAGTGTTTTGGACCTGTTGCGGGGACAGCTGGAAGCTGGCATCGAGGAAATACGTGGAGGTTGACATGGGCGTCGGGCAGTGGCTGTTGGTGTCCTCTGAGGCTGAGATCGGAGGGTATCCGCAAGCACATATGCATACGCGCAGCCCCAAGGTGATCCACTACTTCACCTACTACACCGTCAAAGGCCGCAGCCGGGCGGCATCATGGCAGATCTCCGTGTTGCGACTCGTGTGATACAGGCTTTACGGAAGTGAAGGACAAGCTTGATCTGGGAAACACTATGCAAATGGATGAAGACGAGGCAGACCGATGATGAGTCCAAACATTTTCACACATGCTGAGAGCTTGCTGAAGTTTGCAGGAGGAGACTTCTGATCTTTCCTCCAGCACGGCCATCGAAGAGGACACCTGTCTCGTCATTTCCTCCAGTCAGGAAGGGGGCTTTTACCTCATGCCAGGAAATATTGCCAATATGATCCCTGATGCCGTCCCTGGTAAAAGCGCATGCTGTAAAGGAATTCGTCCGTCGCCTTGTCTGCTCATGAGTGTATCATATGCTTCTCTGCAGTATCCATCGGACCCTCCTTCAGAGCGCTGTGAGAAGATGACATAGTGAGATATAGTGAGTATGAAGAGTGTATTGGCCCCCCCTTCTCAAAATCTCGAGGATCATGCTTGGCTCTGACGGGGCTCCGATATTTGCTCTGAGCTTCCGGGGCGGCTGGCGATGCTGGCGATGTGACACTCCGCAAGTTTTTAACTCCCCTTCACGCTATCCTTTCTGCTTCTGCTATCTCCCTTCTGCTTGCCGAAGAAGCAGCTCCCGGAAGAGGAGACCTGCCATGGCCAAAGTGTACCAGAGTCCCGGTTGAAAATGAGACTTCCAAAAGAATGCCTGCACTTACTTGGTTGTCGGAGAGCGTCGGAGGACATGGTGCATTCCGACTGTGTTGCCAAAGGCTCAAGCAGAACCCGGATAGGCAACGTGGTCAGTCCTAGCTGACGGTTCTTTTGCCGTCTCATCGCGGCAGAGGTTGCGTCAGCAGCTTTGCTGGCAGAAGCAATGACAAGGAACAGCTCGACGAGCTCTTTCAAAGCATTGGAGGCAAACCAAGTTGCAGACTGGGTAGAGCAACTGGACTTGGAAAATCAAGCATTGCGGGAGTGCATCTCTCGCTGCGCGGACACGCTTATCAATAGGGACCTGGCGAATGAAGACAGGGACTCGGCAAGTTCACGCAGGAAAGGGCTGGCTGTATTGCTGGAGGCGAGTGATGTCCATGCTGCGACGCACATGCCTTCACCGGCTCACCTTCGTGCCAAGCAGCTGCTGCAGAGCCGGGTACTCAAGTCAGGCACGAACGCGAACTTCTTCGAGCATGGACAAGTGTCACTGGATCTGGAGCTGGATCGATCTAGCGTGTTGATGGAAGAGCAGCTTCGTCATGAGAGGACACGATTCACTTCATTGGATGTCGAAGTCGATGCGCTGCAGCGCGACCTGACGGCAACTCAGGAAAGGCAGCAAACCCTGGAGAATGCAGAGCTCGAAGAGAGGCTACGCCATGATGCCCTGCGTCTTGGCAGTTGTTTTTGTATTTTTGTGGCACTCGTGATGAAGATTTGCTTTTGCCGAATGCTGCCTGTGGAACGTGTAGTGATAAAGTAATGTAAAAAAGTTTTAGAAAACGGACCTACGACTGAGTCAGCTGCGTGTTGAGCTCCAGGATCACATCCGAAATGCGTCAGATGCAACTTGAGCTGTTCCAGCTAGACGAGGAAGCTTCGACCCTTGGCCCCAAGTTGCAGCAGATGGAGTTGCACGGGAGGGCTGTCAAAGCTCTCGGGCGACTGCTGAAGTTCATAACGCAGGAGGGCCTGGCGCGCGAGGCTCTTTGGCGCTGGCGTTGTTTGCTGCCGCCCTGACTTGTGCCCCACAAGACCAGCATGCCACTGAGGTCGGGTAAGTGATCAGAGCGAAGGCCATCGGCAAGTAATGGGCAGGAGCTCACCGGTTGGGCAGGAGCTCCCGGTCGTGCAGGTGGACTGCTCGAGTCTTGGGGGAAGCGGAACACAAAAAGCTCTATTGCTGTCCTTGTGACGCAATATCCTGGAGCTCGAGCTGCGGGAGGCTGCAAGAGGCTGCGGAAGGCTGCGGAAGGCTGCCGCTGCGGAAGGCGGGGCCGATTCGACGATCTTCTGGCTACATCGGCTACAGCCTGCAGGGTTTTTACCGTTTGCGTGAGGATCTCGACCAGAGCTTGCCCAGCCAAAGTCAAGTGGCTCAGCTGCCAAAGGCCCGTTCCGCGCTGAGAAGGGCGGACGAGCTGCGGTTGCGCTTCGATGGTTGACTGTTGCATCTTTGCTACAGAGCCACGCAGCGTCTCCCTGGTTCGCCGGTGAACACACAGCGAACAGATGCCTGCACAGGTGGCTAACGCAGAGCAACAATCAGCCAGAAAAAAGGTACGCCTCGAAGCACGCCGCACCGTCATTTACACTCTCCAAGCAATGCTGCGCTTGTGGCAGAGCCTGTGTGTATTGATGCCTCCATGTGTAGGCCCAAGAACAACGCAATAGCCACGTTGAAGGCCTTCTTATTGCAACACATGACCAGCGTGACTGGGGAAGAGTCGCTGCAACACTGTGCAGTTGGAGCGGTTGAGCTGCAAGAACCACATGAAGCTTCACCTAGCCGTGACCGGTAGTTGAGCCATGGCGGTGGTATGACTGATGCTGTGCCAGCACAGCATTCTGAATAATGGCTTTTTGTATCGGCGATGGCCTAAGTTGCTCCCACAGCTGATTCAAAGTGAACTGCGCCATTCGGATTCGGAGCAAGCTTTGGCAGTTAATCCGGTTTTCAGTTTCAGGACCTTTTTGCGGCAAGTTCCGCGACGAGTTGGGAGGTGATACAGACAGCGAGGAAGATGAGGTGCTTGGGACAGCAGACGTGGGTATCGTTGTGCTGGAATCGGAGCGTGCCTGCGGATGCGCAGGATGGAAGTAGCATGCGGGCAAAGTCCAAAAGGACAGCGAAGAGGTCGGATGTGGTGCGCAGAATTTCAGAATTGTCCCTGAAACCACGTTGTGCCGAAGCACAGAAGCAGGCGGAGGCCAAAGAAGGAAAGGAATGTTGCCTCTGCAGCCATGATGTGGGCACCGTTCTCGGGTCATGAGTGCCGTGACATGCCGTGACTAAACCCATGCCTACTCTTGGCTAAGGCCCCTTACCTGAGCGAAGTGCGGGTTCTTGTGAAGGGTCCAGGTCAGGCTTCTTCCTCAGAAGATCTCAGAAGTAGAAGTGCTAGAAGTGCTAGAAGTGCTGAAGCAGAATGTGTGACTGCGTTCTTGTATGCGGTGCTCAACGACTCAGGTGGGCGAAGGGGAGATGAAAGCTGTCACGCAGTTGAAAACTCCGTATAACCAGAGCATTTCCGACAACATGCTTGCGCGTGGGAGGCTGAGGTAAACAACATGCCACCATATCACATATCGGCTTCTTTTCCGGCACTCAGGAATAAATCAGCTGCAGCAAGTCGAAATCATCGAGATTGCCAAATGCAACCTCGATCGCATTCCGCCCTCCCTCGAGCAGCGCGGCCCTGAGATCTCAAAGGATCTCAAAGAGGTGCATATCTGTTTGGTTTAACCGCGAATCTCGTGACTCACGAAGGGTCACGCGCAACAGCCAAGTGTAAAAAACGTAGCTGAGGCTTGCATTATCATAAAGGGCCCACCAGTGTGTCTTTGCACTTCCTCTCGCTGACTCTTCCTGAGGGTGGAGGGCCTCATGACGTTGTGCCTTTCGTACAACAACATTCGCAACTGGGATGCCCAGCTGTGCAACGCGCTGCCGAGCCAAGTCCAGTGCATGTGTCCTTTGCTTGCCCATCTGAGGCAAGTTTTCGAACGAACTGGGCCGATGCGACTGCTTGGAGAGAGTTGTCTTGGAATCCTTCTTAGCGCGCTCTCTTGCACATCTCCTGCGCTGGGCTGGCACTGCCATCATGTCTCCCCAAGGATTGGAACCAGATCAGTGAAATTGAGCCTGGAATCTTCTCCGAGAGCAACTTTCCAAAGTTGGAGGTGCAATATGGTGCAATGTGTGCAGTCCATTGCAATCTCTGCGCGTCTCTCGACGCAGGGCTCCAAGAGATCCCCACATCGGTTTAATACTTATGCGTACCTATGGGTGCCTCTATAGACTCTCGTGCACGCATCGCAGCCTCGTGGGAATCTCGGGTTTGGTTTTGGCATGGAATTGATGATCATGAACTTGCCCGGAAAAAACAAGGAGACCCCGCCCCCAGATGGAATACCGGCTGGAGACTTTGGGTTTTCTGGGCTGTAGCCTTGAAAGTAGCCTTGAAGGTTCCAGCAACTTTTAAGGTTTTGGGCCGCAGCCTTGAACTCTGGAGGCTTTGGGATCTCGTAATGGAGTTCGTGCATGACTCTGAAATCTGTCTGCCTTGGAGGTCATCAACTTGTCTCACAATCGTCTTGCCTTTCTTCCGTCGGATTTTCCCAAGGCTGCATCGTGCCGGCCTCAATGCTGTCGCTGTTTCACTGTTGACGCGAACTCTTGCTGTTGTGCGGCCTCAGCATCTTTGTAGGCAAAACGTCACTGGCTTGCAGTATGTGGACCTGTCCTACAACCAGCTCACTTCAGTTCCGGCAGCTCTTATGCAATGCAGGCCAGCCTTGTGAAACTTTGCTCAGTCGGCTGTCGGTAGATTTGTCTTACTGGTAGCGTTGTCCACATCTGTATGCTTGCTTTTGCAGCAGGTCGCTAAAGGAGCTGAACCTTTCTCACAACAAAATGAGGATGCTTCCGGAGGAGTATGGGTCGGAAGCACAGAGCCGTCACTGGCGGAATCGCTGAGCTGAAGCATCTGAAAGGTGCCAGCCGGTGGTGTCATGCTGTCCTGAAATTCTGAGGTTGAATAAGCTGAAAAAGCTCTTTCTGTCCTTCAATGAGCTGTCCCTTGGTTTCAGTCAGTATGATGCATGGAAGAAGCCCTGCCTTGAAGTCCACAGGTCTGCTCTTCCGACGAACATCGGCACGAGCAAGGAGCTGGAGAAGCTGCGCATCACTTCGAACCAGATCAAGAAGCCTGGATCCCAGGTTTTGGCCGTGGGGCGCCCCAAAAATGTAAGAGAAGTGTAGATGAGAACGCAGAAAAAGCGGAAAGGCTGCCATACTCCATCCTCAAGCTTTGGAAGAAGGAGGGTGGAAAGCTGGAGGAGCATCTTGCCGGCATTGCTGTGCTCAGCCGGTGCGAACACGCACAGAAGCATGAGCACTAGGTGTGAGCCTTCGTCACAGGGCTTTTGAATACGCTTGCCACCACTTTGCCGAGGCTTTTGGTGGACCGAAATCCGCTGCAAGTACCCAGCATCACAGCCTTTGAGATGGAAGCGGCTGGGATCTCAGCATCCTTTAGAATGCCAGCACAGATCCGAAGTCTTCGTTGTTGGACAATGGTCCACAGGGCTTGCGTCAACTCAAGGCTTGCAGCCCCAAAGAACCTTCTAATGACCAACACTCGTTGAGTGCTTCTTGGATCGTAGTACAAAGCATCCTCATTGGAGCTGCCAGTTCATGCCAAGGGTTTCGAGTTTGAAGAGAGACCAAGGGCCCGCGAAAGCAGAGAGCGAAACGCAGAGCGCGAAAAACAGAGCCGCCACAGACCCGCCACAGATTCCTCGAGAACCCACCCGCAAAGCCTAGCGCAAGCAGTAAGACGCAGGGAATGGGCGGAATGGACAGAGCGTTCCATCTGCTACAGGCCAGCATCCGGACCAGCCGTTTGGCACTCTGTCTCATCGTGTGCATGTGCCGCAGGAGAGCAAGCTGGAGCAAGAACTGGCGGAGCAGTGGAAGCCTTGGAGAGTGGAATGGTTTTTGCAGATTTTCCACGTCTGATCTAGCTGCATCTAGCTTGCGGCACTTTCCCAATCACACCGAGGAAGCAGTTGGTGACCGATCAGCTAACAAGCGCCCAGCAGGCAATGCCAGCAATGCCGTTACAGTCGTTGCTGTGAACTTGTGCTTTTTGCAACCATTGTCACAGTCTTAGCTTGACGCAAGTGGCCGGGTTATCATGCGTTGAAGCATGTCATTTGGCTTGCTGCTGCTTGGCCTCGGAATGGAGATTGCCACTCAGCAGGTTGCTGCTTTACCAGCGCCTGCTGCGCCTGTTGAACGCAAGGTTTCGCCCTTGGCAGCACACGCAAGCGGAAACTTAGAACGGCAGGGTCACAATGTCATTCCAGATTGACGCTGCTTAGGTTGAATCGACCCCGTCTGAATATGTTGACTCTTGGCTTTAACCCTGCCCCACTCGTTGCTTCCTTGCCAGCGAAAGACCGTCTCGCATTGGGTTCTCCTGAGGACGAGCATCTCGATGCGTGGTACTTTGGACACTGTGTAGGTGAAGAGGCTTTCCTCCCTCCCAAAACCACGCAGAACATGGCATGAGGACATGGCCCTGCCAGGCGAAGATCCGAGATATTCGAGATGCTGAACAGAGCTTTCTTGTAAAGAAGAGGCGTGCCGAGGGGGCGGGGTGCACACGGTGGGTCCTGGAGAAGGGTTGGGCAGAGAGACAAGAGCCAATGAGCATAGTGAAAAGCCTGATTCTAACCAGTGCGATTCGCCTTTCAACAAACCCTCGCAGGTTTGCAGCTTTCACCATGGCATTGTTACATTCGGACCCACCCTCGTGATGCCTTCAAGACGATCTCATCTAATTAACATAGACTGCCTCACTATGTGGGTTTAGGGCCTGGTGTTTCACCCACCCAAGACCCCGTTGACGAAGACTTGACCACATTTGACGAGGTGATGGCATAGGAAAAGTTTTCTGTGAGCACACAAGCTCAACTCGTTTGGTTTGGAGATCTTTGCTGTTTACTCTGACCCCTGGGAGCTGGAGGCACACGTACTTGGCGATGCAAAGAAAGATTGCAGAGAGCCAGCAGGCAGTTGAACTGCTTCAACGTGGTTCCGGGTTTGGCCGTGCCCATGCCGCTGTGAGGAGGCAAGCAAAGATGGCAAGACACAACTCACCGAGCAGACAAAGGCAGGCTCCCTGTTGCGGTTTTTATTCCAGCAAGTGACAAACTGCCGCAAACTCCGACAGGCTTTTTTGGATGAGAAGAGCTATCAGAACTACCGCGGCCGTATTCATGAGCAGGACGTTGAATATGCCAGTCTAGTAGTGCAGATGCCACCCGGGCATACAAACAAGGGCCGGAAGCAGAGTGAGTGAGAAGACCGGTGGTAGATCCCTGCCAGGATATTGATCTGTTCTTCATCCTCTTTGTTTTTGCAGCAAAGCCGATGTACAAGTCGGCGCAGACTTGGTTCGACAAATTTGAGATTGGTGACAAGGGCTTTATGTCAAAGCAGGAGTGGTATGAGCCGGAGCCTCAGAACATCAGGACTGAGGCGCTATTGAAGCTTCATTGTGCAGAAGTTGAAGTTGCTGCAGTTTCCAGGTTGTGTTTGAACTCGCCCTTGGATGTGCGGCAGAAGATGATGGACAGCAGTGCGTGAACAAGCACATGAACGAATGAAGACTCAATACCTTGGCTAGAGTTGAGTATGCTGGGCTGGCCAGGACGATCTCTGGAATGTCCTGTTCGACAGCTCTGTGAGTTCTCATGGCTTGACAGAGCCGTTCTTCATCGCTGCTTGCCAGATCCACGACCTTGAGGCATCAGAGATGGTTGACAGCATTGCGAGACTGTCTACTATCTGCTGCTTCTGTTGCGCTGCTGCTGGTGCTGCTGCTGCTACCGCTGTCACCACCACCACCGGACACCGCCACCCTTTGCTTCCGCACCTGCTTGTTGCTGCGCGGTCGCAACATCACCTCTCGGAGACCCTGCGCCCCCAGTTTCTCATGACTCACTATTGTCTACGATTTGCTAGCTACCAGATGCTAGTTAGTAATTCCAAACTAGTTAGTAATTTACTCGGTGTAGTCAGCGGCTACGCTACGCGACCCGCCTCGGCCTGGCCCAGCGCAGCGCCCGGCGCATGTTCGCGGCTCCGTGGGGAAGGGAGGGGTAGGGGAAGAAAAGGGGGGGGGGGCCTGGCTGGGACGGGCTTCAACTGCCTCTGGTCCTGGCGAACCGTCCGCTTGCGGACCCTGGTTTCCTAGGGGGGGTACCCATTTCAGGCAAAAAAGGGGTCCGAAAATTGGCTTTGAGTGTTACACCTTCGGCCCGAGGCCTCGGCGGATTAGTCGTTTGGAATTAGCCATTGACACTGGAAGTGAGCACTTAGAAAGTAGTAAGTTCTCATTGCGAACTACTGTTCATGAATATCAACGCTGGCCGCACCACCGCGGCCTGGCCTGGTACCGATGGTCTTGTGGGGTCTTATGGCAGTGCAATGTGGGGGTGAGTATGGGGTCCGCAGGAGGTCCAGAGGCGTTCCACAGAGGTTCGCGTGGGTGGGATAAGATTCCTCTTGGAGAGCTTTGCCGGAGCTGTAGGTTCCACATCTCTTGGCCACAACAAACCTATTTCTAATCCGTATCTTGGCAAATAGGAAGTGCTTTGAAGGCACGCGACCCTTACATTGAGCGCATGGCTGATGCACTTTGCCTGGATTACTACGCCGCGCTGGCATGTCCTTGTACACCCTTCGCACTCTTGCAGCCGTGCTGGCTGCCACTTGCCAGGACAACACCATCTCTGAGATTGAGGCGAAGCTGGCGCCCAGTCGTATGGACACCGTGCGTGGGGTTGTGGGCATGTCTAGGCTACAGGGGGGAAAGGTTCAGAGATCTTCCAGAGCAAGGGATGTTGATCGTGCGAAGAAGGTAAATTTGATTTTCACGAAAGTGCTCTAAGAATGTTTTGAGGAGTTCGGAGTCGGGGGAGGCGATGGCGAGAACACCAAAAGCAGGCACGTCAGGGAGTTACGGGCACGTGCGTGTTGAGTCGCCTTGTAGAAGTAGGTCGGATGCTTTGTCGAACGCCTTGGAAGATCCGACTGGACTCAAGAGCGTCTGCTTCCTATGCAGAACTTCCACAAGCACCCAGCTTGCATAATCCAGCCAAAGACGGTTTGTAAGGCCAATCAATCAGCTGCAAAGCTGCACACGGGCTCGGGCCTGAAAATTCGCTTGAGAGCACTTGAGCCCTGCTCGCCTTGCGTGGCAAGGGTCCCGAATGGTTTTCCGTCTGATGCCTCTGCTACCATCCTGAGGTAGCACGTATGCTGCCAACGAAGTGCACTCATTGAAAGACATCTTGAAGAAGGCACAATCATGAACTTTCTCAGCGTCTGTTGTGGCCGCAGTAGCACGTAAGGTTGCATGCACCATGAGAAGATTATCTGCTGGCGCTGCAGGGCCAATAGCTTTGACCCCTGAAACCACCAAATCAAAGTCGTTCGCATTGCCCTCCGACATGGGGACTGAAGGCTGTTAAATTCGCGAGAATCATCCTGCGCAATCTCACTATCAACTGCCAAGCTGTACCAGACGAGTCCTGATGTGCAGGTCAGCCTCACAGACTACGACATCCAGCAAGTCAGCCATCTGGATGGCATTGAGGACGGGAGGATCTGCCAGTCGTGCTTGTCGCATAGCGCACGCATGCTGTGATGATAGTGCCACCGGTAAGGTGCGTGCTGACGAGCTTTCCAACACAGTCAGTGTGTGTGTGTGTGTGTGTGTGTGTGTGTGTGTCTCTGCGTGTCTCTGTGTGTGTGTGTGTGTGTGTGTGTGTGTGTGTGTGTGTGTGTCTCTGCGTGTCTCTGTGTCTCTGTGTGTGTGTGTGTGTAAGTGTGTGGGGGCGTTTGTGTCTGCGTATATGTGTGTCTCTGCCTGTGCCTGTGTCTGTCTCTGTCTGTGTCTGTTTCTGTGTCTGTGTCTGTGTCTGTGTATGTGGAACTGAATTGCTTTCCAGCCGATGCATCACACAGTCATCAACTCTTTTCAAAAGGCTGCATGTTCTCGATCAGTAGCGGCCGACCTGAAGATTATCACTGTCATGTGGACTGTCATGTGGACTGTCATGTGGTCGTAGAATGTTGTAAACATTGTGAAGTCTCCTTCCATGTTATGGTGTCGCTCATGGGAATTTTCCGCTTGAGTCCTCTTTGTTTGTGCCATTCATGGGAACCCTTGTGGGTCGTCCCTGAGGAAGGCAGCGATGCCGAGTCGGAGAAGTCGCGCGACTCCGCCGAGTTGTCCGACGATGAGAATTCCGAGATGTCTGAATTTGATGTCTGGTTCTGAGAGGATCTGAGAGGATCTGAGAGGATCTGAGAGGGTAACTTTTGCCGAAGTTTCGCAGCTGGAGTCGACTAGGCCCAGGCCTTTTTGCAGGAGGAGGAGCAAGCCAACCTGAAGTCCAGCGGCAAAACGCACCAGTGCACAAGCTCAGCATACTCCCAATTCGGCCCAGTTCGGCCCAATGTGCTTCCTGCAAAACCCTCTTTGGGAGATCGTTCATCTTCATCGTTACTCAACTAGAGCACACGGTGTGGAAGGCGCTTCGCCATCGGCAGTGATGCATCCCTGAAACAACTCATGGAGGCCTGCTTGCTCCGCTGTTGTCCGAATGGACCTCTGTTGCCTCTGTTGCACGTCGACGACGCTGTCCTGGCACTGTGCAATGCAGGCTCCGCTGCAGGAGATTTTCCGAGGCACGGTCTGCGTTGTGTGGACATTGCTGCTTCCTCCAACTATTCAAAGCTTGTGCTTCAGGTAGACGTGATGCCATGCGCGCGACAGAGGTGCCATGAGACACTTTTTGACCCTTGTTGTCGCCCATATCTTGTCGCATTGGGTGGGGGCAAAGACATGTATGCATGCAGCGTCCCAGCTTGCTCATGCAGTGGAAACGACTACCGTAGATGCCACATAGTATGCCGCAGTATGCCGTAGCAGCAAGGTGCGCGCTGCTATCATTACGCAACATGAGCGCGTGCATTCTTCGAGGTTTGCAGGACGTCAGTTCACTCCCAGACAGTGCATTAGTTTGCGAAGCAGCGTTCGTTGACGGCTCGGGCCATCGCATCCAGACCACCAATCAGACCAGAAGGCACATCAGCCTGAGGGCCTCAGGCTGCGCACAAGCCTGGTGCAGAAATGAAGATCTTGAAAGCACTTGCGACAGTTGCATTCTCATGCAAGTCCGCCCGTCCATGCAATGCAACTGTGAAATCGAATGAACAAACTCTGATGAAGGTCTGCGAGGTCCAGCCATGTCTTGTGAGTCTCGTGCGTCGTTCCTTTGCGGAGGATCAGAGGCATCAAGTTGAAACCTGGTGAGGGAAGCCCTGTCATTGCAACGTACAGGACAGCTGGAAACCCTGGAGCTGTCTATGATCCCAAAAAATCAGAGGATGCGGCTTTGTTGGTATCCCCTGGGCTGCAGGTGGCGGGTCCATACAAGCGCCAGGTGATCATCAAACCTCAGCGCAACCGCAGGCTTCCGGACAATTCAAGCTCGTGCTTGCTTCCGTTTGGCATGAGCTTTAAAGACGCCTGAGGCAGCACTCGGACGAACTTGCCGTGCGGCGAGCCGTTGCCTCAGGCTAAGCAGAAATGGAAAGAGGCTTTCTGCGACTGCAGCAGAGGGGCGATGGCACAGTGCACAGGGTCGAAAGTCAGTCTGAGTGCATTGGCAGGCCTTGCGTGATGTCTACCGGAGCATGCCGTTCCTGGACTTCTCGGCGTTCATCAGCTTCTTGCTTCGAACGCTTCACAGCATCAAGGCTTGAAGCAAAGTTCGTTCATGCCCAACTGTGTCGCCCGTTGTTACCCTGTCTGTTGCCCTTCTCACGTTGCCCAATTGCTGGGAGGAAGACAAGAACGACCGCTCAAGAGGTCTAAGCTGCTCATGGCATGATGATGATCCTTCGCCCGCTGCCCAGTTGCTGCGACATTCGCTTGTTTTCGGGTCCGAGTCGGTCTGAGGCCCGTGGCCAGGGATCAAAGCAGACCTCCATGCACATCACATGCACACCAAATCTCCCTGTAGGAGTGAGTACATGGGGTCTCGGCGTGCATGCTGAGCAAGAGTGTTGCCATCGTTTAGTGATTGTTAGGAGCCTGCATGTGTGCGGAAGCCTTGTTGAGAAGCCTTTCCCCGCTGACCCCGTGGTAGTCGGACGTGACAGCGGCGCGCGAGCAGGGGCAAATAGCTGGTGTTTCATGTTTAGTGCGCCACGAAGTCATCGAGACTAATAGAGGAAATAGACACGTCCAGCCAGGGAAATGCAGGGAGGGCCTGGGGCAGGTGTGAGAATGTATCGGCCAGTAGCATCAGTGCTGGAATATCTGGCTTAGTGTACCACTCAGGTTCCGACATGCAGTCGGAGCGGCAGGTCTGAACAAGTACACGTGCCGCATCTCGGATGCAAACTGTGGCATGTCGATCACGTGATGGACTCTCAAGTCTTAAAGTACCTTAAAGTCTCAGGTCTTCTGGAGATCATGGGTTTTGTTCACCTCAACAACATCTGCTGGATCTGGCCAACAGTTCGGCACTTGGAGACGAGCAAGAAGGCATACCAACAGTTCGTTTGCCGAGTTGTTGGTATCTTTCACCGTGCCCAAATCCAGGTTCACCTGAAATCTGCCAAGCATGGAAAGTGCTGGGGCCATCTGCAAGTGCCTCTGGACTGCCCTGGCTTGGTGAAGTCATCGGCTCGGCTTCGGGTTCAGACCAGGAAGCCCAACACGCACGATCACGCACGCTGACTCTCACGCTATACCTCATTTTTTGTTTGTTTCTTAGGGCTCGGCTGGAGCGTATGATCCAGATCCTGACGCAATGCCGGAAGCCCAACCTTCGGGTGTTGAGCTGCGACAATTGCACCTCTTCGATCGAGGCCTTGTTGCCATCAATAACAAGGGGCCGGCCTTTACAGGTTTTTCTGCTGCTTTTGCGCTGTTTTCTTTTTTTCTTTTGTTTTCTCGGCTTGCTCATGGCTCAGTTCTGTTGTTGTCCATTTTTGCCGGGCAGGCTACTTCGAAACCGACTAGCTGACTGGATGCACAAGTTGCTTTTTGAGAACATCCAAAGAGATGTGTGTTGCAGATTGCAGATCTCATGTGTTGCAGAGCGCTTCACAGAAAGGCACTGCAGCCCTCATGGGACAATGTGTATGCGGGATCTGTTCTTAGCTAATGAATTCATTCGCAGCGGTCATGGACCGGGCTGAGAGCAAACAAGAGCAAGCAAGTGATAGGCCTGAGAGACTTGCAGTTCTTACCTGCCACGACTTGCAGCAGCATTGAACACGGGGACAAATCCCAACAGTCAAAGACGTGATCCTTCAAGCCGGTGTACTGTTGCAGGATAGCATAGGATAGCTTTGCACTCTACTTGCCATCTTCAGGTTATTGTACAACCACATCTCAGCCTGGCGCCTTGTACAAAGTGACCGTCCTGCAAAACGCAGGTCGTCTGATGTGCTCGTTGTGTGAGTCCAAAGACGAATGGTGGGTGTGTGTGTGTGAGTGTGAGTGATAACCTAATGACCCCTGCAGACGGATCTGAATCAAACATGGTTTGACTCAGGGAATCGTCCGAGGTTATATAAGTGCCGCGCGATTCATCGAGCACCGCAGTATCGAAGTCGTGTCGACATGAGCTTGGGTTTCAAGCATACGGACACTCCTCAAAGTTTCACTGCACTGGCGTGAGTGCTCTGACCTGAATGACCTGTTCAAAGTGATTTGCGCATGTCCCGTGGCCATTCTGTCAGAGCCGGAGCCCATTGGGACCATGAATAGCAAGTGACATGTTGAAAGCTTTCCATGGCCATCGCCTTGACGAAGGGATGCTGGCAGATGGGTGGTGGCTTGGAAATTGCAGCTTACTGCTGCAAGATGTACCTGTGTTTCGATTGCACACCAGGTCACTTGATGGGGGGGCATCAAGGCCGCATGCTTCGCTAGTCAGTAGCACATGTCAAGGAACACTAAATCAAATTTGCGAGGGAAGCGTGCAGCCGTGCAGCTGTGAACACCTGTCACGGGCGGCTGGTTTTCGTTGTATTTGGGCGGTGGATGGCGGAGGAAGGGCAAAGGTGATCACATATTGCTTCTGAACAGCTGGAAATTGTTTTCTGAAGAATAACAACCAGGTATGTTGGGCTGAGTCTGAAGCTTCAGTTCAAACATGGTCGGGCCTGAGCGAGCAGCATGCAGGTATTCCTGAGCGAAAGCTCTGGCAACACGCGCGCATGCAAGACAGGCTTTTCACATGAGAAATTGTCATGCGCTCTGGGATCTAGGGCCTAGGGAAGGGACCTGGCCATGAGCCTCAGACTCTACGACTTTACTTTGAAGACCGAACAAATGTGGCACAATAAGATGTGGAACGTGTTGGTGCTTGTGTGGACCTGCCATATCTCTGCAAGACGTGCGTTGCACTTCGCTGTGCCTTGGTACCTGAGCGCCGAGGCAAGGGGAGGCTCCAGTGGTGTGTTTCAATGGCGTCTTCACCTTTGAGGTCGGCATTCATCGGTATTTCATGATTTCATGGTCATGCCATCCGCTCTTTGATCGGCTGCGTTGGATGCCAAGGTTTGTTGTCAGGGGAAAGTGCCGGGCCCGGCTCTTCCAGATTCTTCCAGTTTTCAAAGCCTTCGCGCCACTTTACTGCTTCCAAGGCGTCCCCATTCGCGAATTGGCCCCTGAGCTTCATCATCCTGGGTTTCCCTGGCTCTGGAACAACCAGCATGGTCAGGTCAGGGGTATCGTGACCGTGACTCAGCATGACTCAGCATGACTCAGCATGACTCAGCATGAGCCACGGCGGCCAGGGCATTAGAAGCTTATCCGAACGCCTTTGGCCTCAGAGATGTCTTCTTGAATTGCTTCCTTTTTTGGAAGCCCCAAACTCTCGTATCGAGGTGTCTGTTGTTCGGCGCGACAAGAGACTCGCTTGAATTTGGCACGCTGGATGGCTCTCTAAAGGAGCTTTGCAAAGCGCTCAGGCGTGGGAGGCCGTGGAAGCGGACTGAGATGCAGGTGCTCCTTTCGTTCCCGGAACGTTGGTGTTGAGAGTTGAGCGCTTGCGTTGAAGCCTCTGGCGTGAAGGCCTTGGGCAAGCTGATAAAGTTTGGAGCAAGATCTTCTGTACTCAAGTTTGGCTCGTTGATGGCGCGAGGGCAAAGGACCTAACGGTAATTAGCCCATGGCAATGCTCTTGCAAAACAGGGCTCGGGTGTCTCGGAAGCCCCATGAAGTGCCTTGTGGAGGACCTTCCGCAAACGTTTGATGTCCGATCCGACAGCGCTGTTGGATGCGGACAAGACGTGGGCTATGCTTCAAGTTCGACAAGCTCGATTTCTGGTGATGTTGCGGGACCCAGTGCCACTTGGCAACTGCCTTCAGCATGTCCGATGGGTTCCGGCAGATGTGATGTTGCGCGGTGTTGCGCTGTTGTGCATGGAAACTCTTCGCAGCTTCGCAAACGGCTCGCGTGGTTCGTGGCAGGGCAGGCCGTCAAAAGGCCTCCACTCGGAGAATCGCCCACGTATCGGGCTCCAGCAAGCACCGGTAGAAGTACCCTCGCGGGAAGCGCTCGAACTTTTTCGCCAATCTCCTCGTTTTTGGCTTGTCGCGCCTCACTTGGCGAGGGACTATGTGGCAGTGCTACTGGCGACACGTTCCCTCGACTCGTCTCGGTAAAGCTGCGCGAAGCTTGGCGTGCCAGGAACCGCACGCTGCGACCCAACGCGCTGCCCAGCATGCTTCAAAGCTGCCGTTGACGCGTTCCGGGGCAGTATGCCCGGTCGCGAAGTTCAGCAAGCCTGTTGCCCGTACCGGGCGCTCTGCAGCCGTGAGAGTGCCGGCAGCGGCGGACAGCTAGCAGCGCGGTGCCCACACGTCGGCTCGCATCGGCGGCCTCATCGCACCATTGACCTGCCCGGAACAAGGCGAAACGCCGGTGGATCTTTGCCGGTCACGCGGACCGGGCACCGGACCGGGCGAGTGGAAGAGCAGCAGCAAGGCAACACTTCCAACCGAGCACCTCGTCTTCGGGAGAGGGAGGGTGCACGAGGTGCCAAGCTACCCTTGTGGGGAGATGTACTCGGCATTCTGATACACGCAACAACGTCGCGCCAGGGGCATGTGTGTTTCTGTTTTTTTTGCATGTTTTGGCGCAAATGCACTTGGCCCCCGCGCAGTCTTCCAGGCCCGGGCGGTCGCGAGGACACCGCGCCATGCGTTTCGCCCTGTGGCAGCCCTGGGTTGCCAAACGGACCGGGCGAGGTCGCACCGGCCAGTCGAGGCGTCGCCGAGCGCCGTGTCAGATGACCGCGACCCGGGGTTGTTCGTACGTCATACCCCTTCTCCACACGGCGGCCGCCGACCGAGACGGCGCGAGCGACGTGGCTTGCCGACGACTTGGCCGCGACGTTGCGAGGAACGCCAGGAGCGCCCCCCCGTCCCTCCCCCAGGCCGTTATGCCTTTTGCACGCTGTGTCGGCGTGCGAGGCGTGGGACCTTCCGGCAGCGGACGCTTCGTTCATCGCATCGTTGCGGGCCCTCCTGCCTTGGGGGCGCGCCCACAGCATACAGAACACTGCCCTTCCGGCGCGCTGCTGTGCGAGGCGGGCTTGATGGCAGGCTCAGGATGCGGGGAGGCCTGCCCGGGTCAGACGGGGCTGGGTGAGATGCTTCCCCCTACTCGCCAGCCAGTGTGCGGATCGTTGGCGCGAGGCAAGCGTTCGCCCATGCTCGCCTTTCGCCCACGTAACGCGCCTGTTCGGGAGAGGTCGCGGATGCGGGCGTGGCGCGCAACGTCCGATTCGCGGGCACACGCGCATGCTGTCGCAGCCCACGCGACGGAGTCCGAACCCACGCCCTCCCCCAAGCATCCCTGTTTTTCCAGCTGCAAGCCTGTGCGGGCGGAGCTTGGGACCTGTCCTGTGGCCCTTGCCAGTTGCAGGCCGTCCACGGGCACGGTGCGTCACAGGCATTGCCCTTGCCGGCTTCTGTCGGCGCCTTTTCCGAAGTGCTTGCCGATGTCCTTGCGACGGCGGCTGTATTCACGACCGCTGGCAGCGTAGGCCGTGCAGCGCACCCTCGGCCCCCATATCGCGGACAGCATCCAGAACGCCTAGCAGCAGATGTGTCCTGAACTGTAGGCACTGCAGACAATTCTTCCGACTGTTATACTTCATCGTTGTTGTTATCCTTGCATTGAATGTTGTTGTCGCAGGGTATGGTGATCTTGTTACGTCAATTATTATGCATCACTTGGGACAAGTCTCTCGCCTCCTGCTCCCCTTGACAGCCTCCACGTGCCGGTGGTGGCCGCGATTTGGCATATTGTGTGACGGCAGGGAGGCTGGTGCCACTGTCGCACTCACCGTCCGTGCAATCGCAAATGGCCTTCCCATCGGGGCGGTCGCCGTCGACAGCCTCCCCTCACGGCTGCGGTGGCCGCCCGCCGAGAAGGTGCCAAGTTCACTGGCGCTCCTGGCCGTCATCGTATTTGGGAGGTGGAGCCCGGAAGCTGCCCACTTCGTGCATATGCTGGCACGTTATCGCTCCTACCGTCCCAGCGGTCCAAGCCGAGATACAGCCGGGTGAGCGGGTGCGCGCTTTCCACAACGATACATATGTCACGTGCCAGCCCAACGGAGTTGTGGCCTTTTACGTCAGTCGTGCGCACCACCTCTTAACGCACGCGCACATCCGGCTGAATGCCGGCAGAAACCCCGTGCGTGGCGTCGCGCAGTGCTCAGCGTCCGCTGCGTCGTCGGCACCACGGTCCGGCTGCGAAGATCGGATGTCCAGAAAGGTGCTGCCAGCAGCGCTGTTTTCCGTTCGTGATGGACGAGACGAGCACACCGAACGTTTGTACTTGACACGTCTTGTGTCCCCTTATAAAGATATGTGAGTTTGGGCACCTTCTTGTGCTCTTTGTTTCACATGTAGATACTGACCGCTGGACGGTTGTTTCAGGACCACAGCTGCTGTTCCTCGACTTCGGCAGGCAGCTGCAAGAGTCGTTGGTTAAATATAATAAATTTTCGGGCTGAGCAGGCCGACAGCGGCCTGCCCGCGGCCAAGGAGACCGAGGGAGCTCCCCGACCTGGACACCCTCCTGCGGTCGCAGAAAGGCATGACAGGAAAAAACAAATCTCGCCCATTCGGCGAATCGTCGCATTGGCTTGCCGGCAACCTAACTCGGCCCGAGTGGGATGCTGCCTGCGTGCGCTGGGACCGTGGTCACTGTCGCAAAAAGCCCCACAGGCAGTGTGCGCCTTGGTCACGGGCGACGTTGTCCGGCTTATCGTCGTGCGCGCCTGGCACAACAGTCCTGTCGCGAAACTTGAGCTCCTTTCCGGTATGCGCTGAGCACGCGCGTGGGGGCCGTGGTGCGAGCATTGCGCATGCGACGGAGACCGACACCCGGATGACGGCGTTGAGCATCGACGGCGTGGGTGCGTATGACTACATCCCCCGGGCGTGTAGTTATGCTTGATGCGTTGCGGGGTCGTGCCAAGCCGGAAGCATTGCTGCCGTTCGCGGCAATATTCAATGGGCAGGCCAGCTGCCCGTGTGTTCCCCTCGAGGCAAATTGGGCGGTTGGAGTGCCGAAGCCGTTGCGGTTGTTTGCCAGCTTGCACGCCCGCCCCCGCTCCGCGCCAGCCTCTGCCAGAGCGGCTTGTCGACCAGCGGCGTGCCGCGTGGCCGGTGCGCGTGTCGCCCGCAATGTCCGCGTCGCCGACATGAACATCGATGTGCTCGTCGCTGACGGCGGGTGAGTCGACGTCGTTGCCAACGGCCTGTTTCTCAGTTCGGGGTTGACGCTACGCTCGTCTCCCCGGCCCCACCCACAGGCAGATCTCGGCGACATGGCACGCACCCCGAACTCCTTTGCGCCTGGCGGTGCCTCCGCTGCTTCCCCTGGCTCCCGCCGCCGATATCGCGCCGCCTAGGCGGCCTGAGCCGCTGGTCGGAGGTGCGGTGGGATGGTGGCGGCTCGGTGGCGGGCGAGGGGGGAAGGAGCCGCAGGAAGGAGGCAGCTACGGTGGCGCCCGCCCCATTCCAGGCCAATGACGACCAGCCTGCCTGGATAGGCGCAGCCGGGCGGAAAAACTGTTTCCAAGCCTTACCAGTCCGGATCCGCCTCCTCACCGGGTAGGCTTCCCGGAACTCACTCACACGGTCTGAGTACAAGAGATGTAGGTTCACAGGTAGTCGGAGTCAAACCCAAAATTGCCTCCAGGAAGTCAAAGAGTGAATTTTTTTTTTTTTTCTCCTGGCGCCTTTTTGCAACTGCAGACGACGGTCAGAGGGTCGACCCTACAAGAGGCGCTCGCCCCGGGGCTGCCTAGTGCTGGGGCAGCGGCAAGCGGCTGGGTTGCGGGGGCGCCAGCCAGCGCGCGTCGGCCAGGACTTCGTGGAGGTCTGGCTGGCATACGCGCGCTGCGCCACCGGCAAGAACCCAGCCCAGCGCGCGACCCACGCCGCTTGCGCCGCCGGTCTGAGTGCGGCGGGGACGCCGGGCCAAAAGGCGGAGGAAGCGGGCTGACATCGCTGTGCGCTTTGCTCCCGACACATGCCCTCTAGCAGATGTCTGGGCTCACAACCAGGCGGCTAAGCAACAAGCCAAGCGTAAGATAAAGGAGGAATGTCCGTCTTGCCACCATGATGCAAAGAAATACGAAGCAAGTGCGCACGCGACACTTGTCCCCAAGCAAGGACACATCGCCTGGAAGGGTACGCAAACACCGCAAACGTAGGTCAGCAAGCCAGCCCACGTTCTTCGAGGCCGAGGAGTCCAGAAAGGAGATGGTGCCGGATATGAGAGGCGAGCGACTATCACGGCCCGGCGGGGAAAGAGAGCGCGCGTGTGTCCTACGTATGCAAACCAGTCAGGGCACACTGGTGCCACAGCTCCTGGAAGCCCCCCGGACACGAAGTTTTTTTTTCTCCAACAATCCGGATCAGCTGACCATGCCACTCCGGACGTGCCTGGTGCTTGGCATGATAGACACTAGTGCAAACAGAGGAAGCAAGGCACAAGGCGCTGAAACTCGAGTGGTGTCAGGAGCAACACGAGAACCTCCTTTGGAACTACGTATGGTGGGACGAGAAGTCCAGCTGTCTCAAGCCGTTGGCCAGGCAAGGACTGACGCAAGAGCAAGTTCTGGCGCTGCAACGAAAGGTGGCTTCATCAGGTGACCGAAACAAAGGCCCGCCTCATTCTCTCCCTCCAACACGAGCAATCACTGTTACATCATCACCCCAACCAATCGCTTCTGCGAGACAGTGCGCGCCATGTCCGGCCTCGGACTCGAGGATTTGGACGCAGAGTGGCGTAGATGTCCGCGCACCGCGGCAATCAGCGGACTGCAATCCGAGGCCGCCCGGCGCGCCAGGCAGGGTGGCAACGTGCCGTCCGTCCGTGTGTGTGTATGTGTGTGTGTGTGTGTGTGTGTGTGTGTGTTTTATTTTATTTTTTTCATCGCATGCCTTTTTCCGCAGCATATCGTCGCGGGGGGCGGGGTTCCAAGGGGCATCAGCCAGGACCTCGTGCAGCTCAGCATACACAGCATCATCGCCGTTGCTCTCGGCCGCAAGGGCGAGTTCGAGCAAGGGAGGGGGCGAACGCGGTGATGGGCAACTCCAGCGATGGGGCTCGCAGGCAATGCCACACGTGGCCCGCCTGCCCAAGTGGTTGCTTGCGTGGGCGGCAGTGCGCCGCAGTGCAGTGCTACCCTCGCGGGAGGCGAGTCGGAACTCGCCGAACTCAGCAAGCTGCGCGAGGTCGCGCCGGAGCTCCTCCCCTTCATGTTGCTCTTTTACGGCCAGCCCTGCAGCTACTGCTGGTGGGACGCCACGGGGCATGGCGTTGTTGCGCCGCGGACTGAAGCCCGAGACGGACCAGTCACATGAGCAACCGGGCGCGGCGAGCTTTCGAAACAGGAAGCAGCCCCCCGTCCCTCCCCCCAGCCAGCAGCAACGCTCTATGCCCAGCGGCGAACTGCTCCGTATCTCTGGGGGGGAGTGTTCGGGGCACATAGACGCAACGCGGTGCCCCACAACAGTACTGACACCGGTGGCATGTTTCGCAGCTGGTATAATACTATTATTATAACAAGCGAGTGCAATAAGCGTACGGACAAGAGATCCCAAGGAAAGAACTGGATACAAAAGGACTCTCTTTATTATAGGATTTCATGCGTTTTAATATTAATAATACCGTGTACGCGCAAACATCATATTTTATATTTCTTGGAATTGCGCGTAAATGCACGAAACATGTGAATTAGATGCACGATTTTAATTCTATTCACGTACTCCCTTGTAATACTATTAATATTAATACCCCCGGGCAACTATAATATACTAATAATGGGGTCTTTTTGCGGTTTAATTACAAATGCAATGAAATGTAATGCGTGAATTAAACAAGCGAAACACAGGAATTTTATTAACGAAAACCATTAGAATGAGTGCGTTCATTAAATATTCTTGTCGCGTGAACGCAATAAAATAGTAAATTTGCCCCTTTCATTATAATTATACGGGCATGTGCTTATAATATTATATGATCACTAGTTAAAATATAGTAGTTTTATTATTAGGGGGATTTCTTGTACTTGAAAGCCGTTCATAAAATTTACCAGCTCCATTTGGAGAAAGTTGATGTGGAGTGGCGTCGACTACTACAAAAAAAAAACACTGGTTGGGCCGCCGGACATGGATTGGAATCGTCCGTGGCATGAAATTCTTCACGATTGGAACCAAAGGGTGGTCAGCATTAGCGAGCGCATTCATTTACAAACCTGGTCGCCTTACTGAAACAATACTGGCATCTTGCACCGCATGTGATGACTCTGCCCAATACCCCGTTTGGTCAAACGCGCGCTTCGCTGCCTGGAGCCCCGACGTCAAACCACCGACGCCTCGACCTTGTGGTGTTTGGCGCATCGCCTTGTGTTGCGATGCCACGCCGGTCAGCCCCATCGGCGGGGCGAGCACCCCACACCCACGAACAGATCACACTCCTGGCATCGCCTTGCGCACGGCCATGCATGGCCGAAAGCTGCAAGCGCGCAACGTGCCTGGAATTGCAGGGCGGCGGAAGCCAACGCCATTTGGTCCTGGCTGCGGAGGTCGGTGACAGCTCGTCTTCCGCGCGCCACCAACCCGATCGAGCTCTGGGCGCGGAGGCGGTGGGCATGCGGGTGCGAGGACCATGTGTTGGCGCTCGCCGAGCCAGCTGGCCCGAACCGCCTCCCGCTGCGTTAGGCCGGGGCCTGCCGACCTAATCCGGTTCATCACGATAAGCCGCACGACTTCTGCATAGCCGGAAAAATTGATAAGACAGGATCTGTGCGGTTGATGAGACAGGATGTGTGCCGTTGATTCGATGCATATCCCCAGGAGGGTGATTTTTCTGAGTGTGCTATCCTGTGCACTTTGTCAAAGGCCAGACCCGCCTGTTGATACATTTGCTTGCTCCTTTTTGATGCACCGAGCCGCGACGCAACATGAGACAGGATGCTGGCAATGCAAGTCAGCGCTGAGTGCTCCGAAACCCTTTTGTTGATGCTCCGAAACCCTTTTGTTGATGCTTGATTTGATTCTTGTTCACGAAACCCCCCTAAGTTGATTCTTGACCTTACAAATCATCAACAGGATCCTGACGGATCCGATTCACGCAAGAATGCGAAGAGTACCGACATGGTCCGCATCCGCGCATGCCGCGCGCCGCCAACAGTGCGCCGAGCGGCCGCATCCGGCTGGGCAAGACGTTGGTGGAGCATCATCTCGGTCGCCGTTCAACAGGCTGTGGGCACCACGGCCCTGGGTCGTCCACTTCCACCGCGGCCGACGAGCCTGCCCCACCGCTCGACCGCCTCCTGGAGCCTGGGCCGCCCGACCCAAGCCGGCTGCCACTGCGGCTGCAGCCCGGGTAGTTTAAGAACAGCTTAGCCGACCGAACGGATACGCAGGCGTAAAAGTCCGAGAAAAAAAAGAATACCAAGTTCGAACAAGTTGGTTACGCCTTCCCGTAAGGGACCAGGCATGACCGGACGGTGGGCATCGTGGACCGCCGCAAGGAATGCTTCGCGTCGCGCAAGCACCTTCGGCCGTTGCCCCTCATGCGCACGACGATGACGATGCCGCATGGCGCACCCACAGAAACCTAAGTCATCGCAACTCGCAACCCCCCAAGCACCAACGTGGCCCATCCCAAACCAGTCTCGTTCCTGTTTGCTGAACGGCAACCACAAAAATCAAACGACTTAGATGCAGTCGGTGCCTTGGGGTGGCTACAGTGATACTTCCCTCGAGCCGAGCCAGGTCATGGCTGGTGTCTCAAACTTGCCAAGTTCCTTGCGGGGATGATCACGAGCGATGGGGATTGTGCCATCGCTTGCCACATTGGGCCCGTGGCCCAGCTGGTGAACACATGTTGCGCGCACCTTTATTTGAATGGCTTCGCGTTTGTATACTTGTGAAAAGTTGGGAGATGTGCACACGGTTGAGTGTGGCATCACCTCTTTTTTCCAAAGCGCTGGGGAGACTGATTGTTATGCTTCCACGCCGAGACAGCTTGGCGGTAGTGAGTTTAGAATCATTGTTGGCCGAGCCCGTGGCCACCATGCATGCTTTGTCTTCCTTCTTACATTTGAAGTCGCCTTGGCAACCTGCTTCACCATTGTTTCCTGCTCATAATGTACATGCTGCAAGCAGTCGGTGTCAACAGCACATGCATAACCAATTGGATCTGAGAGTCAACTTGTATTTTCGACAAGAGCGTCGGTGGCTTGCTTCTGTATTGAGGGTGTTCGCACCCAGCAAGTTGCCACTCCCAGCCGTGTGGCGGCAATATTTGCGACCAGCTCCGAACATCTCGGATGAGTTCCTGGAAGCCGTGATGAGCCAGCCGATGAAGGCAAGCGTGATACAGACATGAGTGCCACGAATCATTTGCATCGTGGAGGACGTTTCGACTGCGTTTCCAAGTTGTCAAAACGGCAGTGGGGAATCTGTTGCGGCAGAGTCTAAGATGGCTAAGGCCAAGGGTAGGAGCCGCCAAGACTTTGACAAATGGGTCCAAGCTCGAGTTAAACGCTCGGGGTTAAGCGGAAAATGTTTAATGCAGCACTGAAATCCGGGATGCAATTGACTATTTCGTCCTGAATGAACCCGGTCCCAAGCTTTCAGGCGAGTCATCTTCACGTATAAGAGGGAGCCGAGACGGTTCCAGGGTCGAAGCAAGCCCGTGTGAACGATTGCGACTTACACCAGCAGCTCCTATCGATTCTCGACGTTGCCGGCTCAACGTGTTGCTGCACCCGTCAGCCCCTGACACACCATAGATCACAATACATCACAATACGGATGAGTTCAACAAGTCTCAACGTCGGCCATTGGCACTAAAGCAACAGCATCATGCGTAGTGTGGGCATGCAATGTGGGCCCACGTCCAAAGTCTAAGCCTCAGACGCAGTTGGGCCCCGAGCGCGCTTCACACGTTTCAGCCAAGGAAGTCATAGCGTTTCCGGACGGGGCACAAGTCAACTTGCGATCAACCACGAACCGTTTGCCCGGCCAGCTTGAAAGGGGCACAGGACTCAACAATTCAATTCCAGCAACTGATCTTGACAGGTCTCGGCAGCAGAGCAAAAGGTTTTGGAGTTGGGGGTGTGCCATCCGAGGAGGAGAATCCTTGACAAGCCCACCTCTGTTGAACCATGCCAGTGCTTGAGACAAGGATGATCGCGTCCTGCAGCGATTCTGCAAAAGAGGGCCGGCCATGACAGCAGCAAGCTCCCAAGACGCTTGTTGTCGTGTTAGGATATGGCTTGTTGCAAGCAATAGGCACCAGAACAAGTCCCAGCTGGTTGTGGCTCGTGCCTAGCCCAGTGTTAGCTAGGTGCACAAGCATGCCCAGTGGATGCGATTTGAGAGGCCAGGCGAGTAGCGAAGCACCTGCGAAGTTTGCAGGTGCGGCAACCCGGCGGCCTTTTTGGCATGCCAAAGGTTCTCGTTTTGTTGATCATTTTTGTTTCTTTCAACTGTGCGTGCCAGTTAGTTGACACGCCCTGTGCAGGTGCAAGGCTGTGTTGTTTTGCGACACGGTTTGCCAGAAGCGAGCCTGGCTGGCGCCCCAAACATGTAAAAATGTGCATAGACCCTTGTTCAGCCAGATTCGGCCAATTTGGTTGACACATCCCAATGATGCAGGCCGGTGCACAAGCTCACCTGCGAGAGCCTTGAGGCTAAGCTCACTCTGTTGTTCTGGCACTTCTCAAGGAATCGTAGCATGCTGCCACAGTTTCGCTTGTACTACGAGCTGGGGGCCGCTGTGAAAGGATCGTTTCGCCAAGTACGATATGGAGCAGGAGCTTAACGCCAAGTGAGGAAAAAGACCGGATTGAGCGGGGGGGGAGCCACGCGAGGAGCAGATGGAACGAGAGGAGTGCAGCAACAGAGACAGTCTTCGGCAGCGGGAAGAAGCTGTGGCGAAGGCTGGCCACGAGCGTGTCAGGCAAATTTTTGGTTGCATACAGACAGTTTCCCTTCCAACCTTCAATGCCTGCAGTGCTGCAGATCATATGTCGTTCGAAGGTGATGCAGTACTGCAGGCTCTTTGCATGTTTTTTTTTAAATCGTTGTGCGATTCCGAGGGTTGGGGCTTGGCTGCTTAACCATGCGGTGCGTTCACATGCAGCTGCTTAGACGTTGCTGCTTGCCACTGTCTAGAACCAAGGAGATTGAATCATTTCCTACCAAGTTCTTGCCACACAATTGTTGCTGCCTTGGTGATGTTTGGATGAGCTTTCTACGTCGGCCAGGCTATCGGCTTTCATGCCTACTGTACATCGCAGAAAAGTAACTTGTTCAGGGGCTTGTGCAAAGCCTGGAGCACGCTGGCGAGCTGCCGGGGGGCACAGGGAGCAACTGACAGGGCCCGTGCTTGTTTGTCCGCGGTTGTCTTTGAACATCTCTCCTGGCATGCCCTACTTGGTGGAGATGCCGCCCCGCCAGTCCCAGAAGGCGACCTGGTCGGTGCCACCCGCGGGTGGCAGCGTGCTGCTTCCCAGTAGAGAGTTTTTGCCACCCTGAGCCCACGTTCGCGTCACCATTGTTCCGAGCAGTCCTTTTCGGCGGCTGCACCTCCCACTCGATCCACTCGCTGCAGCCAGATGCCGGTGCCGGTGACCACCAAGCGTGTTGCGCTCGCGTGAAGGCCTGGTTGAACGATTGCGAGTTGTGGCAAGCCCAAAGCTGCCCTGGTGCTGTTGTGCTGTCCGCACTGCCACCCTCGTTTGCCTCGGGGGGGGATTGGAGGTGGGGTGCCCGCTTTGTGCCACCCATACACCTACGGCCCGGATTATGGCGACGCATGTCCTCGCGCATGACCTCAATGTTTTGAGGCCCATGGAGGTCATCGCTACTGGCTTGCCCTTTTGCGGCGGCATGCAACGTGCCGTCGACATTACTCGGGTGTCGCCCTTCATGGCGGTGGGGGGTGCCTTGATGTGCGTTGGCTCGTTGTTGTTGGCCTTGAGGCTGGAGGGCGGTGCTCCCGAGTTGGTCAAAGTAATTGCTTGCTTTCGTGCACGGGCTGCTCCCGTTGCATCCAGGCCACCGTTGTGCTTGCCCTGCATTGGTCCAAACTGTTTGCCTTTGTTGCTGCCTGGTCGTTTCACCCACCTCCCACTGCCCTTTAACGTTGATGGGGAGGCTTCCTTTCCGAGCGATGTCCTCAAGGATTCCTGCTGAGCCGCCTCCATTGTCAGCCGTCTTCCATGAAACGCACATACTCCATGCCAGCGTTCCTTCCCGCAGAGTGTCGCCTTGGATCTGGCCTCTTGCACTGAGACTGCGAGATGGATTGCAAAGGTTCGGACAAAAATGCAGTAGACCCGGCCGTTAATTAGGGAAGTTTGCTATACGTTTGTGCAGGATAGCCTTTCTATTATGGAAACCTCTCTGAGCAGAAGCACGGCTTATGCTATGGCAGCTTGCGGACGCACTCGGCAAATATGAACTTCTTTGGCAGGTTCCACCAGACAGAACTCACAGTGTAAAGAAGCCGAGTGCACCAAAAGACGGCGGGGAGCAGATCGAGGGATGGCAGAGGTTCGGCGGAAGCTTTTCGGAGGTTTCCCGAATCGCTTGAGGAAGAACTCTGGTTGTTATCACCGTCGGAACGCAGACAGATGCAAATGGCGGGTGTGCATAATCTGTTGATAACAGCTGAGGTGCTAAGCTTGCTGGGATTTGTATCCTGCTGCTACACGTCTTAAGCTGTGCTGGCAGAAAGCTGACACTTTGGTGCGTCCAAAACTTCTGTATGGCTTAAAATGCATCGATGCAACGAACAGAGACAGTCACACGGTCTGAACGTTCTTGCTCGAGGGTATCTTTGAAGATCTTTGAAGCAATTGTCTGTGATGTCGGGAAACCCAGCGATTATCCGTCAATCTGCGAAGCAACCATCGGGATGTACGGGGACCCTTGAGAAAAGGTACCGAGCGGCTGTTCCGAACATGTGTTGCAATACGTGCCAGTGCAGTTCAGCTCATGAACGGTAGACCCATGGCCCGGCGACAGGTTTTGAACTGCTAGGGATCGTTCATTTCATGATTGTCACATCTCTTTCAGGAGAAGGAGCTGGCGGCAACTCTGGAGGTGGTGTTTTGTAGTGATTGTAGTGCATGTGAATGCTGGGACACTGCACCGTGAAGGACTTTTTTAACCGTGGAGCTTCCAAGCAGGTGAAGGTCGGCGTTCTTTCCTTCTTTCTTTCCTTCTTCCTTTCTGTGGGCATTTAGTGGCACTTCTTGTCACGCAACTTGTGGGTCTACTGAGCACTCTAGTAACTAGAAACACTCTCAGCAGGAGTCAAAGCGGCCAGAGTGGCTTTCTCGGAAGGAGCGGCGTGATTGGGAGACGATTTCTGACGGTCTCTGGTGCGGCGTGTGTGTGGCATGTGCAGCATGCGCGTCCAGGAACAGTCGGAGCCTGAAGCGATCCCGGACGAGCAGGCTCGGGGATCTTGCATGTCACGCTGCTGCCCATCGCAATTAGGGTTCTGTTGGCCCCGACTTTGAGGTTGCACTCAAGCAAAACAACGGCTATGGCGTGACAGCCATCGAAACAGAGCTGAGAGCTGTCCTCAAATCGGCGAGTCCTGCTCTTGAATGGTGCGTCGCAGAATTCTCGCAGAATTGAAAAAGCTTGCTGAGCTCAGGTGGAGCAGACACGGGACCGTTGCCGGAGCCAGAGAGTCAGTTCAGTTCCGCAATGTTTGGGCACTGATTGAGACTTGCTGGTCTTTGAGAAGTTGAGGAGGGTGCATGATGTGTTGGCTTGGCTTCATTCTTCATAGCTGCGTGTGCAAAGGCAACTGGTTTGGAGTTGTTGGCTCAAGTAGACGGGATGCCTCATGCCCGTGCTGAGCTGAACGACCGCTGCTTGACTTTTTACGTTTTTCCTGCTTAATTTGGTCTTCGCAGCGAAGTCTCTCCCCAGCACCTTGTCGCTCGTGCTCTGAACCACCGAGGCTTCCACGTTTTCTGCCCCGCGGTTGAAACTTATCCCTTTTGGAAGTGCCACTGCCCACGTGCCGACTGTGCATAGTCGGTCCTAGCATGACAGAGTTGGGTAACAGGACGAGTGCCACAACGTCGTCCGTTGCATCTTTGCGAAATTGGAGTCGGCATCAAGATGAATAGTTTGAACGTTCGCTTTGAGGGTCATCGTCGAGCCAAGGAATCCTGCGAACATGATAGGCCCCGCCTGCTGTAGTAGTTGTCTGAAGTGCTTTGTGGGTGCGTGGCCAGTCATGAGAAGTCAACCTGCTCCACCTAGCTAGATTCATGCAGCGGGCATCCTGGAAAGATGAAAACTCCTATGTTTATCGAGCATGTGGGTGAATCTTTATTGGTTGTTAAAGGGTATTCACGCACTTCGAGTGTTGACAGGGCTGGCCAGTAGAAGCTCGGGCCAGCAACATACAAGTTCAGCTTGATTCTGGGCCCAGGTCGACTGTATGATGCATGGTGTTGACCAATCTGAATTCCGCAGGAAGATCTTGCCTCATCCCTTTCATTTTCCTCTTTGCCAATGCACGCTTCCTCGGCGCAGTGTCGGCGCCGATGCTTGGTGTAAAAAGAACAAGGCGTCGCCATCAGCGCACAAGCTGCGTGACGTGCTCATGTTTGCCTCCCCGAGGAGTGTGAAGCACAAGGAGCCCTTGGCTCAGCACATCTCGTCTCATCGTCTGGTGAAGCGTTTGTTTGTGTGTGTGTGTGTGTGTGTGTATTGGCACCTGTTTCTTCAATCCACTTAGGCACAGTCCGTTCGTAAGCGACACAAGAAGACAGGTCAAAGGATCTTCAGGAGTGGAGGCTCGGTCCTCTCTCTCCTTCCGGGCATGCCCGATGGATCCCGATGGCATAGTGTCCGATGTGCTAGGTCGCGAAGGATGGTCAGGCGCATAGAAGAATCATCCGGGGCAGTGACGCCCGAGATGAAGCGAAGGCCAAGAAGGCGTGTTGCGACAGTTCCAGAAATTTGAAGTTCGTGGTCCCTAGCAGCAGGGCATGACCTGTCATGACCTTTCATACCTTTCGTCTAGGATTCATATGCTGCGATAGCTGTCGATGCAGCAGCCGAAGCCGAATCCATCAAATCTTCAAGCAGCCTGGACACCAACTCAGACCTGCAGGCCCGTCCGTGAAGCGATAGTGCACGCAACATTTGCTTGCAAGAGTCTTGTGCCCCCCTTAGCCTTCTGATGGAAACAGGTGCAGACTAGCGAGGCCCCGGAGACGGAAGATGATTCCAGTGAGGAAGAGACCACACCGCAATCATCCACCATGACTAGTACAGCTTCGAGTGCCACGTCCAGCGCGCCCACAGTTGCTGAAGTCAACGCCGGGCAAAATGTGACTTGGTGAACGGAGGATTCGCAACATCTTTTGCCTGCGCTTTGTTTGTTTGTTTGTTTGTTTGTTTGTTTGTTTGGGACAAGGTCGACTGTCAGTGGGAGACCTGGCGAGAGTGGAGTGCCTGCCAATTTACTTGTGGTGGAGGTGCGCCATCCAAAGACAAGGTTTGCAGCCTTTGTGCCTTTGTTCGCAAATTACCTTGGCGTGCTTTTTAAACTTTTTCCTTGAGGACAATCCGTTCGTACACGCAAAGTGCGGCAGATGGCGCAAGGCAATGGGGTCCCTCAGCTGCTCCTAGAGCTTTTCGTGCCTGAGGTGATCAAGCGTGCACGTAGTCTAAGGCTGCTTGCGATAACAACGACAAAGAAACTCGCGACTGCAACTCCAATCCCTGCCCGATTGATTGCGCCACTTGGCAGATGCCATTAGGGATGCTGCCCTTGCATTTGTGATTCCCCCTGTTTGGATCAGATTTGGGATGAATGGGCTCCGTGGGGAAGCTGCTCGGCAACCTGCGGGCTTGGCACAAAGGTGGCTGCATTAGCGGTGGCAGTTGCAGCTGCTAGTGGTGCTGCGGCAGGTCAAAATGCGTGCTCAGACTCAGCTTCCAGAATATGGAGGCGCCAACTTGGGATCGGCAGATAGCGACAAGGAATGACAAGGATGTCCCGGGTGCAGGCAAACCTTGCATCGGAAATGCCACGGCATCGGCAGAGTGCCAGGACAGTCCTGTTGCGTGTTGCCTGTTTGCTGAGCACTGGACGTCCCTTTACATGTTCGTATCGTCTCAACCCTGCTGCATGTCTGCTGCATATGAAGGCCAAGATTTGTCCAGTGGATTGCAAGTGGGGCGACTGGGGAGACTGGGAAGGCACCGCTCTCCCTTGGCAAGCGACCCAAATAGCTCGTTCGCGGCGCTCTACTCGCAGCGGACTCTGAGCGGCTCTTGTTCACATCTGTTCAATATTAATTGCAGGCTGCTCCAAGTCTTGCGGCGTCGGCGAGAGGTCAAGGCATGTCGCAGCGAGGAATATGCCAGAGCTGAGCAGCCTTGCACAGTGTACAGTACTGCCTTGAGCACGGCACAGGTATCGGAGCTACGCGCAGATCAAGAATACACAGGGCAAGGAATGCCAGAAACACAGTTGAGGGCTCCGGCGGCATTGTTTCCACTGCCTCACGTCTAGGGAAAGAAGCTAAGGTCCCGGTCAAAACCTTCAGACCGAGAACTGCGGGATGAACACATGCCCTGTTGATTGCGTCATGGAGGATTGGCAGCCGTGGGAGCCTTGTGACGTCACTTGCGGAGACGGCATCATGCGACGAGAGCGCAAGGTATTGACACTGCCAGTGTTTGGCGGGGAGATGTGCAGTGCTGTCTCAGAGAACAAAACTTGTGACAATGGCCTTTGCCCCGTTCATTGCCAGCTTAGTGACTGGACGCAGTGGGCGGATTGTAGTATCAGTTGTACAACAGACGGGCAGCCGGGGTCTACGAAACGGTTCCGGGCGGTAGTTCAACACAAGAACATGCTGGGAGATGACTGCGCCGGAGAGCTTGAGCAGACCACCACGTGCAGCCCTACTCAATGCCCGGTGGATTGCCAGATGTCTGACTGGACTACTTGGTCTGATTGCAGCAGCACCTGTGGTCCCGGAGTTGTCGAGCGTCAGCGCAACCTGGCAGCAGCGGCACAATATGGAGGTAAAGACTGCCTCGGAGATGCCAACGAAACATATCAGAAGCGGTACTGTTCCAGAGATACATGCCCAGTGGACTGCCAATGGAGCGATTGGCAGGCTGGGTCAAGCAAGTTTTGCTCCAGCACTCTTCAAAGTGATAGGCCTTGATATGTAGAACGGTAGACCTTTTTTCTACATGACGTACAAAATCCCCACACCCGCAGGAGTGGCGTGCTTGCTCGGTAACGTGTGGGTCTGGAACCAGTTACCGCATGCGTTTGGTGCAGACGCCGATGCTACATGGTGGCAAGGATTGCGACGGTGGCTCACAACAGACTCGCGCATGCAATCCGGCATCATGCCCGGTCCACTGCGAGTGGGGAGATTGGACGACGTGGGGAGATTGCAGCACCACCTGTGGTGATGGCGAAGAGAAGCGAAGCAGAGATGTGAAGGTTCGTGCCGACTTTGGCGGTGACCCCTGCTCAGGTACTGCTCATGGCAATAGAAGCTGTGACAACAAGGAATGCCCCGTGAATTGTCAATGGGCAGACTGGGCGACTTGGGGAAGCTGCTCAGCATCTTGTGGCTCAGGTCTCCAAACGCGGCAGCGTGAAAAGGCAGTTCCTGCGCAACATGGTGGCAGTGATTGTGATGGATCCGTCAAGGAGTCCGTTGCCTGTCCCACCCTACCCGCGTGCCCGGTGGATTGCGAGTGGGATGACTGGTCACAGTGGGAAGGATGCTCTGTGACATGCGGGTCTGGGTTCATAAGAAGAAGCCGGACGAGGAGGCTCTATGAAAAGAATGGCGGCCATCTCTGCTATGGGACTGAGGATGATGAGCAGGCGTCTTGGTATTCTTGCACAAAGGGGGTGGGTCCGAGAGGTTACCTCAAAATATCCCACAGGCATGCAGGTATGTCTGCTCTTTTTGGGCTTTGGTTTCACTTCGATGATGTATTTATTTATCCCACGTTTGCCTTCTGGTAGGCTCCCCAAAGAAACTGAAAGCCAAACATGACACGAGCCGAGCGGATAAAAACCTGCGGGAAAGCAGCCGTGTGGTGCTGGACAGAAAGGCCGGTGACAATGTGTTCTCCATCCTCAAACTCCCCCCCCCCCCCCCCCCCCCCCCCTGCAGTTTGTCGAATATGCTTCCCGCATGACCGACTGATGTTCCAATTGCTTTAAAGCCGCATGCTTTACACATCATGCCGTTCTCCACCGCCAGCAATGAGAAGCAAGGGTTCCTTCTGTAGGCTTGTTGTTCTCGCATGTTCTCGCTGTTTGGGTCGAGACCATGCAACAGAAGAAAGTCCGGCTCGTCAGTGGCTAGTTAATGTGTCATGAAGCAGTCGTAGGTTGAGACATTGCAGTCTTTTCGGGAGAGCTTTGCTTAGCGGAAATGCCCCGGCTCGATGCACAGTCCTGCAGGCAATTAAAGACTTAATGTTGTTCTCGGTTTAGTATCGTGGAGCGCCCCCCCCCCCCCCCCCCCCGTCTCCCCTGACAGTTTCGGATGATTTTCAGCTTATTTTTCCGGTAACTACTGGTACGGTTGTTGAGGGCCGAGGGTTTTCAGGGGGTTGGGGAAGCTGCTTAGGCCTTCAGGCTTTAGGGCGTCGAATCTTCCCTTTGTGGCTCTGGAATAGTGACAGCGCACCTTTCCCCTAGAACATTTGCTTGGGGGCCTTGCTTCGCAAGGCAATAACAAAAGGAACCTAAACAAAACCGGGGACCAGAAAGATTTGGGAATCTGGAGCTACCCCACTCCAGCTTCAAGAAAACAGGGGCAACACTAGTGAACCACAGAAGATCACACAAGCTTCCTTTCATCGAGGCTTGCGCGCTGGATCCTTGTCCTGTTGATTGCGTCCTGGGAGACTGGGGACGCTGGTCGGAATGCTCGGTTACATGTGGGCCCACTGGTCAGCAGACACGATCTCGTGCCATTGTCGTTGATGGGTCTTTGGGTGGCAAAGCTTGCAGCGCAGATAATCAAAGTGAAGCAACAGCCTGCGAAGATGCTCCGTGCCCTGTCCACTGCGAGTGGGCGACATGGGGTGAATGGAGCAAGTGCACCAAGCAATGCAATGCGGGAACAACTTTTCGGCACCGGTCTGAGAATGTATCCGCGGAGCACGGAGGACGCCAATGTGAAGGTTCTGCTGACGAGGAGCAGCAGACAGTAGGGCTGTAGCAAGTGCTTCTATATAGGGTGCAGGGTGTTGGAGCATGCTGACATTGTGCAGGAGATGGTGTGCAACGCGCATGGCTGTCCAGTCGATTGCAAATTTGATGATTGGACGGAGTGGACTGAGTGTTCGAAGAGCTGTAGTACTGGCAACAGGACTCTAGCCGAACATGCATGCAGACGGCTGTTACATGCTTTTACATTTAGCCTAGATCATCTTGTTGGAACATGATGTTGCTTATGCTCGGGATGCAAACAGAGGGTTTCAGGCCGAGGCACAGGCCCTGCAATTGGCCCCGGGCATGCTTTTCGCTTCTGATATTGTGACTTCGACGGCTACTCACCACCGCGAACCTTTCTAGATCTTCTATTCTTTAGACGCAAGGCCTCGGCCAAGATTCACCCGAGTAACTCTAGGTGAATCAGTGTTGGATGGCCTTAAGAGCAGGGGGGCATGTTTTCAAACCTTGTATATGCCGGCCCCATTGTATGGCCTGGGGGCTGAAGGTGTATCGGTGTACCCAATGACGAAACTCGCACTCAAAGCTTGAGGACAGCGACCCGAAAGCTCATAACCCCAGCGTTGTGGGGTGGTCAACCTTGCGATGGAGGCATCTTCAAGACAGAGTACTGCAACGAGCAGCCCTGCCCGATAGACTGCGTCTGGGGCGAGTGGTCTAACTACGCCCTTTGTTCGAAGACGTGTGGCGGTGGTCAGATGCAGAGGACTCGCGAATCGACTCCCGAGCTGTATGGTGGTATGTCCTGCAGTGGGCTTGCAAAGGAGTCCACGCCATGCAATACGCAAGGGTGCCCCCAGGACTGCCAGTGGGGCCAGTGGACAACTTGGACACCTTGTTCCAAAGAATGTGGCGGTGGATCCATCAAGCGATTTCGAGATGTCGTTGTGAAGCGAGCTTTTGGTGGGGATCCATGTGTTGGAGCTTCAGAGGAGGAAGCGGGCTGCAACTTCGACGTCTGCGCAGTCCACTGCGAATGGAATGACTGGGAGCCATGGGGCCCCTGCCCAGCCAGTTGCAATGGAGGGGTGCGCACCAAAAGTAGAACCCGCAAGCAGGAAGCCTCTGCTGGTGGAAGGCCGTGTGGCGGCAATCGCACCGAACTTGAGAGATGCAACCCTCAACCATGTCCAGTAGACTGCAGCTTCGAGCTGTGGCAAGAGTGGGGCGATTGCTCGGCTTCCTGCGGAGTGGGCTCGCGTTTCCGGACGCGAGTGAAGAAGGCGGAGCTCTATGGCGGGGCACCGTGTCAGGACGTGATGTGGGAGACGGGCGAGTGCAGCAACCCCGAGGATGAAATCAACTGTCCCCACTCAACCTCAAGCACCACGACAACGGTCAAGGCCTCAGATTCCTTTTGAGACTCCTTCTGAGACTTGTAGTCTTAAGACTTTACGAATGATTCAGATGGGTCCCCGAGAGTCAGACAGACCGTTCCCTTGTTTCTCTGTCGCACCAACTTCTTAAGAGCATCACCAGCCGAGTTGACACTCCTCCAACTTGAAAATGGAGAACTTGGCTGGAGCCACCTGCACAACGTGTGGGAGCCACACGCGTGGGCCCTACTTGCCTACATCGGGGCTTTTTGGATCGGAAGGACGCACGGCACAGCTGCAGTTCCAAAGGTAGATCGCGGCCCGTTGGACATTCCGGACAATGAAGAGCTGTCCAAGAATTTCTCGATCAGATGCTCGACAGAACAAGCGGTTCCGAGTGTGAATGCACACCGCGTTGAAGCAAAAGGGATCTGGACTGTAACCCCTTGAGGCAAAGATCCCAGCTACAAGGGAGCACCTTACAAGCCCACGATACCTTGTCCCAAAGACAAGCTGAACAAGTCGCCGCTTGGCTACACTGTGAAGAGTTGGACAGTTTTGTGGAAACCTGGAATGCCTGAGGCTTGAGATCTATGAAAAGCTGAAGTTCCAGCAGCCCAATCTTGCGAGACGCCTACAAAAAAGCATGAGCACTTGAACAGACATGTCACATGTCAACGTAGACTCTGCGATCTTGCCGTTTGTGAGCCTGTGAGGCCAAATTGCCGAATGCAACACAGGCAGAGGCCATGCAGGTGATCGACGAGATTATCAAGAACATAACGGGAGAGGCACTTGAGTGCGCTGTGCTTCGTGCTACTTCGTTGTCGTTCTTCCTGAGTGGCAGCTGTCCCTGCAGGTGCCACAAGTGAACTACACGTACAACGACCCTTGGAACGTAGTTGCGAGCACACTTGCAGAATCTGGAGAGACTTGATTTTGCAACGCTGGCCGCTGAGGAAGTGGTCTTGAAGCGCACAACGGCCCCACCAACGAATCACACTCAGTTCCATTTCGCACATGCTGCTTTATTGAGGCTTCGGAGCTTTTTGTTTCCGGGTCCAAGGCTGCCACCGCCATCTCCGACAGCCGTGGAGCGGACTGCAGACATGGCACCTGGGCTTTCCTTATCGCGTGACCTGCACAAGAAATACAGGAACTGAGAATCAGAAGGGCCCTGGCAGGGCACGTCTGGCGACGATATCCAAGAGGTGCTCAACATCCTGGAAGCCCTGCCCAGCAAGAGCGCTGAAGTGGAGAAGTTTTTGGAGCAGGCTGTGAGATGCTGGAATCCTGCCGAGATTTGCAGAGCAATAAGATCAACATGTCAATTGGCGGGTCAGTAAAGAGGTAAACAGGGTCCAGGCCTACGCTATGCAGCATTTGGCAGTCAGATGGAAACAGCAAATACGGGGCGACGAGTGAAGCACAGTGAAATTCAGTGAAAGCATCGTTGCTCTGGCTTGTGCGGTGCGTCCCTTTGCATGCAGGTCAGGCAGAATCTATCTGCCAGTGACGGGTCGCGGCCTTTCCAGGGCGCGGGGAACTTTTCGGAATATTTGTCCAAGGAGGCAGCCGAAGCACCTGACACACCTGCCTCGCAACTAGGACTGCAGTGTCTGAGGTTTGATGGCTTCAGCCGGCTTGAAATTTTGATCTTGAGGTTCTCACACTGCAGTGTGGGCTTGCAAAGGTCTGTTGCATTGACAGAACAATGCTCATGATAGCCAGCATTCGCCCAGGAAGAACTTCACGGATGCCTTTGAGAATGGCAACAAGAAGGAGAAACATGTGGTTGTTTGGTCTGGGAGTCCAGCCAACGAGAGTTCATGGCCGTGTTCTTTAGAATCAGGAGGGAAAGACGGTACTGGCGGAAGTTGCTGGAGACCTTGGTCTAGATGTGATCGAAGCAGACGACTTTGCCAGCAAGCTCAGCCGAACGTGAAGGCCACGCAGCATGTGCAGTGCGCATGTAATGTCCGCTGAGGCCGGAAACCCATCAATTCCTGTGCCTGGGCTTCGAAGAATTGAGCTTAACTACATGACATAACATCAGTAGCGAAATGCCGATCCCAAGGATGCTATGGCAAAGACCCTTGCCGATTTGGCGGGTGCTGACAGCAAAGATGTAAAGGTGGACGTTACCATTCCACAGGCTGACCAGCCACAAGTCTTTGCATGTCTTTGCGCTCCGCGATGCTCAGCGCATTTGTTCCGCATAGCTGTTGCAGGCCATGCTGCTTTCGCAAGTGCAGAAGAAGGTGAAGGGCAATGTGCTTTGACACTGACAAATGTGCTGGTGCAGCAACCTTCAGGTTACTACTCCCTCTCGACGCGTAAACGCTGCCAGTTGTGCCGAGGTGAATGTGGCATATATGATTGAGGTTTATAAAGAAGACGCGAATCGAGGAAATGCATCCTACGTCGCATCACGTATCTCATCTCAGGCCTGCATCGACTTGAGATGTCAAGCTGTATATTGCGGTTTTACGCGAACCACGCTAGCACTTGAACAAACGGTGTTCCAGATCTATCTGCTTCCCTGTTCCGAAGGACATAAACATGGTGACATCAGAAGCCAGACGGCAGGCGCGAGCGATCGCCAAGCATCAAATAGCTACGGGCTTTCTGTGCGATGTATTGCACAGGTGACGGCCGCTGGTCAGAATTTCGCGCTCAGGGCTTGCTGCTCAGCGCTTGCAGCAAATAGATTCTAATGCATATCGTTTGACAGTACGTCGTTCTCCCCAGGCCGTAAGCCTCAGCGTGACTATCTTGCCGGTCAGCACTGACGGCAACATCGAGATGTTGCCTAGTCTTGCGCCGAGAATCTCCATAGGACCTTGGACGCATGCAGTAGAAGTCCTGTGCCCGTGGGTTCGGAAGTGAGGCTCCGACGAAGCGGATGCAGCAAACAATTCGCTGGTCGAGGATCCAGAGCCAAGTGAAGGGGTTATTCCGCTCAAGCGGCCCGCATACCCTGCGCAAGCAGCGTCGAGGCATAGTCATAGTCAAAACTACATCGCTCGCTGGAGGACGCCGTGCCCACTGCCGTCCTTGATGGGAAGGCCAAGGCCAGCAACACACAGCAACACCTTTTGAACTTCGTGCCATCTGCGACATGTCACTATACACGGCATGGCAGGCTCCAAGCAGCGCCCAAGCCATGGTGGAAACGGCTCATCAAGTAAAGAGCGCCTCCAAGGCCGCAACGAATTGATGATGTCTAAATGATCCAACCAATTTTATTCTAACAGCTCCTTGTGGAAGAGCTTTGTGAGATTTCTCGACGCTGATTGAGGACCCTTTTAGGTTTTGATGTTCAGCTGGGGCTTTTTGCCTAGCGGGACTAGCTGTGGTCTGGTCCAATGCATTGCGTCAGGTTGCAGCTGCGAAGCGCCATGAGCAGCATGAGGCCGAAGCAGACAAGGCCACCGGGCATGGCTGAAACTTTTGTGCTTGTATCTTTCATGTGTGGACATACATATATATATATGTATATATTGTCTCCCCCCCACATATGGACCCACCTCGGCCTTTAAATCTATCAAAAGCACTGCAAATACCGATACAATTTTTTGTATGTTTCCTTTTGACCTTTTGTAATTGCCTTCCTTGATCTCCCTATCTCTCTCTCTCTCTTCTTATATCTATTTGTTTTTCTTTTTGTTATCCCTCTCTGTCTTTGTGTACACATATATACACACATGCAATGCTTGCAACAAAGCTGCTTGCGATCAGATATGTCTCTTTCACATTCCTGCTCGCGTGCGGTCCCAATGCTAGAACTTCTTTGATTTGAGTCGTACTATAGCCGGTTTGCTCTCACTGCATCTCACTGCTTTTCCCACTTTTTCCCATCCGGATTCTTGTCTGACCTCCAATATCCCGGATTTCAATCATTACTTCCAAGGAAATCAACAATAGGTTGGAAAGTATGCGAAAGGCACAGCTGTTTGAAATGCTAATTAAAAGCGATGAGTAAGGAGCCGACGTCGTAAAGATAAGATATTCATGCAATAAACCTAAATAGATTTGGGCCGATGCCTTGCCGGCCGTGTGCGAGTGTGAGAGTCGAAATAGATTTGGGATCCGGAAGTAGATAGAATAGGTAGCCCACGATATAACTACTTATTGATTAGGTTTTTTGTCCATCCATTTCCACCTGGAATTCCTTTGAACAACGAATGAATCTCAAGGTCAAAGAAAGATATCATTTTCCTTCTTCATTTCAGTAGTTCGCGTCAGGGAAGTGAATTGATTGGAGGAGAAATGGTCATAAACAAAGAAGCAATAGCTGTAAACATGAGAGAACAGAAGGTCCATGGTGCTCATGAACTAGATAAACAAACATCGTATTCCCGGATGCAGACTTTCTTATTTGGATAGATTTTTTTGAGAAGAGAAATCATCACGTACGAGGACAAAGACCCAAGAAAGAACGGTTTCATGTATACATTTCCTTGATAGTTCACTAAAGACCATTCATTATAATCCTTGGCAAACACAAGATTAAAATGAAAACGTGATTTCTGAATACTTTAGTTCACAGATTTCACCGTGCAAGAAAGAACCATCAACATATAGGGAATATAACAGAACAGAAGATAAGCTGTGCTCATAAACTAGATTTTTGACGCATACTCTTCTTGGATATAGAAGTTATTTTCAGGATATAGTTCATCAGGTGCGAGGATGCAGGCCCAAGAAAGAAATCCATCTTTACCATTGACTGTTTCATTCGTTGAAGACCATTCGCGATAATATTTGCTCTTGGTCTGTTAGTTCGTGAAAGACAATTCATCTTAAGACTTGGCAAACACCAGATTGAGATGAAAGCGTGAATGCTTCAGTTCACATAGTGAACATACAAGAAAGGATCAGAGAACAGAAGATAAGTTGTGCTCACAAAATAGATAAGTACGCATACTCTTCTTGGATATAAAAGTTATTTTCAAGATATAGTTCAGCAGATGCGAGGATACAGGTCCAAGAAAGAAATTCATTCGTTGCAAACCATTCATTATAAGATTTGCCCTTGGTCTGGCCAGCAATCCTCGCTGCCCTCTTTGGGAAAGCCGAAAGTCAAACGAATAAGCTTTTCTTGTTTCTCATGCGCAGAAACCAGACAGAACCATTAAGGAGATGTCTGTATTTGCTACCGAGTGTATATAATGGTGGTATGTTACGAAGGCTCCCGGGGTTGTTGCTGAAAGATGGCCATACCAAGAGATAACACCCCCAGAAGCAATCTTTTGTCGGGCAACACCAAGAAAACCAAAATACAATCTTTTCCAACATCACAGGGCTGGAGCCTGAAAAGATGGTTCTTTGGGCTTTCTGGAGAGGAAGATGGTTTTTATTGGTTCGAAACCATCGTTTTCTCAAGAAAAAGATGGTTTTTTGGAGATCTTCCCATTCAACAACCATCTTCTTCTCGAGAAAAGGATGGTTTTCGATGGGTTCTTGAGCAACCATCATTCGAAAAACGCTCTTCTGCTCGAGAAAAAAAATGGTTTTTGGAAACCTTTTCAATCAAAAACAACCTGGTTTTGAAACAAAAGCCACTTTTTTTGGGGGAAGAACAAAAAACCATCTTTTGGCGCTCCAGCCTCATAGTTTTGGAAAAGGTGGTTTTTTGTTTCATGATTGTTACGTTTTTGTTGGTTTTCCCCGACCAAAGATGGTTTCTGGATTTTCCTGTCTTGGTCTGGCCAGCGGCGGCACCCGTGGTGGGTCCAACTGGTGGGGGGGCGGGGCCGAGCATATGTATATATATATATATATATACACAACATATATATATATATACTTCATCGTTGTATGATGATGCATGTCCTCCCAGGTCAGCTTTCGCAGCAATCGTAGCGCTTTGTTCCACGGCACGTCTGATGCTTGGGAGCTGGTGTTGAAGATCGCCAAGACCAAGAAATTTGGATTTTCCTCTCCGTTGTGGGAGAGCTCCAAACTGCTGAATGAACAATCGCCAGAGGACAAGGTCGAGGATGCCAAGTACGACGCTTACAACACGGCGTCCTTCAAGAAAATTCGCGTGTGTGTTGACAAGCCGAAGGACAACTGCGTGGAGCACACCTTCGCCAAGAAGTACGATAGTGCCAAAGCGCTGTTCAGTGCCGGGTATATTAAAGATGAGAAAGTCAAGAAGGATGACATTCTGAAAGCATTCGGACCCAAGAAGGGGTCCTACCAGGACTGCGGCATGCAGAGGTCGGATGCCGAGTCTTTAAATATTGGTTATCACATAGTGTCACTGCCATGATTTGTTGCCCTGCTGTCAGAGATGTCTTGGCAAGGCCTGGCTTCAACATCCAGTGCAAAGACGGCAACAAAGCCCGCTGGGGCTACTGCAACAACTGCAAGACCCAAGACTGCCAGGAAGAGGATGAAAATGATGCAGACGGAGCTATCGGGATTGGGCTTGCAGGGCAGAGCACGGAGACAGAGATGGGAGCAGGTTTCACAGCGTGACGTGGCAGCATGGCGAGACAGTTCTTGCACCGGAATTAAGTTTGCTTCTGGTTGGGTTCAGTCAGGTTCTTTGCGTCCGGCTCATGTCATCCCACTGGCACGACCTTCAAGGCTGTGTCTGGGCTGAGATGGCTGATTTTGCACGTGTCACATGCAGTACGACTTTGGCTGCAAGGCCTCGTCTCAAGAGAATGCATGTGCATTGCGCGTCCATTCGAATGGACGTCCTCAAGTAGTACCTTCCCACGTGTTTTGTGTGTTTTCCCGGAACTGATTTGGCATACAAAGCATAAGCCCAGGTGTGGCTTTGGGTTGAGAGCGAGGCCCTCGAAGCTTGCATGTTGCTGATCTGATACGTCTTGTTTGCCTTCTTAATGTACGCAGATCTTCCATCCTCCTGGCATGGCATAGCAGGGCATGACACCTCAGACGCAGAGTGCTCTTGTTGGGTCTCTTGTTTTTTTGATCTGCAAGCCCGTACTCAAAATGCCTGATCGTTAGCTTGGTGTCCTATACTTGTGTTAGCCGTGTTGTTGCAGGTCCAGGTGGTTCCTGTTACAGGTGTCTGTTTCAGATCTGTTTCAATCCCTCTCCCACTACATGGTCCACCCGACCAGGAGAAGAAGGCAGCTGAGAAGTCAGACAATGCAAGACATTACCTGTCCATCCTGGCTGCTTCACCGCTGGTGCCTTCTTGAAAGCATTGTTTAATAAACCCTTGCTTGTGCTTTTGTTTGTGGACAGGCAGATTAAACCTATGGACTGGAATCTCAAGATGCTGAGGTGATGATTCTGCTGGATGTGATGTCGTGAGACCTCAAAAGCATTGCATACAATCGAGGGCCGAGGGAGGGTGTTCAGGCAAGAGCGCAAAAAAACAGCCCTGCTTTCGGCCATATCCTTCGAAGCAGCTACATTCCATGTGGGTTGTTTGAGTCCGATGCTGCTCGCTTCAGTCTACGATTTACGCAGAATCTAGGATTCGGCCGGATTGCATGGAATGTTTGGAGCAAGTGTCAACAAGAACATGCCTTGCAGCAAGGCCTTGTGGTGGCTTTGTTTCGCTACCGAACAAAGGGGTCGGAGCCTTGCGACTCTTGACGGGATGTGGATGTTGCGAGGCAGCATGAGTTCCTTCTTAATTTCTTCTGAGCTCTCAAACCGCGAAAACTAGGGCGAGTCCGTGGACATGCCTCGTGTTCTGCTTGGCAGCGGCGGCTTTGAAGGCTTATGTGGAAAAGTTGGCAGAGCCAGCTCCCAAGAGTTGCCTATTGCGCATCGTACCTCTTCATACCTCTGCAGTCACTCAGTTCCCTGTTGTGAGATTCAGCACTTTTTGGTTTAAGGCTGCCATGCTGGCAGCTCTCAAGATGGGATATCGCGGGATTGATACGTCTGAGATGAACAGGAGAATCCCGCGCCTCTCGCAGTCAGATGCTGCATGGCTTTGGGGCGCAGAGATGAGCTTTTTGTTTCAGAAGTGTCCCGACAGGAACCTGACAGATGTCCGGTGGGCGTGCGTCCGCCTCAGACAGCCAGTGCATGCGAGAAGTTGACCTGGAAGAACTTTGCAAGGCGAGAAATCTGGTTTGGCTCGCGGGGACTTGTTCTTTGTCGTGAAGATACCGCCCTGGGGCCATGGCCAGGTGCTCGGTGCAGTGAAATTCCGTGGCTCTGCATGGATCCTCCCAGACTTAAGGCTATGAAGGTGTGCACCAATCGTTCAAGAGGCCGGGCCAGAGTGCTGTGCAGGCTGTGCAGGTTAAGGTTTCTGCGTGGCACAAAGCCACCAGTGCGAGCACTGGTTAAGAATATGGGTCAGGTCAGGTCAGGGGGCTCGGATTCTTAATTATGCATGCTTGGCATGTTTCCAAGTTGATCAGCAATCACCTGGATCCTCTTTGTGGGACACCCAACTCATCCATCTCAAGTGATGGCAGTGTCCTTCTGCTACTGCGAAGCTGCTTGCTGCGCATTGCTGCGCATTCGCATAATCCTTTGCAACCAGTAGTTGGCACACACGCATACATCGACAGTGACCGACGCCACTCCACTTCCTTTTGTTCGTCAATCACGCTCGGTGTCGACACGTAGCAGTTTATCAAGGCCAACCTTTTGTGCGTGATGATGCGATGACCGATGGGTGTCTTACGGTTCTGTGGGGTCTGAATTGCCATGAACAGCAGCGGAAGGGCCATGAAGCTCCCAAAAAGGAGCAGGATGCATCAATCATCAAGGATCCCAGTTTGCAGATGAGATGCACATGAACGGTAAGGAGTTGCTGTTGCTTGCAGTGGGGGGGGGGGGGTGAATGTTTGGGGGCGACGAGGCAGATTAGTCAGCTGGCCATTGATCATGTCCAGCGCTTAAAGCGTCGGACCTGCTTGGTTCGTTGCACGCTGCGAGTCCTTGTCTGGGCCGAGGTTGATTTGCTGCTGATTCATTGGTTGTTACCTCAGACGCTCTGATGCTTCAGTGGCTCCGGCGCACCGACAACTTGTCAAACAGGCCTCACCCGTGGTTCCGGCAGCAACAAAACTGGAGTCCGTCGCAGTGGTCCACGCCGACCCTGGCAAGATTACTCTGAGCTTGTGGGTCTTTGCGCAGCATCCCCAGGGGCTCCGAGTCCTCATGAGCCGTGGGCTGCGGCTGTGATTGTGCTTCAGCGGCTCGCTCCGATAATTTGGATTAATTTGGCTCATTACGAAGCCATCCATGGTAAGCTGAGCATATCTGAGCATGATAGGCATAGGTCGCACACACTGTCAAGATGGCTTGCCGAACCTGTTTTGGACCCAGTATTGCACAGACACTTAGCAGACACATCAGACACGCTCCGGAAGCGAGGTGTGATGGTGGGACCGGGCCCTCGCGAGGGCCCGCAGTGTGATGCTGTCACCCGTGAAACCCGTGAATCCTGTGAAGGATGCCAAGGAAGGTAAGGGGACTTTGTCACAAGTCCAGGCCTGCCAGCGGCAAGTATCGGAGCTTCGTGCCAGCCTTTCCCTGCTGGCAGAGCGGTGTGGCTGTCTTGAAGATGTGCACAAGGGAGCCATTGAGAAGCTGAGAGCATTTGGTTCCTCGCCGACCGGTGGACAAGCCACACTGGAGCAGCTCAAGAAGCAATCCACGGCCAAAGTGAGAGGTCTGCAAAACCGCCATGGAGAGCTTATGAGGTTGCTGCAGGATGAATTGTCTGGCTATCCAGTCGAGACTTTGGATAAGTTAGCGACGACTGACACAGGAAAGTCAGAGAAGACAACAACGGCAACAGCACCGCTTCAGGGTGCCGCAGGGAAGACAGAAGGCACAGCCGTCGGTGCGGCCGTTCCGCTGACCCTCGAGAGCGAGCCAGAGACCGACAAAGTCACGGTCATGCCCACGGACCGCGTGGGGAAGGTGAACTCGAGACTCCGCTTCTCGTCAACAGCATGTGACCTTGCAGTGTCAGAGCTGTTAGAGTTGCTCTAGCCAGTCTAGTCACTGACAGTCACTGGATTTCGTATCCTGAAACGGGGACCCCTTTTTTTGGCCTTTTTTTCGACCCAATGGTCTGGTAGAAAACGGAGGAAAACCAGAGAAAAACCTCTCTAACCCGAAGCCCTGAACCCCAAACCCTAAACCCTAAACCCGAAAACGGAGAGACAGTTCCGACCACACCGCACGTTAGCTACTTAGGCGCAATGGTGAGCTGGAAGAGCTCCTTCGAGACGGCCTTTTACCATAGACTAGGAAGAAGCCTTCAAGAAACTTAGGCTCGTCTGGAACTCAAACATGCCTAGGCGTAAAAAGATTTTCATCTTTAATGCCACATTCAGGCCATCCCTGATGCACGGTCTCGACACCCTAACGCTGACACAACGCCAGCTACACCGCATAGAGCTCAGTATATCCGCTTCTTAAGAAGGGCCATAGGCATTAAGGCATCCTATTTCTCTAGGATGTCGAATGAGGAGGTCCTATACCAAGCATACCGCCCCACTTTACCCTCAGCCTTGCTAGAGTATCAACAGTATACGTACGCGGTCATATCCTATCAGTCAGATAGACCAGACCCTACACACAATGTTATTTTTGGCCCAGCGTACAAAGATTTAATCCGAGTGAAGGGTCGACGTCGAGGGATGCAGTTTCCGTACTGGCTAGAAGTAACCAGCAACCGACATTTCCCCGACCTTAAGCCGGACCACGCTGCAGGCATATTAGGACCACATCAATTTTACGCTAAGATTGCCGGATTTGTGCAAAGTCCCACTTTTGAGCTGGCGCCTAAGCGCACAAAACTGCCGCGCACGGCCATAGCAAAAATAACGCCTTAAGCCCTGCTTGCGACACGGGTGGGAAAAAACCCTAAACCCTGGGGTGGTGAAACCCTAAACTGCCGAGAGCACCGCATGTGCATGGGCGCTCGAGGGTACAGTAAAGCCTCCCGGTAGACCCCAAACCCCGAGCCGTCCATGGCATGAAGGGCATTTTTTCGGGGCACCTTTTGGGGGGGAGTGGGGCCGCAGGCTGGCAGTTTCAAGGCCTCCCTCGTTTGGGGGTACCTGCATGGACTGTCTTGGGCGCCCCTTGTTTTAAGCCGCGAAAGCTTCAAAAAGCCCCACGAGCCACCAATGGGCTCCAGAAGGCTCCAGAAGGCTTTTGGGACCTCCCTGCAGCAGGGGCTCTTCCTCCTAGAGTTCGGAAGGAAGTAAAAAGCAAAAAAGCCCTCTTGAGGGGTGTTTGGGAACCCTAAATGAAAATAGTTTGGCTGGTTGGGGTGGGACTACATGCTAACGCAAGCGAGCGGGCTGGGTGCTTTCAGCACCAGCGAGCTTCCCTTCTACACACCCTAAACCCTAAACCCAACCGTAAACCCCAAACCCGAAACCCTAAAACCCTAAAACCCTAAAACCCTAAAACCCTAAAACCCTAAAACCCTAAAACCCTAAAACCCTAAAACCCTAAAACCCTAAAACCCTCTAAAACCCTAAAACCCTAAAACCCTAAGACCCTAACACCCTAACACCCTAAAACCCCCCTAAAACCCTAAAACCCTAGCCACCACCCCCCCCCCCCCCACCACCAAAAAAACACAACAAAACGGGCAGCAAAACAAAAAGGCCAAAACAAAAGTGCACCCCCTGTACCTTCCTCCAGTCTGGCGTGAGCTTTGGAATTGTCTGTGAATATCTGAGGATTTCATGACATCCAGGCCAAGGCAGCTCCGGACGCACACAAAGCTCGACTCTTTCCTGAGAGCAAGGGAAACGCACGCAGCTTTCCAGGAGCAGAGCCTTGGTCAGCAAAGGCCCCGCGACCTCCCCGTGATCGCGTCGAGGAAATTCGCAGGAGAGCTGCTGAAATCGAAAGGGAGAAACGGGCGGCCCTGTCTAATGCGGCCGCAGAACCTGGACCAGGTACACCGCAAGTTCCTGGAGAACCTGATTCATCTCGGTCACCGATAAGTGATGTTTGGGCCAGGTTCCACCCATCACGGGGAGGCGACTCAGCCAATTTGTTTTGGCCAATGTCTGTTGGGGGGAATGTCCCTGGTCCGAATCCATCAGTCGGCATCCAGGAACCAACTGCCGTGCCTCCAGCAAATGTGGGAGCCAGTTGCCACGGCAGTGTGGATGGTGGCTTTGCCACGCCTCAGACGCAGACCTTTGCAAATGGAGCTGCTCCAGTAGCACCGTTGGCGCCACTACCCCCAGCACCGCCCGCTGGCTTTCGACCCGTTTACCCCCCCTCAATGTGCACACCTCACCTGCCAATGCCTGCGTCATTTCCCTTTGGAGCCGCTTGCCCTCCAAGCACGCCGGATTTCATGGGCCTGAGCTCACTCCCCGCCCCATCCACACTGCCAGGGTCACCATGGTCCAGCTTTCCCTCCTTACCGTGAGCGAGGCCTTCAGGCCTTTCAGACGGCCAAAGAACGGAGAGTGCTCTCTGTGATGTACAATGCCGGTTTCACCATGCGCTGTCGTGCTGTGCAAGTGCACAGTGCTAGTGCTTGTGTCGTGTCAGAGCCGCCTGAGGTCAGTGATCATAATCACTGCCGAAACTGTCGGGATGCCGACGTTTGGCAAAGACTTAGCCAGCTTGTTCGTTGCTGTTGCAATGCGCTGTTGGGAGATTATGGCTGGAGAAAAGCATGCAACAACTGCCAGGGCCAAGCAGACCAAAGCTTCTCTGCGTCGAGAAACTTGGAAAGCCATGGAAGAGTCTGTGCCTCAGATTGGCTTGCTGGCCATTGTCGATTTCTTCTTTTGTGAGATCCGAGGCTTTACAACTCCGGACGGGCACGCGCAATTGGAGTCAGCAATCACACGATCGAGGACATGGAGGACACGTGGGCTTTCGACTTTCGACAGCAACGATTTTTTCCGTGAATGCCGCCAGGCAATTCTGCGTGACTGTGCCGCTGCATGCTCAGCCCCGCACTGCACAGCGCGTTTGGTCTGCGCCATGCGAGATGCATGATCATGGGTGACTGGACCCGAAAATGTTGCAGGTTGCTCCAATGGTCATGCAGGGAGAGTCACACCCGCACTGGACAAACAGGTACTTGGGATTGTCGTGTACAATCATTCGCACGCACCACGGAAGTTTAGGAGCACGTGGCCACCGCCTGGAAGGTCTGTGCGCGACTGGTGCAGGAAACATGAGATCGTTTTCCAAGGCTCCTCAGTCAGCACGGTTCATGGGCTTGAATGCCCGGAGTGTTAGATGTGCCTCTGTGCCAAAGTTTAAGCTTAGGCTATGCACCTTTTGGTGGACAAGAGACCACGCACAATTCTGGCCATCGTGCCGTTGATGAGCCTCGGCATTGGTTAATTTGTACGCGAAGCATTTTGATGCTTTGCAGAGCGGCATGCTGCGCGCTTTGTGCCTAGCTTGTGGTGTATCCTCTGGGCGTTCGTTGCTCATGCAAGAAGAGATAACATCTCAGGATCCAACAGTTCAATCGGTGTGGGACTTGGAGTTTGAGTTTAGTTTTACTTGGAGGCACGATGTACACGAGGGCCATGAAGGGGGCGGGGCTCCGTTCGTGTTTCCGTTGTGAGCCATGAGCTGAGGTAGCGGAGAAGAATGGCTTGACACCGTTTCAGGAGCGTGCAGGGTGCAATGTAGGACTTTGCACTGGCTCGTCCTGCCTTCGATTGCTTCAGGCCTGCATGCAGTGGAACCAGGCACGCAACTCAAGTACCGTGGTAAAGCCGGCGACCCGGCAGACCTCAACAAAGCAAGGAAATTTAAGAGTTGGTGCAGCAAGGGTGTGCATGTGCTGTGATTTTTTGGCGGAGTAAGTCGGTCAGTGATGGTAACTTTGAGGTCCAAGGACACGAAGCACCTGCGCGGGAGTCTCAGCCAAACCTCAAACGACGGCGCAGTCTCCACATAGTATCGGCCTTCGGCTGATGCCGAGGTGAGAACCTGGCTGCTTGCCAAGGGCTACAGTGCACTGCAGCAGATCTGGGACGATCTTTGGCAGCAACTTTGTCCTAACCCTGATTGACTTGATATAAATTGGGATGCGTCATGGCACTGAGGAATCGATGAGCGAGCAAAGGACTTTTTGAAGCATCTCTGTTGATCAGTTTCAGTTTCTGGGGGAACCCCGATGTTTGGATGTCTGGGTGCCGTTTCCAAGGTATGGCCCTTGCTACTGGGGGCACAATGACATGGACTACATGAATCCATGGAAGGAGCTGCGGTGAAGCAGTGTGAAGCAGTGTGAAGCACAGTCGTGCCTCAAGTCATGCCTGGTGTATTTTGCTCAGGATGAGGAGGCCGCACATGTTTCGAGGGGCAGCTCCGCCTGCTGTTGTTTTCGTGCAACTCCATGCACTTCTTGCCCAGAAGATGCTGGAAGCCATGCTTGATGGTCAACAAGCCGGTCCACGTCCTGCTCACAGCAAGAAAAAAACATTGCCGCACAGAGCACGTCAGCACGTTCCTGAACCTCAGGTGGGCAAATGTGAGTGCCTGCCAGGCGAAGCGCCTGCTTCTCGCAAGTGTTTAGAAATGGATAATAGCAGAAGCTGCCAGATGGCAGCATTCGTTGTTGGCCTTGGCAGTAGAGGGCGTTGGACCATGTGAGTAATCGCACCAGCTTGCGATGCGAGACCAATGCGAGACGTGTGTTTCAGCCGTGCAGTACGTGATGTTTATCGGTCCAGCTTTCGCCTAAGCTTCTGTACAGAACCCTACTGTTCTGCCCTCTCGGATGCCTCAGGCTTTCCTGGAGTGCAGTACATCCTTCTCAGGAGTTTCATGAATCTATGCTGCACGTTCAAGGCCGCCAAGGCAAATTGGCTGAGCATTGCGCAGGTGTGTGTGTGTGTGTGTGTGTGTGTGTGTGAGTGAGTGAGTGAGTGTGTGTGTGTGTGTGTGTGTGTGTGTGTGTGTGTGTGTGTGTGTGTGTGTGTGTGTGTGTGTCAATCTTCTTTCCTGTTTTTTTTGTTTTGTTTGTTTGTTTGTTTGCTTACGCATGTCTGAGTGAGTGTGTGTGCGTGCGTGGGTGCTTGCATGCGTGGGTTCGCGTGTGCGGGGGGTTTGCGTGGGAGTGCGTACGTGCTTGGGTGTGCGTGCGGTCGTGAGTGCATCAGTGCGTAAGTGTGTGTGCGTAAGTGTGTGTGTGTGTGTGCGCTGTGCGTGCTCGTGGGTGGGTGTGTGTGTGTGTGTGGGTGTGCGTCTGCCAAAACGCAGAAACAAAGGCAAACGCTTTCTCGGTCACTGGGAACTTGCAATGCCAAGCACGCGAGCAGAGTAACGACATCATTATTTAGAAAGCATGTTGAAAGTTTAGGGTAAACACGTGTAAGCTATGAAGCATCACGCGAGCATCATTACACAACGATTATTCAGTCGCTGGGCAAATCCCAAAGCTCGTAGACAGAACTATAACCAATCAACACCAGTCTAAAAAAATGCAAGGGGTTGCTTCGAACAAAACGCTGAGGCTATCCAAAGCCATCACCGTACGAGCAGGGTCTGTTGGCAAAATGGAGGCCCCTCCCCCTGCTTGTTTACAACGCCTCCCTGTTCAAGGCTGAAGCTCTTTGTGTCTTGAGGCTACTGCCCCCGGAACGGCCCGTAAATGCGCCTGTGTTCCTTGGGTGCTGGCCCTCCTTTTGTTCCTGTGTGTTCCTGTGTGTGAGTGTGTGAGTGTGAGTGTGAGTGTGAGTGTGTGTGTGTGTGTGTGTGTGTGTGTGTGTGTGTGTGTGTGTGTGTGTGTGTGTGTGTGTGTGTGTGTGTGTGTGTGTGTGTGTGTGTGCGTGCGTGCGTGTGTGCGTGCGTGTGTGCGTGCGTGTGTGCGTGTGTGCGTGTGTGCGTGTGTGCGTGTGTGCGTGTGTGCGTGTGTGCGTGTGTGCGCGTGTGTGTGTGTGTGGGTGGCGTGCGTGCGTGCGTGCGTGCGTGCGTGCGTGCGTGCGTGCGTGCGTGCGTGTGTGTGTGTGTGTGTGTGTGTGTGTGTGTGTGTGTGTGTGTGTGTGTGTGTGTGTGTGTGTGTGTGTGTGTGTGCGTGTGCGTGTGACCTGTTCATTTTGAAGGGTTCTCTTGCAAGCTCCCTCACACATCTGCAGCTTCACGTTAGCTCAAGCTCCATGGCCCGTTAAGATCTCCTTTTATTGGCTGCACAGCTGCGGGCCGAGCGAGCTTGCTTGCGTGTGTGAAGGCCTCATCTCCACATTCTCTTTAGGCCGACAGTGGAGTTTTGTTGATGGCGTCCATCGTGCGGAGCTCAACAAATGTCACTATTTTCTGGAAAGGCAGATGTCATGTGGCTACAAACCTTGCTGCTCTGTTACTGTTATTGCGTCGCTGCTAGGGACAAGAGCCAGATGATGGGGCGTACAAGCCCAGCCCGTTTATGAAGGCTGCTGCGACCTGACTGCAATGCACATGCGGCTTTTTTTTTTGGGCCCGCTTGCCTTTCGAAAGCATCAAGTCATTTCCGTTTGGTTCCTTGGTGCAGCCTAGGCACAGATTATTGAGGCCGGTGACAGTGAGTGGGATGTTGGGGATGAGAGCTGGTCACATTGTTTATTCTCGTTGCTGTCCAGTCCAGGCTTCGGAAGGCCATGTGCCCGATGACCTGCACCTTGGCTTTGATAGACCTTCTACTTTTTGGAAGCACAGAGTTCCGCAAACCACAGCTGCGGGCAAGGAACTGGGATCCTTTGACGATGAGCTACGGCCGGAGCTTGAGCTGCCTGCCCCAGTGCATTTCTGAGCGGCAGTCCCATGGCCAGGTGATGGTGACGCGATGGAGCTTCCGACCGAACTAATGATGCCGCTTAGAAGCAGAAAGCGTTCCACTTCCAGCGTGGTCCAAATCTCGGTCCGCTCCAGGAATCTCGTGGGCCCTGGTCTTGCAGCAGTCCGTGGGGCCCAACGAGCACCGACACCTGCAGCCGGAAACTCTGCTCCCCAAGTGCCGCCTGTGAGCTGTCTGAATCTGGTGGAGAGATCTGTTTCTTCGTATTTGCAGAGTGAGGCACCGCTAGCTCCTTCACAGGAGCGTGCCAGGCATCAGACGCCGCTTCCTGTGTTGCCTAATTTTTCGTTATCGTTTTTTTGCAAATGTTCTGCCAGGAAGCGCTTGCAGCAGAGAAAGGCCCGCTAGATCCCGCTAGTAGCTGCTTGAAGCTGCAAGTGTAGCATCTCTTACTCATTCGGGGTCGCGTGTAGGACGATGAAAGCCGTGAAATCTTCACAGCCCTTTCCGCACTCGTGGATAATTTTCAGGAAGCGGCTGCCCGAGAAGCTGCTGAGAAGGCTGCGGCAGCCCTGGGGTGCTCCGTGCGCCTGGTTCATCATCACTTGTTGTAGCTTGTCCGTTCGCAACGACATGGCCACAAAGGCATCGCAAGACAAGCAGGCCTCGACCTCCTGCGACCGCTGGTCATCCGAAAAGCGAGAGATGCTGACAGTCTGCTGACGCCTTGCAAGGCCGAGGAGCCACTTGATGAGTCTTGGATCGATCAAATGGAGCAGCGCCCTGGACTGTCAAACGAGATCAGACGAGTCAAACTACGACTATTACCCCTCCGATTGCAGAGCCATGTCGATCGCATCAACGGAACCGAGGAAGAACGCCAAGAAGAAGGCCTCTGGTTACTGTACGCCTGCCCCTCCTTTGCCACCCCTTTGGAAATGAGTTGTGAGGCAAACAAGGAGAAAGCAGCACAAATACGCAAAGAGCGCAAGAAGGCATCTCGCTTCACGGCATGTGCTGAGTAATGCAGTTCAAGATGGACACTAGCTGGGCACCTTAAAGAAGGGCTGCGGGCAGGCCAAGAAAGCTGACGCGGCAGCAAAGCAGGCCTGGGCAGCACATCCACCACAAGTGTTGGGGAGCGGTGGGCTAATCAGGGGGCATTGGAGGCAGACGAGATGGCAGAAGAGGAGGAGGACGAAATCAAGGAAGAGGCCACGGCTCTGTGGGTCTCCTTCGCGATGAGCTGCATCTGGTTTCGCAAGCTCTGCAGAAAGCTCCCTGCAAGATGGGATATCGCACCATGCCAGAAGAGCAGACCCATAGACCATCATTGGCTTTGACTGTCAAACGGTCCATGCAAAGGAGGGGTAGTGAGGTGCCCTTAAGCAACGTCAGAGCCATACATCTGGAACCTTGTTGCTCATGCAGTCATCGGGCTTGAGAGCTGTGGTCGCAACGTCACAACCTCAAGTCAGACACGGACCACGTGCAGCATATGCAAATGACACAGGTTGAAGAGGCCGAAGACGAGGCTGACGAGCTGGCTGCAGAGCCGATCGAAGAGCCTGAGGAGGTCAGTCAGAATCAGTAAGCCAGTAATAGCCAGTAATAGCCAGTAATAGCCAGTAATAGCCAGTAATAGCCAGTAATAGCCAGTAGAGCTTTGCATGTCGGCCCGATCTTAGGAGGAAGAGATGCAGCTCGTGGAGCAGTCAAAGCAACGCCGTAAGAGACAGGCGAAGCAGGCAGCTCCAATTCAGCGCGACTGCGTCACTAAGACTATGATTATCGTTGTTGTGAGGGCCTAAACATGCCTATAAACACATGTGTGTTGTTGCAGGCGGGCCAAGAATTTCATCAAATGTCTTTTGTGAAAGCGTGAGCACTTGCTGCCTTCTAGTCGTTTCAGCAGGCCAAGCAGCGTGAGGAAGCAGAATTGGCAAAGCTGGCAGAGGCCTCGAGCTGCTTCGTCTTGGTCCTTCATTTTGTGTTCAGCATTATTAGCATTATGTTCTAAGCGGGTCTGGGTGGATTTGAGTGGCACTCACGAGAGCAAACACACAGGCCCGACCAAGCTGAGGTGAGCATTGTCCACGCAAAAACAGACCTGCAGCATTGCCACGAGACTGCCGCAACAGACGACACCATTCTGGTGAACTGAACACCGAACTTGGTCGCAACCAACTTCGGAAACTTAGCACTCAGACAATGAAAGCCTCTGGATGCTGGAAGGAGAAGCTGCGCGAGGAGGAGGAGCAGCGGCAAAAGCTGGAAGCTGCTTTGCGCGAGAGGAGAGAAGCCGAACTGAAAAAGCAGGCCACTTTTTGGCAGATGCTGCAACGTGCACATCGCAACTCAATCAGGCTTCTGTGCTGCAGGCTGAAGAGGAACAGGCCCGCCTGGAGCAGGAGCGCCAGCAAAGGTTGCAAAAGGAAGCAGAGGAGGCGGAGCAGCGCCGCAAGGCGCAGACCTTCCTCACTCCTTCCTCCCTGGTCCCCATGCCAAGTGAAGGCCCTTTCCTTCAAGCGGCAAGGATCGCTGGCACTGCCTTGGTGTGCCAGGCCGAACAGGAAGCCGAGAAGCTGAGGAAAGAAGAGGAGCACCGCCAGAAGCAAGAAGCTGAGAAGCGAAAGCGGGAGGAAGAGGAGAAGGAGCAGCAGAGACAGGCGGAAGAAGAACGGAAGCAAAAGGAGAAGGAGGCTGAAAGCAACAGACAACTGAACAGGGAAGCCGATGATGCTAAGTCGGACGTGCCTTGGGCAGCATTGCTTCAGAACATTTGCTGTGCTGCTTCGGACATGGGCCTTGCGGGGGCTCTGCCAACACCATCGCCGACTCAGAGCTCAGTGCATGAAACTCTCCAGGTGGTGATGGCTGATGAGCAGGTGCGTGATGTAGATGTGTGCGAAGAGAAGGGTGTAGAGGGGTTGTTTCAATGGTGTGATAGTACCGGACCTGCGAAGGTCAAGCGGAAAGACGCAGATGAACGCCGTCGAGCAGACGACTGGCAGGCTTGCGGATATTTGCCTGGCGTGCACTTGCCGTTAGACGGCGATGTGTCTCTGTTGCCGATTGCTCGTCAGATTGACCATGGCCAACAGGGTTCAATTCAGACAGACGTGGCGCGTAACGGTTCTTTCTTGAACAAGGAAGCCACTTCGCAAAGGGAGGGAGAAAGATCTCGACGAGGAGGACGGGACAGAAGATCGCAGGCCGGCGGCTGATTCTAAGCCGGCGAGGCCAAAAAAAGCACGCTGCACACATTTGCATGCCTCATGCCCATGAAGGCCAAGGATGACCAGCAGGACGTTTTCATTGGGGAGAGTTGGAGAGAGAAAACTCAACAAACATGGCGGTGTCATTTCACAAACCATTGGTGACCACGATGCTGCATCCAGGACGGCGATGCACCACAGGCAGATAGAGCGACCAAAGATCTGCTTTAGTGTTGCGAAAATGTTGTGCTTCATGACAGCATGCCGCCAACTCCGTAAAATCCGTAGAGTCCGTAGAGCCAAGCCCCTCAGGCAAAGTCGTTGCGCCAAACGCTGACTCCTTCGCAGCTCCGCCGTCAACAGCGCAAACGGCAGAAGGAGGCCGCTTCGCCCATGGCTCCCCTCAATGTTCGCACAATATTGATGATTGATGTACTGCTAAGGCCAGAAGGGCAGCAGAGGCCGCCGAGGCAGCAGAGACAGCCAAAGTTGCAGCAGCATGGCAAACATTGATTGCGGGTAGATGTACTTTTGCCCCCGAACAAACTTGCATACGTGAAGCGATCTGTTTGGTACAACAGCGGGGCATTGGTTTGGTAAAGTCGAATCTGCCTGTGACAGGCCGAGGCAGCTGGCAAAGAGGCTGTCTTGCAGTGTCAGCTTTGTGGCTTCGTCCGGCTTCGTGACCAAGACTGGATGTCAGGAGAATCGCAGTGACAAGGAGGACACCGAGGAGGAGTGTGCTGAAGTGGAAAAGCCCAAGTCGGAGCGGAAGCAAAACGAGCAGCTTGACATGTCACTTTTGTACTTGCAGTTTTGGGAGCTGGGCTTCGCCAAAGAGCTGAACAGTGTACTTTCTCTCAGGCGGCAGCCGAGGAAAGAGCGATCGCAAGATGCAAAGCCTCGCCAGGCAGCCCGAGCAACAGCCACGTCTGGCATGGCGCCTTTTCGCTGTTCTACATTGCCTGAGAGGCGGAGAAGACGTCGTCAGACGAGAAGGTAGAGACAAGGCGTGGCAGCAAAGACGAAGCCAAGAAACCCGTGGCTCGGTGGTGAAGACGATACAGCTTGTCACAACTATTCAGTTGGACGTCGGCTGCTCATTGATGCTAACTGCCCATATGCTTTGAGGCCAGGACCAGCAGTCCCGCAGAAGCGAAAGAGCTGGAATCCCGGAAGGGCGGCAAAACAGTTTGCCTAAGTTCTTTGCTCTCTACACCCTGAAGGGCGCCGCTCGCTGTAAATCCGGCAGAGTCAGAGGCACCCGATCCAACATCGAGACATCCAATCGAGAGACGAGAACAGAAAGACCGTTTCGTAAACATCGCAACGCATCAAACATTGCAGGAGTCCGAGGAAAAGGACAAACCGGAAGCATCGGATTTGAGGCCGCAGCCTTACAGTTTGCAGACGTTGGCTGTTTGAGCCCAAGACCCGCCATGGATTCAGACTGAGGTCAGATGCGGAGGCAGGTGTGTGTGTGTGTGTGTGTGTGTGTGTGTGTGCGCGCGCGCGCGGGTGTGTGTGTGTGTGTGTGTGTGTGTGTGTGTGTGTGTGTGTGTGTGTGTGTGTGTGTGTGTGTGTGTGTGTGTGTGTGTGTTTGTTCGTGCGGCAGACGTGCTGCAGACGTGGAACAATGCATTGCGTGCCATGGCCTGTCAAAGGCGTTCACAGTTTCAGAGTGCCTTGGCTGCTTTGAGATTGACAGTGTTGGACTGTTAGACTCCAGAGGCCTTTACAGCAGAGCTTGCCCATATTTGCCCATGTTTCAAAGGCAGGCAAGCAGTTTCTGAAGCGCCGCCGAGGTCCAGTCAGGCGTTTGGCCGACACAGGCGATCACAGGCAAGTCCCGATGACGTCGGCGAGTTCGATATGACGAGTTATGATGTACTTGTAGTATATGATGTGTGTAGTAGTACACGAGTGTTAAGTGTTTTGAGGAGTGCTGTATTTCTCGCCCGCCACAGGAACAGGACCCGAAGCTCGGAGCTCAGCGGCTTGTTCCGAGTGCTTTCATGAACGGAGACTCGAAAAATATCGCCACTGAACCCTGAGTCTGATGCAATCGATGATGCCGATCACGACGTTAATGATTTCACAGATCCCAGATCACATGGACGCCGACACCTTCAGGTGCGAAGTTAGTAACGGTAAACGCGACTTGTGGAGTCCTTGTGGCATCTTGGGAAGATGCTCGAAGGCGACAGTTGGACACCTGGGGCTTCGTTGGCACCTACAACTTCTTCTACATGCCTCCAGAGACTTGTTCCCACAAAGCCAGGGCACTTTCACAACTCCGCACCCTCTTTTGCTTCTCCTACCGGTCTGTGGGTGGTATCGTACAATAGTACGGTCGGCGGCCGAGGAGCCGTCTGAGGGCTGGGGTGGCCGATGCGTGTTCATTAACTTCGAGGACCAGGCTCAGAGCATTCAGCGCAACGGATGGCGTTTGGCACACCCGGTGTTGCTTCTGGGGCCCTTGAGTGAAGCCAGTTTTTGCTGCAGGCAGTTGCCAGTATGTGCTTGAGCCTCCTTGCTGCAAGGGGTTTGCGAATCATTCGGGCGTGCCAACGGGTAAAGTACTTGATGTAACTTGGTTCTTGATGCTGCGATGCGCAAGCGAACTGTTTCCTGAAATGCTATGCCGAGGCTACTTCCAGCGACTTGGCCGGAAAGTCGTGATGTTTCCATACAAAGCACGAGCCAACAGGACATGTCGTTTGTATTTTGGAAATCCAAGGCAGTGCCCAAGTGAGGGCGTGGCTCAACCCTACAGTGTCCAGGGGCTTGAAAACAACATCGCGCACTTCAGTCAGCAACCGGGCTACACTTAGCAGAAACTGTGAGTGGAGCTTCGAAAGCCGGAGGAGGACTGTGTTTCTGACCGGTCATGTGGCGCACAGGTTCGTTGGCTCCGGTGACATGGTGAACGGCCCCTTGATTGTTCCCACGCCGACGCCGGCGGCCTGGGCCATCAACGGCGCACAGGCATGATAGCCGCTGCCCACTACACTGCACGAGCCAATTGACTGCATCCAAATGTACAATCTCATCATGTACACGCCAGGCAATGATGAACAGTCCGTCGGGCAAGTTTTCCCCACAGATGCTTGACTGATCCTGTCTGCGAAGAAGCGCTTGTCAGCAACTTCTTGATTTTCGTGTGCCCTCAAGGATTCGTGGCCAATTCCACAAAACCAAGATGTGTGCCTTCCACAAGAAGAGCCTTGAATAAACATATTCATCCGAGTGGGATGCCGAAGCCATGCAGCCTCATGATGTCTCATGATTCATTGCAGCATGACTGCCATTTGTTGCAGGAAGAAGTGCACAATGGGCCATGGATGCCCCTTCGCACACTCCAGGGAAGAACTCAATGCTCCTCCAGACCTCTCCAAGACGAAACTATGTGCTTCTTGCTTGCACACAGCTTGCACATGATCATCTTCTTTTTAACGATGAGCCACCTCATGCCACAAACAGGTCAACTTCTTTAGGAAAAAGTGCTGGCCTGAGTTGATTGAAAACCTCCAGTTTCAGATGGAATTCCACCACTTTCAGCTTGTCCATGTCACCATTCGCGAAGGTGCAACGATGCCAATTGCAAGTTTGCGCATGGGCCATGAATCCCAGTGTCGTGAACTGGAACTCCATGGCCTGCTTTGCAGAAGCGTGCAGTACCAGGCACTCTGAGCTGCGGGCGACGGGCAGCGTCTACAAAACAGAGCTTTGCCGAGCTTGGGCAGCAAACAACTGCAAGGTGGTGCTTGTTTGATGTTGCTTGTTTGTGGCTTGCTTGTGCTACTTGTGCTGTTTCCAATGGGCTGTAATAAGTGACAGATGACATGTGCAGGCTGGGGATACTTGCCGCTATGCGCACGGAGTGAAGGAGTTGCGGGGTGGCATGTCATCCATGGGCGCAAACGGAATGTCCTTGGCCAAGCTGGGTCGATGCAGAAAGTTAGAAAAATGATCCTGAGTTGCCCCGAACAAACCAACATTATCATTGCTCAGGGGATATATGGGCTACATGGACGACGAGTTTATGGCTCTGGATGGGATGGGTATTGGCCTCAATGCCCTGAGTCTACACAAGCTTTGCGCAAGATTCGAAGTCCAGGCAGGCAAGCAGGCGTGTTTGTGAGGCTGCGACGTGATGGGTGGCTTGACGGGTATTTGGGAGAACGAAGCCGCCAACGCCTCGGCAGTGGGAAGGTCTTTGATCCGGGACCCAGAGGGGAACCGATGCATGAGACCAGGCGGCCATGCAGCACTACTCCAGCTTCGGAGAGCTACCATCACAGTGCGGAGTTCCTGCACCTTCTTCAGGCAGATTTCGCAATTTACATGTCGGGCTCAGGCCTTTTTTTTTCCTGTCCGTGCCAAGTAAACTTGAGAAGATGGGGGCAAGTGGGGTCAGTCAGTGAGCAGATGATAGCAGAGACGCAGTTGTAGACTTTCTGCAGGTGAGCGATCTGGCAGAGCATTCGGCAGAAGCATTTCGTCAGGGCAACCTCAGGAGGGATGAGGGATGCCATGTTACAATGTCGGGCATGTCTTCCCAGTCTTCCCTGTACTGTACCGAAAGGATGGCACATCGGAGCCATTCAACGATGCCATGAGCGACATGGGCTTATCAGATACGTCTACGCTTTGTCCGGGGGTCGCTGGCCAGCATGGAGAAGCACTGTAACACAAAAATGCGAGCGTTGTGTTCTCCAATGTTTTCCATCTGATCCAAGGACGGCAGACTAAGTCGGCAACAGACGGCACCTCCAACTGCGTGCTCGTGGCATGCTTGTTGCACCTGGTTTTTGCGATCATGGTTGCAGCATGCGGCAGCAAGCGCAGACTGCTCCCGCTGCAGGTCCTTCCCTGCTGAGGTGAATGTGGCATGTGAGCCGAAGCGCAAGGTGGTTTTGCGAGTGAAGGGCACCTTCATGGAGTGCTGCGCCCGGGGATGTTTTGTTGCTGTCCAGACATGATTTGAAAGGCTCGAAAACATGGAATGAGATACTGGGCCACTGACAAGAATTTGCCAAGGTCTGTGTTTCTTGATGAGGACTTCTCAGCCTGTACTGTAGTACTGTAGCCGACTTCTGCCTTCCCTTTCTCTCCTTTCTCTCGCCTCACTGCTGCAAGCGACCAGGAGGTAGACAAAATGCCTCTGCGACGTTCCTGGAGTGATGGCGACTTGCCACAGCTCCAGGCTCCTGTCGTTCGCACTCAATGCACTCACTAGGGCTCGCCAAAGCTTGCCACATGAGCTTGTCCAGGATGTCGAGGGTGAGCAGGAGCTCTGATACCCCTGATGACTGGTGACGATAATGTTTTTTTCGGTAACTTGCAGTGCTGCAAATACCTAGACACACCGCAAAGCTCAAGTAGAGCCTCGCACGCTTGGTGGGTGGGTGCCGCTGGCCGCCATATCGGTTTCAACAGCGGTGGCCCGAGCCTTCAAAATCAATGGCATGGAGTTCGCCTTTGGGACGACTCCATGGTCATAGCAGCATCATAGCACCCGTTACTGAGCATAGTGCTGTCTTCTCGCAGATCCCACTGCAGCGTAGCGTTGGGGATGAATCTGATCCTCTGTCTTTTTAAGGATGAGCTTTGGAGCATTTCATTTCGCAAATTTGCCGGAAATTCGCCGGCTCTTATGCTTTCTCCCTCACGAGACCACTCCCGGCGATGGGCCGAACACAAGCTAGGAAGCGTAGAGCGAGGCAATCGCAATGTAATGCCCATTGTTGGCCTTGGGCATACATTTTAAGACGTGAGAGAGTACAGCCACATTGCAAATTACGTGCGGATTCTCATTGAATTCTCCACCAGCTGCAACACAAGGCCGGCGACTGAGGGGACGGAGACGACAGAAATTTGACCAAACAAACACAAGCCTGGAAACAGTGCGTGTGGGTGCCTTCAAGGTGCGGCTTCTCCATCACTCTTGCGAGGCAGCTCGGCGCAGCATCAGACATCCAGACGTACATCCAGACGTTGATTGTTTCATCATGTTACCAATTTCTTGGCAGCATGTGCATGCTGGAATGGGGAAAGGTGACGGCTCGTTTCTGCGTGGGGCCGAGTCTTGTGAGATGCTCTCCGTCAGCATCATGCTTCGCGCTCTGTTCATGTCAAGCTGACAAGCTCTAGTCAGCAGAGGTGCCAGGACTCACCGAGACCGGTCTTCCTGAGGAAACAGCATGCGCTACAGAACCTTGCAGATGCAGAAAAGCCTTGCCTCGAGGTTATGTATGTGCACATTGGCCTGCGCACCTGATCTTGCTTGATGGAGGGCACCTGTTCGTTCTGCAGCTTGGTATGATATGCTCAAGCTGCGGCACGTACAACGAGGCAGGACCCCTTTTGCAAGACTCCTTTTTCAAGTGCCTGTGGCATCATGTGGGCCTTGATGTGGCTCTGCGTTGGAAAGCATGAAGCGCCCGGGCGAGCTGCCTTTGAGTGCGCGAGCCGACTTGCGGCATTCGTCGAGACGTTCCGGGCTTGGACTGTATAGTATTGCATAGTGTGACTAGCAGCGACTGCTGGTAACATGTCCGTGTAGGTGATGGCAAGCATGGCTCGATTCCTTGTGCAATCCGCAGGTTTTTGCCGGTTAGGACGCGGCCGACGATGTAGCTGCTGCAGTTTCGAGTCCGCGGCAGTTGGGCACCCTCCTTGCAAGAAGCCTTAAGAAGCTAGCGGCCCTGGTGGCGAGCAGGTCTTGCTTTCCCAACGCAGCATTTGATCAGGCTTGCCGGTGAAACTTCAGAAAACCGGACGTGGCATCAGGACCTGGATCGGAGTGAGACTCTTGGCACAAAGCTTGGCAAGAAATTTCCCCGCTTGGACTGGACAAAACGAGGCGCCTAAGATGGTGTACGCATGCCTACATAGGTCTACAAACAATGAAGCAGTCTTGCAGTTGGGTGCTGGGGTGACTTCTGAGGCCGTCTCAAGACACAGTTAGATCATGCGGAGCTTGTACGTTTAACAGAGGTTAAAGGATAGTTCTTTGCTTTGTTGCTTCTTGGTGCTCCCGAGAACTTAGAAGCGGATGGCGAGTCAGCAAGCTTTGCTGCAAGGCCCTTCTTGTCCCACAGATGCACACTTTGGAGCGGGATGCCTTATGCCTCTCGACTCAAGAAAGGCAGGTGTTTTGGCGAAGCTCAAGGGCATTTGGGTCATGCTAGGTCGATGTTCATTGCCACCTTGAAGAAGTGGTCCAAGAAATGAGACGTCGTCACGCAGTCCCGAGCCTGAATAAGAGCCTTGGCACCAATTTATGTCAGTTCGGAAACCAGAGGAGCCACAAAAAAAATTCTGCGCTTGGACAGGGACCCTGCGGACTTGACTGAAGAGGAGATCTCCTTGTGGAAGGAAGTTGGTTGGATGGAGGGGCCCGTTCAAGGAGCCCAACTCCCCAATTTCCCGCAGCTTTGTTCTGCGCGACGCCTTCCTGCATTTTCTTCTGGAGGACAACACTGGACGCAGACATGGGATCAACTGTCGGCACACCAGAGGAGCCGATTCGCGACTACCGTCGCATGAAACTTGATGTTGCACCATTTGCACTTGAAGCATGCGGCTCATGCGACATCACCTGCAAGACACTTGCACGGTATTCATGTGCAAGCTCAGCGGTGGTCTGTCCGTCTACCAGGTGTGCGGGCGATCGTTCCGTCTGTTAGACAGGCGGTCGGTCAGCCACAATCCCGTAAGACCCCCCGGACCTCCCGCCCCCCCTCCGCCCCCCAATGCGAACCTCTAGATGTCAGAAGCTTTTCGCCGCAGAAGGTTTCCGAAGCTCTCAGGTCCAGCCCTTGACACAAAACCCGCTAGTCGGTACTGGGTAGATGTGGAAGTTGTCCCGCAAGACGGAAGTTGTCCCAATCCCGCTGTGCCCTGCGGGAACACCGCGCTCACTTGTGAGGGTCGTGCCACTAGGGAAAGACCACACACCATGAAACAGAAGTTGAGCTCTCTCTGCGTTACTCGCCCAGTGCCTTAGTGGGCTGGGCGTCGGTTACTACGAAATTGTTGGGCCCTGCAGCCCCAAACGAAAACAATAAGCACAACTTGTGTGCAACCTTTGCCGATTTCTTGTCGTGGCTTTCTGGAATACAGTTCAGCCTTTTGAAGACGAGTCTCCGTCGCACTGTTTGTTTGGCGGCCGGGACATACGGAAGAATGCCATGGCATCATGACAAGCTCCCAAAAGGCTTGGTTCTCAAAAAAGAGACTCTGCGCTGCGGCGGGGCCATCGTTTGAAGATCATGTGGGTTTCTGCGAGGGGTCCTTGGAACATGCCATGTCTCGAAGGGCGGTGGGGTGAAGGCTCCCTGTTATCTAGCTGCGTTCAAAAAGAAAAACAGCCTGTGCCTTGCGTGAGGGCCAACAGTTGAAGATGTTTTTGGCTTGTCTCGAGGGTGCTGGGCTGGGGTAACTTCTGACTTGTGGGGTAACAAACACGCGCGCTCGCAGGGCCCACAAGGGTCCAGGGGCCCAGGGGCCCAGAGTCTGAGGGGCTCTGGGCTGTGATGAGCAAGGGCTTGCGCTGCTTGCTGGCATCAGGGGTTCGAATTCTTGGAAATGCTGCGATTCAGCGCGTTGGGAACTGTCGCGAAGCTCGAAGTGTTAGTACTTGTGGCCTTTGAAACCACCTAGGACCTAGACCAGACAAACAAAGACGAAACGAAAGCTGGAACCTCCACAGGCGCTGTGATAAGGTCGGGATGCAAGGGATGCAGACTTCTGCCTGTCGCGAGGAATGCGGCCATGTCTTTGGGCTATACAGAGAGGAGCTGAGCCCTGAGACTCCAAGACTGCGACATTGCAGCACATGACATGGCTCTCTACTCAGGCTGGAACCAGAACAAGTGGCTCCTGCCACGTCTGTCCTGGGAAGCCTGTCACTGAGTATGGGGGCACTCGCTGAACTTTTCTGGCCTTTGAAGAGTGTGCAGGAGTTGGGCCCCACAACTCGGCGATCACTAGTGGCGCCTGAATCTGGTCCAGCCTTGTGAGTTTTCTGACTTTGGTGTATCTCCCTTTGCTTCTGCTCGAGACACACGCTTGGAAGAGTTTCGTTCCAAGTGCTCCGTGCAACGTTCAGTCAATGTCGCGTCGCCCCCAGGTGCTGGGTGAGACCCGAGAATCATGGGATGGATGGAGCATGCAGTCCTGGAGTGCCCAAAGCACGCAGCCAGGCTGGCTTCGAAGGGCTTGTTTTTTTAGCTTGTGCAAGCTTCAAGCTGTTTCCCTCTCAGGAGATTTGCACCTTGCGAGAATGCAAGCTCTGAATGAGACGCGCCCTTGGAGCGCACTCACTCCGAACCAGAGGTGCACGGAACCGTGACGAGACATGATGAATATTTCCCCTGCCCAACGAACTGCGACCGTGCGGCCAGGAGCGCGGCCACTGCGCTGGGCTTTACGAAAGAGATCTGGCTGTATGAGGCAGCAGATTTGCTTCAATGTTTGCCGTGTGTTGGCGTGATGAAGTTCTGACAGGAAATGGCAGATCTGCACACGGTAGTGGACTCGCATTTTGGTAAAGGCTTGTGTGTGTCAGCCGTGTGTTTCTCTTACAAATCATGCCAGCCTGTCGCGAGGCTTCGAGGGCTGCATCACGCAAGGATGCGACACAGAATCTCTGTCCTTGGCGAAGCATCTGGCGCTGAGCCACCCGCTGCTTCCTGTCTTTGGAGAATGAGGGCCCTTCTGCGACTGTGATTGGAACACAAGTGTTTTTTCAAGAAGAGCCGGCTAGAAGTCCATTTTTGGGTAAGGGGAACTTAGATCACGGCCCAGATGTGGCACAGGTCCTGTATCTTAGGAATGAGTGTGCATCTATGCCTGAAGCTCGAAAGCCCACCAGTAGCTGATCTGAGGGTATTTGTTACCTTTGGTTGCCACCCGAAGGCTGGGTGTCTTCAGTATTCAGTGTCTTGATAGCAAGTCGACTGGTTATTTGCAGTGCCCGCTTTTGGCGAAGGCAGCGTGGTTCTACAATGATGAATTCGAGGCTGCACTGTTGACACACATCAGAGCTTGTGGTCGAGAGCCCGGAACGTATGCTTAAACGTCGTTTGCCTGGACACACCTGAGTGTGTAAGGCGAGAAAGTCGTTGGATTCGGCGAGTTCGGGTTGGACACTTGGCTGCACCTCAACGGACTCGAGTTGCATTGCAAGAAATTGGTTTTCTGCGTGCAGCGACGATGCCATGCAGCAGCACAGCTGTCGACGCAGACTGATACTCGGTGGACTCGGTGCCAGGACTATTCCCATCCCTATTTCGGACCGAATGAGGAGAATCGTCAGCAACAACGCGAGGTTTTTGTGAGGCAGCAGCCCGCCAGCACTCAGCATGCGGAGTCCAAGTCTTTGCAGCGACACTGCTGAGCTCAGGCTGGAGCTGGCAGTATCATTGTCAATGACTTTGGTCATCCATAGCCGAGACTGGACAGGAATTCGGCACTTGTTTCATCGCCAGCTTAGCGCACAAAGTGCTACCATTTGAGGAGAGGCTGATGCGGACACGTGCCCGGGCTGCACGAGGAGGATCACCCTGCTTACCTGCTGGTCTAAGAGAAAGTGAAACTGCAATGGTTGAGGTTAAAGCTGATGCGAGCCAGCGTTCCGAAAACTTACAAGGTGCAAAGCGCTTTTTTGCTTCCAAGAGACCAAGTGCCAGAGATGGCAGGTTCATGTGCATGCATACCGCGGGAGCATCGTCTTCATGAAGCAGCTGCTGGAAGAGTGGAGCCAGCTGTGCCAGTGCTGGAGATTAGATTCGGGAAAGCTTGTTTTGGCTCGGGATAGTCCGTGCGTGTGCCCAGCACCAAGAGTCCAAGGTACATCGGCATGCCCGGCATCGTGACAATGCCGGATGAGAATGCGCAGGAGCATCAGGGAAGGTTTCAGGCAGTGCATGGCCGCTTTCTTGCTTCCCGTGTAAAACCATAAGGAAATATAAGGAATAACAATAAGATAAAACAAACGATACACGTAGTCGCTTTATCTCGCATGGCTCGTTTGTTTGCGCATCGATCCGCGTCCACATTGGGGAGCTGCATTCCGCAGGGTAGATCTCCTGCTGCGTCGAAGTCGGCTCGTCGTCTTTTACACAGCATGTGCATGGTCTACACATCGATCGGCGTCCACATTGGGGAAGCTGCCTTCCGCAGATTACATCTCTGGATGTGTCGAAGTCGGCCCCGTGCGTGGTCTCGGTCACCCTGATCACCGCCGCGACAACTCGACGACCAACCCTCTGGCAGTTTTAAGGTTTCTCAGATAGTTGATTTTCTAGCGTCTCACTGGTGATGAGCTGTTGACACATAGTGAAAATGCAATAAAAGCGTGCTGAAAACGCTGGCGTCCGCCGCATATCCGGCAGTTTCACCCATGTTGGTTGTTTGTTTGAATTCCAGCGTCTCCTTGGATATTGCTGTGTTCTGATGTGTAATTCCGCCGCTGATGTGTATTCCCGCTATGTGGCGTCCGCAATGGGGTGATGTGTATGTCTCGCGACCTGATGTGAGATAAGCCCGACGCTAGTAAGGTTTGCAATCGGTCGGGCTGTTTTTCTTCGGTCACGACTGGGGGAATAGCCGCTATTGGGTGAGGTGGCGCACCATCTATTCAGCTCATGGTGTGACTGAACGGCAATCTGACGTGGAACGGACAATCTGGTTCAAGATTCCGTTATGTCCCGCCCTCCCTCCGCTCCGCCAGTACGACAGCTTACCGTGCTCGCAGGTCGACAGGATGGCTGGCTCTGTGAGTTGTCTTGAGTACATTTGTTGTTGTTGTTCTTCTTCTTGTTCTTGTCATTCTTGTTCTTCTCGTTCTTGTTCTTGTCCTTGTCCTTGTCCTTGTGCTTGTGCTTGTGCTTGTCCTTGCCCTTCCCCTTCCCCTTGTCCTCGTCCTCCTTCTCGTCCTCGTCGTCGTCGTCGTTCTCTGTGGAAATCTTCCATTGACCTTGGCTCAATTCATCCCGCTCGTAGAGTTGACCACCCTTTGCCAGTGGTGCATCTCAACTTGTCCAGGAGCTTGTTCAGCAATGCCCTCTGGCTGGAACCTCAGGTTTAGGCCAAGGCACCTGAGGCTTAGTGTGAGGTGTCCAGTGCTCTGTGCTCTGCAGCTGTTTGAGATTGTTTCAGCACCGGCGCCGGCTCTGCATCTGCAGATGGTGCCTTCGGCTGCTGGGCAGTTTCCCATCTGCGTGCAGGCATGTCCTCCAAGACAGTGCAACCTGCAAATGCGTGAGATGTGGAGAATGTGGGGCGGAAACTTGTGCAACGGAGCGGGCTTCTCCGTGGCCCCAACGCTTTGCGAAGGAGTATGCGGCAGTCGCCACGGCTTTTTCAGACCTTTGCGGAGTGGTCGCTGAGTTTGCCACTGACCAGACATCCCTGTAGGCTTTGTAGACATCCCTGTTCCAAGAGAAGCTGTTCAGCAGCCGCTGACGTGCTTGAGCCTTTGGCCCGTCATCCCGAACCCGAACAAGAATCGGCCTGTCTTGCCCAGTTCGTCCAGCTAGTACGAAGCAATGCTCCGGTGTCAACCTTCTCCAGATTAAATGCTGAGATATCAAGGCAGCTGCAAGATCGACGGCTCACAGCTCCTGATCTGCAGAGGTTGATTTGTGCAATCTGCGACTTGCTGCATGCAAGTGCTGGCAACGCCTCGGCAGAAAGTGAATTTGTGCGCTTGCTGATGGAGAGCTGTGCAAGCCTGGCGGGCCTTGGAGCACAGTCAGAATTGATAGAGTCAGCACGTGCGATCACGCGCCTTGCAAAGAGGGGCCGCTTCTGCAGATTGATGCGTGAAAGCCAGCTTTTGGATGCAGTGGAGGTATCCTCATTGGAGCCAGAGAAGCTTTCCAAGCTGGCCTGGTGCCTGGCCAGTAATGCAGGCACGGATGCCCTCCTCGGCCAGCTGGCAGCTCGTGCGGTGGAGCACTTTCCAGGCCTGTCGGCCTTCGGCATCTCCAACATCGCCTGGGCTTTGGCCAAAACTGGGGGTCAAAAGCTAAACTCGCACAGCCTCGAAGACCGCAACTTGTGCCTGCACTTCTTTGAAGTTTGCTCGGAAGCAAGACTCGAGGAGTTCGCTGCAAGCGATCTGAGCGGCTTGTCATGGGCATTTGCAACGGCAACCGCGCAGCCGCAGCCGCATTTCAAGGATGCTCTGTTCCTTGAGGCCGCAGCTCGGCTAGGTGAGCAGACGAACAAGCAATTCATCAATTTGTGCTGGGCAGCCGCCGGGATGAGAGTCACAGACAATCCGCTTCTGTACATCCTATCCCAACATGTGAGTCACCGAATCAGTCACGGATATGAAGGACTCGGCTGCTTCCAAGGGCGCGACCTTGCTGTGCTGGCATGGGCTTTCGCGAGCATGTTGTATGTTCAGTGCCTCCCTGAAATCCTCACCGCCTCGGCTGCGCGGGCAAATGATTTTGCCCCGCAGAACCTGTGCAATCTGCTCTGGGCCGTTGCCAAATCAAAGACAAGTGCAGGAAGTGAGGGCCCACCGGTATCTGCAGCTTGCCAAGAAGTTAGCACCATCATCGGCGTCGCGCGAACACAGTTGCACAGATTCAGGCCCCATGACCTTGCCAGTTTTGCTTGGGCGATGGTGGCGCTCCGAGCTTGCAAAAGCTCTGTGCTTCATGCTGCAAGGGCTGCGAGCGAGGCCGGGGCCGGGATAGACACGTTCATGCCCAGAGACCTGGCCAGCTTTGCGTGGGCATTGGTAACTCTGCAGATCAAGAGGCATCCCTTTCTGGATGCTGCGGTGGAACGATCGCAGCATCTTCTGCTCGAGTTCAGTGGCCGGGACTTGGCCAACCTGACTTGGGCGTTTGCTTTAGCCCATACCGAGCGATTGCTAGACTCGGACGGGCATGGGTCCAAACAAGCTGTGTATGCATCCCTTGCTGTGAGAGCCACGACCGCCCCGAATCTTACAGCGCAAAGCCTCTCTAACCTGGCCTGGGCTTGTGCTACCTTATCTGCATCGGGTGAAGATGGGCAGGTGTGCCGCACGCTGTGGTGCAGAACGATGTCTATGCAAAATCAGCTGCAGCTTCGTGACACCGCTAGCATAGCCTGGGCATTCGTGATGCTTGCATGCGAAAGTGCCCATCTTAACACCCTGATGGAACGTGCTGGTGCCTTGCTTGCTGCTTTCTTGCATTCGCGGTCACATGAGAGTGTGGGACATGACGAGCGCGCACAGGACGCGTCGTCAATGTTGACCCTGCTTTGGGTGGGGCAGTTTGCGAACACGCTAGGCTTGAAGGTTTCCCAAAGCTCTGAGCTCTTCGGTTTGGCAAGGGGGTGTCTACAGGCAATTGGCCGCAAGTTTGACCAGGGCAATCAATGTGTCTCGGCCAGTCCCGCGGCGTTATCACCTTTGTTTGCGCCCAGCCCGCTGTGCTCTGGCAGAAATTGGATCACCGATGCAGAGCCTTTGATTCTGCATGAGTCGTCAAGCGTGCTTGCTGTTTACAAGCCGCATGGGTGGGAGGTGGACCAATCCGGCAGCTCTACAGGAGTCAGGAAGCTGTCCACGTACTTGAGTTCGCAGGTTCCCGTACGACGCTGCCCTATTCTGAAGGACAGCACGCACTTGCACGGGTTTCTGCACAGGCTAGACGTACCGAGCTCAGGCCTAATCCTCTTGGCCAAAACCTACGAAGCTTTCTACCATCTCATGGTCCAGTTGCACTTGGGCGAAATAGCACGGGACTACATCGTGCTTTGTCATGGTTGGGTTGCGCCTTCCACTCACGAAATCGCGGCTCGAGTTCTGTGGTCGGACTCAGCAGGCAGCAGCTCTCCCAGCAGAGCGCTCTCAAGCGAGTTGTCTGGTGGAAAGCCGTCAGTCACACAGACCAAAGTGTTGGCCCACTTGGTGCTGCGAAACCAGCAACCACACAGCTTAGTGGCCATTCGTATACAAACTGGCAGGCGGCACCAAATCAGAGCTCACCTAGCCCATATCGGTCATCCTGTTGTTTGTGACCCGAAGTACGACCGGGTCTCACAAAATGTGCCTCGTTCTGTGCAGACCACAATCGCTCAAGGCGAATGTGACACACCAAACTTGGAAACAGGGAGCGGAGGCGGGCTGGGTTTAGATGACTTTGATTGTGCAAAAGCAAGTGGGTCAGACAAAGTCTGGTGCCCACGTAATTTTCTTCACCGATATAGGCTGGAGTTCGCAGATGCATGTGGTATCAACGTGGTTCAAGTCCCGCTGCCAGAGGACCTGCAACAGGCACTGCAGCACCTCTCTGCCCGACCGGGCCTGCATTGGCAAATGTCCCATAGGCAGTTACGAGGCTGGCAGACAAGCGAAGCTTTGGAAGACTGGGCCAAACTGCTGCCACTACCAGCTCACTCCGACGGGATGGAAAACTGGAGTTGGAGCGGCTTCATATGCCTTGTCTTCAACCAGAAGACAATTCCACTACTGACTCCCCAAATCCCGAACCCCCCAATCTGCTCTGAGAGTCTTAAGGCCTTCAGGGCTGTTGGGTTATGATGAGAAGTAATTATAAGTCTATCGAAAAGTCAAGATAGAACAGTTGCAGCCTAAAGTAGAGACCGCGCTGCCATGTTGCGATACTACCTGGCAGGCTGCACAGACCTTGTGCAACGTGAGCAGTCGGCTAGAGTTGTTTTTCCCTGGCCGCACAGGAAAGAATGGTTGTTGAGACGGACGCGCCATACCTGCCAATCAAAGGCCCAGCTCCATACAAAATTGAGGAGCTGTACTACTGCAGCATGGCGTGCCTTCTTGCAAATCAAGACTGGGCTCATGTTGTTAGTGCGAGGCCACTGGTTAAGTCACCCTGGCCTCGTGCCGGAAGTGATAGCCAAAGTCGCTGAGCTGAAAGGCCTCATCTGATCTCAGCCGTCTGCCACACGGCTTGATATATATATATATATTTATATATATTGCGCTGCCATGAATGCTTGATGGGCAGGTATGGAGCTTCATCATGTTGCAAGGGTACTCCGTCAGAATGCCTACGTTTTGTACGGCATCTGACCGTGGTGTTTTCGCAAGCCTTCAAGAGAGGTCGAAAGCAAAAGATGCCGCTGGTAGGGTATGATAGGGCATGATAGGGCACCCATCGGCAACCTGGATATTCCTGGCACGCATGCGCATTCGAGAGAGCCCAGCTCAATTTTGGGCCTTTTGTTGGTGGCGGGTTTCTCCACCGCAGCCGCCGTGCTTAACAGTACTGCCACGGCCGAGCTACACATGCTACAGCGTCCACAGAATTGACTTTGCAAGCTTGCAAGTTGGAGTTCTTAATTGTGAAGGTGTTGTTCCACACCATGCGGCCAACAGGGCATGCTTGGCAATGGTGTTGCTGCGGGGCCTTCGTCTCTTGCATTTGCAGCATGGTATCGTGAAGGGTCCTATTGTCAAAGTGGCCCCATAATCGTCGCGGTGCATGACATGAACTGGCAGAGGCTTGAGCCATCTTGGAGGTTAAGTCATAGGTCGATCTAAGGATCCGCTTCTTCGCTGACTCAGGCATCCACCAGGATGCTTTCACCGGCACTCCCCAGCCTTCAGAACTCCGAGAAATCCAAAACAGCAGCTCGACACACCCATGATGTTGGGTATTCCAAGTGGGAGAAGTTCGACGCGGATGCTGCGCTGGCCGATTTGGACCGTCCGTGGCCGAAGGCAGAGAAGGCAGACATCGCAAAGCTTCCAAAGTCGCTGCCAATTGATCGCAGCTTAGAGCCCAGTGAGTTGCTCGACGCAGCAATTGCACGGCTTCAAGAGCCGCCAGAAACCCAAAGGCAGCCAGAGTCAGAGGAGTCAGAGTCCAAGGAAGAGCGCAGAGAAACTCTCAGTGGCACAAATGGTTCAGGCACTGAGTGTGTCGAAGTGAAGCCAGTTGACGTTGATGCCGCATCAACCACTGCTTACAAGCTTGCTGCTGAATATGAAAAGTGGCAGGGGTTTGACGAAGATCTGGAAGAGCTGGATGATGATGATGGTACCGACTACTGTATGGATTCGTCTGGTCTTGACTTGAATGCACTGACAGGGCCAGAGGAAGAAGTGAACCAAATCCGAGCACATTGGCGCAGAGAGGCCAGGAAAATGGCGCGGACCAAGCCCTGTAAGCAACGCGAGCATTGTGAACAATCCTCCCGTGTCGCTTCCCTACGCGAGGTCCAATCGGGTCCTGTGAAGGAGCGCCCGTCTGTTTGTCAGCCATCCTCCAATGCCATGGAGCAGAGCTATGATAAGTGGAAAAGCTTTGACGCAGATGCCGCCCTCTTGCAGCTTGACAACGAGGAGACCACAGAAGAAGGAAAGACGATGCGACTCAATTCCGACCAGGGCTCTGCGTTCTTAACAACAGAAGGTTACACGAAGGATCGTGAAGAGTATGATTTAGATGAAGATATCCAGCGAAACATGGGGAACTTAAAGCAGATCATCGCTCAGAATTTGAAGGATGCATCGGCTCTGAAAGTGGAGGGGAACGAGATGCTTCGAGCAGGCCACGCCAGGGAAGCCAGTGCCAAGTACTTGCAAGGAATCTCCACTCTGCAGCTTGCCAGCTCTGCTTCCGTGCTGATGACGACTTCACTGGCCGACAAGCAGTACCTCGCTCGCCCAAACAGATCCTCTTTTCGTGTTTGAGTGGAGGGATGTCCAGTTTCGTGGTTCACGCGCGATTGCTGGAGCTTGTCGAAATGTTTCTTTTCGGACCTTGCGGCTCTCAACGTCCTTCTTGCAAGGTGGGAGGAAAAAGGGGGGGACCTATGATGCGGTTCTGGCTGCAGCCACAAGTCTGCCTCAAAGACAGCCTGGATTGAGGCAGAGTTGTGGTTGGGGAGCACGAAGATGGCCCCAGCAGGGACCCATGGTGCGGCTCTGGCTCCAGCCGCAAGTCTGGGGGAGACTTGTGGTTGGCTTGCCCCCGCTTGCCCCACTCCCCGACGTTCCCCATTTCCGCCTTTTCCCACCACTTCCCCCACCTCCAGGACGGAGGGGGATGGGGGGAGAGGAAATCTGCAGTGGGGCAAGTGGGGCTGTGAGGCAATTGGGGCCATATCACTTCGCGGTCGCCGTGGGCGCCCGCAATGCTTCGTTGGTATTGATAGCTGAAAAGGCGTGAACAGGTACGCAGTCTTTTTCAGAACTTCCATTGTGCGCGTGAGTCTTGCGCAGCAGACAACGCATAGTGCTGTTTAGGAAGAGTCGTTGATTTTCGGATTCCAGTCTGTCATGCGCAAGTGTCGTAGGCATCGCACACACACTGGCCAAGCGGCACAAGGGATGCAAAAAGGGTGTTCTCAGCATCGTCGCTAAAGGCCCGATGAACCCCGAACATCGTCGGTGGGGCGCTGGGCTGGCAAAGAGGAACAAGGGGAAAAACAGAACCGGAAAATATGCCGTCGGAATTCAAAGCTTCAACGCAGCGGCTGTGACTAGCGTGTCCTGAGCTGTGTAGTCGGTGTTAGGTCTCGGCTTCGGGCAGATCTTCATCGCAACTTGGCGGCTGCTCAGATTCAGCTTGGTGACTTCGCCGATGCGGTGGCCAGTGCTGATGAAGCTTTGCAAGTTGCCTGTCAGCACGCGGCATCTTCCTTCTTGTAAGGAAATGCAGTAGGCTCTGACCCCCCTGCGAGAGAAAGGTCACCGCCCAGCAACATGCACTCGGCAGAGGTAAGTCCGACACGAGTCAAGCCCAAAGTACAAAGTCCAATGAAACATGGATGTGGAACATCATGGGCATCTTGAAGCTGCTAGGTAGAGTAAGTAGACCTGCACAGCTTGGCGGAGCCAGGCAGATGGTCAAAGGTTTAGGTGAAAGGGAGCCAGAGTGAACCGTGTCTTGTGTCTTCGAGGTTGATGGCAGTGATGGAAAGGCCCGGTACAGACGCGCTGTGGCTTTGCTCCGACTGCAACGCTTTGACGAAGCGGCCGAGGAGGCATCCATGACATACATTCGTGTTGTAACGGCTTTCCAACTGATTGCGGGTTGCCTTTCGGCCAGGTCGGGAAGCTTGAGTCTGCTGCCTGCACCCGCATCTTGGAGGCAAGAAGCCTGCCCACCTGCCCCTGCCCCCCTACCTTCTGCAAAGTCTGTGAAAAATCTGTGAGACATCTGTGGCAGTTTTCCGGCCACACAGATTTGCACACATCTTCTGAGATTCTCTGAGCTCCAATTCTCAAATATTTCTCAGTTTATTCGCAGTTCCAACTCCCAACTATTTCTCAGATTCCCTACGGAAATAAATATTGCATAAGACCCAGACTTTACCACCCACCCGCCCTTGCAAACCTAGTCGCGGTTTCGACCCTCTTGTGGCCAGCCAGCGGAGCGGAGAAGTCTTGTTTCCTTTCTGAACCAGAATCTTGAGAAGCACAGGGCCTCTGCCAGGGGCCGTCCGTTTTGTCCTTGTTTCTCAATTTCTCAAAAGAAGACGAACGAGTTTATTGCCGAGTATGAGCGTATGATCCAACTGGTCCAAGTCCAGATGATTCAGCCCGGGCTGTGCCCACCGTGCTGCTTCCCAAACTGGGACGCAATCCTGCTTCGACTGTCCCGAGAACCGTTGGGTGTATACTTACCTCGCTTCCTCGGTGTCTATACTTGGACCACAACCAGTTAAATAGGTGAAGGAGATGTCAGCCGGAATGCTTTTAATGTATTATCACTATGGTGTGGTCTTGTGCTTGTGGTGATTGTACTGCACAGTGCTGTGTGCTGAGTTGTATTGCGTTGTAATTTACTCATTGTGTTGTTTATGTGTCCTGCGGCTTGTATTGTGCATGGTATGGTCCAAATTCTTCCCCAGACATGCGCACGCTGCGTGTGCTATGGGCCTCCATGACGAGTGCTTATTGCACTTGGAGTAGTTGATGGGTAGCACTCCGCACCCACGGTGCCCGGCCATGTTCCCTTGTACCCGAGGCTTCAAGGGTCCTACAAGGCTTGAAAATGGCTCATGACTCATGACTTGACAGTTTGACCCATGCGCTGATAGCGGTTATCTGACGTGCTGATGCCGATTTGCAGCGTAGGGCAGGTCTTCGTTCTACGGTCGGAATTTCTGGTGCTGTGCAGGTGTCTGCAATTTACATGCGAGACGGGCTTTCCACAGTCCACATTCCACATTCTCTGCTTCTGGATGTGAGGGTGACTTGAGAGTAGAGAAGAGGCATTTAGGCTAAGGGCCTTCTGGTAGCGCTCGTGGGGCATTTTTGTGAGCATTTAAGGCATGAAGGCCGGCCTCCATTCTAGCATGTGTGAAATATATGGGGCTAAATTCGGTTGAAGCAGCAGCCCTTGAATCAGCATGACATTTGCATGCCTGGGTTCTAAGGCGACGATGCAGCAGTGAGAAGATTGCGAGACGAGATCGCAGCATCCACTTCCAAGCAATAGGGCGACATCGGAAAAATGTGTGATCTTGCTCAACGCAGACGAATGCCTCCAAGCATTCAGCAGTATGATCAGGGCATATGGCGTCGAGTGCTGACTATGCGGTTGGGCGGCTTGTCGCTTCTCTGTCCCGGCTCATTCAATCAGATTCCTCTCATGGCAAATATTTTGGAAGGCGCCGCAATGTGTTGCACGTGATGGAGATGTTCGGGTCAGATGCCTTTCTTACGTCCCCTTCAGGCCCTGTCCGGCCCTGCATGCTCTGCCCCACTCCGAACTTCTACCAGAGACTGTCCCACAGCACATTCAGCACCTGCTAGCAGCCAAAGACGCCATGCTGTGCTGGATATTCGCGACAGTTCTATGGCACGCTCCATCGTTTGCGGCAGGCTGGGTCATCAGAGTTTGATTCAGACTGAGTCTTGCCATGGATGTGTTGGGTGAGTGGGTTCCTCTCGCAGGCAAAAAATGCGATTGTAGCAAATCTGGGCTGAAGTGCTTTTATGATGAGACCTGCCCTGGACTTGGATGCGGAGCTGAAGGAAAGACGAACTGCCGATTCTGTGGTTCGGGCGAGTTTGCAGACTGCCCAGCTCCACAGACATCGGAGCCGAAGGAAGATAAGGCTCCTCATGAAGCTCCTCCGAAGAAGGAGAAGAAGGAGAAGGCCAACAAGCCATCGACCGACACTCCAAGCTTGATTCTGGGGGACCACAAGACCAAGCTGCCCCATGCGGGCCCAGTCCTCAGATGGCAACGGAATGCAACGGACCTAAGACCCAAGATGGAAGGAAGAGCAGGGCTGATGCTCAGAGGGTTTTGGTTGGGAGAAGCGTCGTATCCCGTAGCCAAGTAAGTTGACGACTCCTACAGACAGACGTGGTCCGAGGCCATAGCAGTCACAGCATGAAGTGCCCCTGCGAATCCTCACAGACACAGCGGTGTTTCTACGATCCTTCTTGTCCCGGACTCGGTTGCGGTGCCCTTGGCCATGTCCACTGTCGGAGCCTCAGTCGGCTGAAGAGGTTAGAGGACTGGAGGAGGAAGAGACTTTGGGTTGTCCTCCACTTGTCTCTCTCGCTTGTCCTCCACTCACAACTTGTGTCCTCAAGGTCGGTTCTGCGGCGGGCACTTCAACGAGTGCCCTTCTGCACATGAACTGGCGATTCTCGCAGCTCTTGCAACCTCAAAGCCGCCTGCAAACGCCGATACGCATCCGCCCCCTGCAGCAGCTGTGGCCACCCAGCCCCAATCCATAGCGCTGAAGGAATCCCCGACCCTGCTTGACAAGCCAATGTCCTTCGACGTGTACCGATGCATGGCAGCAGCTGCAGTTGACACCCATCCAATGGAGGATGACGACATTGCTGATCTGGCTGGTGCGATCAAGTACGTGCATACCGAGATTTTGACGGAGCATTTGCAGAGCCCGATCAGAACAAGTCGCAAGTATCATGTTGATGCGATCACGGCTCACCGATTCAGGATCAAGAACCCGAGCACAATTCTGCACAGGTCAGATGCCTTGCAGGGTGAGTTTGGTGCTTTCGTGACCTACGACTGGGGGAAGGCAACAAATCCAGCTCAGCTGCCAATGATCGCGGACAAGGCACGTGAAGGAAAGTCACCCTGAATACTCCCTAAAGGGATGACGAAGTGTAGGGATGGACACGGAGAGGGAGAGAGAGAGGAGATGTGATAATATGGGGGCAACATAATAAGGGGCCACTGAACCTTCACGCCGGAACGAGAAAGGGATGTGCAACTGGATGCAGCGTCTTACCACTGAATTGTCCTAAAATGGGGCGCGCGCTGCGCAGGGGGGTTCGTCCAGGGTGTGTCGGATAGGCAAGACTCCCCAGAAGCAGCTTGTTGTGCGGTAGGTGAAAATCCTGCAAAACGATTGTGGGTGTGCTAATTCTAAAACATGAAAGGCCTAAACAATAAGTTTTGACGCCAACTCCAGATAAGAATGTGCCCGAGCGGGGACTTGACATTGGTGCTAGACACAGCTCGCAGAGAGCTACCGTTTCTCATCGCAGCCTTGTTTTGCTTTAACCCACCGTAGGCCGTAGGCTGCCAAGTTGTTGGCATGACAATCACTGCGGAAGCTCAGGGCAACTTCGTCGGCATTGCACCGTGCACAGCGGCTCGGCATCCAGCCCAAGTGCAACCATTGGTGCTTGTGCTCCCTCCATCCCGACAAAACCAAGAACTTGCATTGTGATGTGCGCTTCCCGCGGCACATGCCCTACTCCTGGCTGTCTCTCGGCACCTTGTCTGCTACGTGTTTTCAGTAATGTCCAGCAGCATATCACCTTGACATCGTAAGTTTACAGGCAACTGGTGTCCCAATCTCACCTGGGACAAGTTCCTGGTCTGCAACTTTCCATTTGCAATGGAGTGACATACCTGAAAACTATCGTTCGTGCGCTCGCATAAGGAAGGGCTCGAAGAAAGAGCCAAATCCAAGCTGCTTAAAATCGACTGCGGACAAGACCATCATCAAAGGCAATTGCACCGGTTTCTTTCTTGACTTGCTGTTTGTGACTTCGGGCAGGTGGGCTTTGTCCGAACGGCTTCACGGCGCAGAGCACAAACCCAGGCAGCCACTGCAACGCAGCGGTGCACGCGGAAGAGCGCGGAGCACGAGTAGATCAAAGCATGCTAGGAGATGCGAGGCATTGCGAAGCTTAGGAGGACAAAGAGGAGCAGCCGGAGCAGCCACTTTGCAGTCGACCTTGCCAGGCTCCGATCCATCGGGGGAGCAAGAATGCGTGTACACCTATGGCAAGGCAAAGGTGGTGAAATGGGATGACATTGCATCTTGGCTTCGCCTAGTTTCGTGCGACTTACTTGTTTGGATGAATCAGCTTCTGTGAGCTTCGCGTGGCAGAGGTCGGAATTACTCGGGAGGACTGCGGCAAGCGTAAATGCAAAGATTGGCTCGATTTTCGAATGAACTGCACGAACAGCGACTCACCCATACTTATGCACGGTGGTGTTAGTGCTAGGCTTCATTGCTCCCAAGGCCAGTACAAACGGCAGTTTACGCTGGACGGCAAGACAAAAACTGTGGACTATTGCGGCTAGGCCCAGAAATTTAACCGTCGAGCGTTCGTAGTGCCGAAAGATTGAGCACGGCCCTTCCTAGGCATTGAGTTCGACATTCATCCTGCCTGTGAAGCGAACTGCGAGGTCCAGTCGAAATGAGCAAGCAGGAGTAACTCTGAGTTGGATCGTCGGGGTGTGTTGGTCCGCTATCAGGTCGACAAGTGCAAGGACTTCTTGGCAAGTGGAAAGGAGACATACCTCGGAGCCCAGCCAACAAAAAGTGCACACCCAAATTACGGGATTATATATGGGACTGTGGCTCTGCGTGTATGGCCTGCAGTAGTTTGATGCTGTCGCTAAGTCATCTCGACGTCATTGACCTTAACAATCAGTTCAAAGTCCGAGGACTGGCCTTCTGGCACGGTCGTTGTGATCCAAGAGCAAATGAGAGACGCATCGAGATGGCTTGAGCCTTGGGCTCCGGAGTGATCCGCAGCGGCTCAAGCTTTTGCAACCTCTGCAGGTTTTTTGTTTGCCAAGGTTGCCTATGCCCTCGGCATTCCCGGTGCTTTGAAGAGCCACGAACTGGTCGATACCGAAACGCTCGAAAGACCGTGCCCTCTTTCGAATCTTGACGATGTTCATGACAGTTTGATGAGTCAGTCACTCATGCCTTGTTCTGCATGGCTGATGTTGGAGTCGCTAACATCAATGGACGGCGCGTGCTGCTCGCAGCAGCCTGGCTGGCGGGCATGAGAACAAGTTCGCCCGCGGTACTACTTATGAAGCTTGTGGCTCGCGAACACTGAAGATCTTGCCATGCTTTATGCTTTGACGCATAGGCCTGGTTCCTCATGGCTCTGCTTCGTTCCCCACCCGGTGTGGGGGGATGCTAGGTGTTAAGTCAACCCCTCCCGTGCTAATCTGGACTGCCAACCCCAGAAAATCCTGGAGTGCCTATGCCAGAAAAGTCCGTGAAGAGTCCCGCGACAAAGCCTGCAGCGAAGTATCTTGAATTGCTTGTCCGAAAACGCAAGGATGGCTTTTACATTAGCTGCAGGGTGGGGACGACGGACTTTCTCGCAGCTTCTGACGTGCAGTCACTTGCAAAGGAAAGGAACCAGCTGGACATGTCAACCGGTTGATGGTCATGGACCATACTGCCCCGTGCTTGGGGCAGAGCACGCACGGCTGGTGTACTGCGAACCTGAGTGGAGTGTGAGTACTGTCCTCTCGAGGCACACGGAGCTACAATGGAGCCTGTGACCAGTGCTTCATTCCAGGCAAGAAGTCCTTGGCTGATTCTGTGAAAGCCAAAAAGACGTGCTGAGAGGCGTGGTGAATGGAGTGTCCCTCAAGCCGTGGTGCCCGCTGGATATCCTGAGTACACCCACATACACGGAACCTGGATTAAAGATTCCAAGCTGACTCCATGCTTTGGTGACCTATATTTGCTCCCCTGTGCAACCATGCCAAATCTGCCCAGGACATGCCGAAGAATCTTGGCTAGTCGTGCAAGTCGGTTACTTTTGTGTTACTTTTGTGTTACAGGGAAGATCTTGCTGCACGTGTGCGCGAAGGCCTCATTGCAAGAGCCGCGCTGCGTCAGATGGCTGCTGTTTGTACACCAACACCTGCATGAAGCTCAGGTTCTCCTGAACTTAGAGAAATGAATGCAGCAAATGTTCCGTGCATCAAGTCATGTGGCACGTTGCTTTGCAGCACCAGGCGAGGGAACATCCGATCCCTCCACGGCTGCCTTGACTGATGATGGCCTGGCCTTGGTGGCTTCAAGGCCTGGACCTCAGTCCTTCGAAGGCTTCGTTCCCTCCCTTTTACAAGCTGGTCGCATGGATGAACTTGAACACTGAAGGAGAAGCACGCTCGACATGGAGCAGTTTTTGAGACGCGTCTTACTCGGCACTCGCTGCGGTTCTTAGCAACATCTCCTGGACCTGATATACCGTGCGAGGTTGTGCTTAAGTTTTTGAGCCGTCCAAGGTGCTGCATCCAAGGAGCATCGCTTCTCCAGCTTGGACGTGGCAAGCGTGAATTTGCACCTTGTCTCAAGGCTTTGGCAGACATCAGCACCGTGCAAAGCATGGCCCAGCACCTTCATTGCCTAGTAGCACACGAGCGGGCCCTAGCTCAGGCTAGCACCACAGCAGTTCCTAGTACTACACATTCTCTGCATTCTGGTCCGAAGGGCCATGCACTCGTGCAAGGCGGCAGCGTCGTGTATTGTGAGCTGATATGATTACGCCTAGCAGTTCCATCAAGCGCATGTAGCCCCCCGAGACCGTATCCGGTGATCTGGTCAGGCTACGCAAGCGTAAGAGTGGGCATGGGATGGCCCAACATCCGTCAGGGTTTTTGCAGGATGAGCCCTCAGCTCAAGACACGGTGGGATGCCAGGCCATGAGCTAGAGATGTGATGAGCTTAACACCTGGGTTGAACAAGTTCGTTTATCGCCGGAAACCGCAGATGGTTCACCTTTTGCTCATTGGATCAACTCCCTCTTGCTAAAGGAAATGGGCCGCCTACTTTGCTTGGAGCACAGCCCCCACAGACAGGAAGCTGGCTCAGGCCAGGGGAAGAGCATGTTACAAGACACCGAATGCGAAACATGTATCGTGCACGAAGGCTTTGGATGAATTGGAGATGTTCCTCTCATCCAAGACGGCGGTGATCACCCAGTATGTCGGGCTTAGGGTACTGGCATCAATGGGGGCCTGCGCTCCGAGTGCATGTAGCCGTGGCGGGCCCAAACCATGCAGGCGACAACTACGACTACCACACTACCCAAAGTGCACGTCGGGCCTGCAAAAGTGCCGTCTTCACTGGAGTGTGCAGAGCGCGAGGCTCTACGCTGCAAGCAGTGACACGCAGTTCCTGTTCCATCATGATGTTCCCATGCAACATCTAGCTGTTCTAGAGCTCAAACATGCTCGAGCCAGTAAACCTCGGCGCGAGAGTCTATTGCCCAGCCCGCAGACAAGCAGGTCTCCTTCATGCCGCTTGACATGCCTGACGTTCCTATGACACTGTCAACTTTGGCAGAGTGCCAGAAGAAGTGTTCCGAGCAAAAGGGCTGCGGCTTGGACTGTCAAAGGTATGCCTGATTGTCTGGTTGCTCCTGATACTTGGCGTCCAAGGTTTTCATTTCTCCTTCTTGGCGGCTACTGGCTTGAAGCAAGGCAGCTGCCACTTGGCCGGCTTTTCCGCGCTTGCGGAGGCATCATGGATGCAAGATGCAACATGTTGCTCATTGCCACGGTCCTGAAGCTCCTGGTTCTAGCAGCGGGCGCTGCCAAGCAGCTAAGCCCAGACAGGTCTACAGCCCGTCGTGGATTTCAGGACCTCCAAAATGCTGGAATGACTTAGAGGCCGACTGTCGAGCTGTGGACATTGTAGACTAGCTAGCATTTGCACCCGGGCTTCACTGGCTGAGGAGAAGAGTTTGATGATTGACAAAGGCCACAATACATACGAATCTTGCCTGCGCATATGTGTTGCGCGTGTGCATGTTGCGTGCAGCGGCCCGGCAAATTTTCAGGCGCGGTCAAAAAAGGTTCAAAATGAGATCCAAGGTGCCGGTTGACTTTGCTTGCATGTCCTGGGGCAGCTCTTTCCCTCCTACGGATGGCCCACTCATCTCTTTGCCCCCCCAGGACGGAGCATTTCGCTGAGGTAACGTTTGGGTTCGTCGGTCGTGCCATGTCGGGCCGTCTGGGCTAGGCTGCAGCAGGGCAACCGCATAGTGACAGCATGATGATGACGAATGAGGTATGTGACGGCGAACATTGCCCACTATTCACGATGACCTTGCTGTGTTACCACAAGCCTCGCAAACTCGCAGGTTTTCGGGTGCTCGGGGTATTTCATTTTCTAAGCCTGGAGCAGCAGAGAAAAAGTGACTGTCAAAATGCTTTTTGTGATTCAGGACTTTCCGAAGGAGGAAGATGCTGTTCTGTGGCATGGCTGTACCGACTGACTTAGCCAATAACCTTGTAAGTGCATGATCAAGCGAGCACGAGCAGTGCACCCCCTGGCGAGGGAATGCCAAAAGCGCTGCCGCAAGAAGAAGAACTGCGAGCATTTTACAGCCCCTCTGAGATGGTTTAAGACGACGCTGAAGCTGGTAGGCGTGTTTCCGATGTGTTGTGTTTCTTGATCTGTGTGGGATTGTTCGTCAGTCTGGTTTCTTGAGATTCTGGCTTCCTAGCCTGTCGGCTTGCTTGCTTAATCATGGCCGTTTGGCGATTTTGCGAGGAAAGCACAACGTCCAGTCGTTTTTGGCCTTGTGGCTTCTTTGCTGTCGTGAAAGCTCGAAGCGGCAACACAAAGCTGCCAAAGCTCTGCATTGGGGTCGGCCGCAGATTCGGAAATCGAAAGCTGACAACAAACTCGGAAACTAGGAAACGTGACTCATTCGGCAAGCTACAAAATGAAGGTTCGGAAGCCGCGTGTTGTGAAACTGGACACCGCAGATTCGGAAGCACATGAAAGCACGGATGTGAGCAACTGTAAGAACTGGATTTGGACGGCGGCTTTGGCTCCCTTGGCTCCCTCTCGCCCCCATGCGTCCCCAATCTCCCCTTCACAAACTGAGTAGTGGAGTTTCTTACACTAAAGGGGAACATGATGGAACTCGCAGTAGCCTTGGCCGACCAGATGGGCCGCGAATCTGCGTTTCGAAGATTAGCAGTGCGTGTTAAGCAAGCGGCCGGCCGCAACAGGGGCAAGTCTGTCTCGGCTTTTGGGCCTTTTTCCAAAAAGCAAGCCTTGTTAAGGTGTCTTTCCCTCTTCGAACTTGTGCTCTTGCCGGTCCTGGAGCCATGGTTGTGGATGGCATTGCTGGGGCAATTTCCGGACCACCCAAGCGCCTTGGGAATGTGGGGAGATCGTGGGCATTTGTCTATCTGTTTTTTTTTTGCTCTTTCGGTGTGTTTATATTGTATCGTGTGGCGATCTACACTGATTTGCTTCTGTTGAGGTGCGACGAGAAAGCCATGCAGCACCTCAACTTTTAAGTGGGCTCACCGCTGCGCCTGCAAGCAATTACCGACATGGGCAACAAACAGTGCATTAGATGCAGTCAGGTCATACTACTGGGAGGTTCTGCCGAACGAGGCCCAGCTCCCCTGGAGATGGGCCCCACCACTAAGTGCGCCACTCTGCTGAAAGCGCTGCTAAGCTACCAAGCTTACTAAGCGCAGCGGCCCCTTGGTCACAAGACGGCGTGCTGGAGACTTGCATGTGATTCGATGTGGCTTATTCTGCAAGCGCACGCAAGGATGATGATCTCGGGTGTTCTGCTGGCGGCCGGTGTTGCTTTCTTTGTGCCAAATCCTCGGCATTCCATTCCCATGGCATTGGAACGACCGTATCTCGGCCCGCGAAGGTTTCGACGTCGACAACCTCAACGTACGGTGCGCGGCGTGCAAAGAGCCCTTGTTCCGGAGGATGATCGACTTGAATCATGGTGGCAGGAATCCGAGGACAGGCCGCAGACGTAGAGTGATTCGTTTCGTAGACCTGATTAAGATTGGGAAGGACGTTGAGATGACAGCGCTCGAGTGAAGCGTCCCGATGCTGGGCCAAGATGTCGAGGAGCGAAATCCAGGCTTTCAAACAACCAAGTCTCACACACGACTTTTCCACATGCCATGCAAGAGGTTGCCGATGCGGCCCTTGCATGTCGCTTGAAATGCTTTGAAAGTGCCAGCTTTCGGATATCCAAGTCGACTCGGACCTGGCACATGCCAGTCCTTAATTTGTAGGCCTCGCACGCGTCAGGAAGATTGCTGAACCAGAAAACTGGATGTGTACAGTGCCTGGCAAGGGCCTATAGGACGTGTGACTTCCCGTGATGCATGGAAAGAGGGGCTTCGCAGCATTCGCAGCCTTCACCACTGCCTTCGTTCTGGCTGTTCACGCTAAATGCCGCTGAATATCTGCCATTGCTTGCACCTTGGCGCTTGTGGCCCACCAGTTGTGAGTCATGATGAGTTCTAAGCCAAGATCGTATCTCTGGAGTTCAGCTTCAACAGCGGCATACTGCTGCAAGCATGGACGTGACGCGCCCGCTGTCCAACCATGCAAACTGACATTCTAAGATTACGCAGGGACGTTCGCTTCTGCATTCGTAGTCACTCCAAAATGGCACAAGCAGATGAAGATGACTGCAAACGGCACCATCAAAAGATGGCAGAGCTTAGCAACTTTCCGGAGTTGCCAGGATGGTGTTGAGCAAGATTTTGGTTGCAAAGGTCCAGGGGGTAGTATATGATATTTGATGCTGCGGTTGTTGGCATAGTGCGCTTGATTCACTTTGTCGAATGCCATCAGGTACCTGCCGGCGGAAGTCCGAGAAGGGTTTCTTGCAGATACTAAAGCTCGCCAGGAGTCTGTGCTCAAGCTCCTTTCATGCGACTCATCAGCAACTGGCAGTTATTACACGCTATTATGCCATTACATCTACTACTGTGTTGAGGGTTCACGTGTAGGTCCGATAAGTCCCCCGGAGCTGTGAGTGCTATAGTGAGTGCTGTTGAAGTGCAGGTGGCGCTGCACCACCTGACTCTGCAGAAGTGCTTCTTGGACTGAAATGCCTTAAGATCTTGGAGGAGTTGGAGGCCCCCACTTCGCTCGACTTCAAGCTCGCAGTCCTTCACTCGCTGTGGAAGTTAATCGTCGCCGGATCCCAGGCACGGCCAGGACGCTTGTTATACGGGTACTCCACCAGTGCAAAGATCCTCGAGGGCTTCGGGGTATGGCTGCGCTGTACAGCTGCAGAGCACATCCTTCCAATCTGGCGGGATGAGGTGCCCAACCATGAGGAAGCGGACCAGGTGGATGCTCTACGAAGAGAAGTGGACGTGCGGCTGCCTCTTCGCCTGATCTTCGAAGACGCTGTGTCAGACGTTGCAAGGGCTTTCCAGGTTTCTTTCTGTTTACCAGCTTTCAGGGGAACCTAGGCGTACATAGTTGTGGCGTGGGGTTGCATGCACATGTAGCCCAGGAAGTTCGGAAGAGCCCGCGGATCGATTGTTCCTCAAGCAATTCGAAGCGCAGGCACTACGTGCAACAGCTCGTAAATGCTTGCGCCACATTGGCCAACTTCCATGGCTGCATTCCAATCGACGATGCCGCTGTGCTGACAGCAGAGCTGGCCAAGGAGGTTGACAACTTGCATGTGTACTCCCTCGTGTATGCCAAGATGTTGGTATTCACTACACCAAGGGCCATGACACCGCAGATAATCCTAGATGGTAGAATCTGGTCATGGTGGTCGAGATTGCCAGAGGGCTTAATTCCAAAGTTTGACTTACTGTGGTTCCATCCCCTGAGCAGATACGCAGAACTCCATTGGGCAAACAAGGTCGAAGATGCCCTCAGCCAAACAGGCTCGGAGGGCAGGTCTGAGGAGTGCTTCAGCAAACTTCAAGAGCAGCTGCCGTACCTGATGAACAAAATCGCCCGGACGCTGTGCATCCCCTTCGGGTCTCCGGCTGCAAAAGCAGTCGATGGAAACAAAGGAGAGAGGGCTCCAGACCTGGACCGTTACCCAATCCCCGAGGAAGTTGATGCGGTATTTATGGGAAGCCAAACTGCCTGGAGGGAGGTGGCAATCTTTTTGATATACCTGCTGGAATCAGCTCCTCCTGAAGAGCCTTCCAATTGCAACATGTGGACGCTGTTGACGCTGCTTCTGCGAAGAATGCGGCCGTTCATCATGCCCGCAACTGCGCAGAAAGAATGGCTCTGGCATTGCACAACACTCATGCACAACCTGACATCGCAGTATTTCAAGCGGATATGTCGAGAACGTATGTTGGCGACGACTGCCCCAAAGGCCAAGCACTTGACAGCAGCAGCCGACCGGGCGTTCCTGAAGCTGCTCCTTCCACTTGTGCGTGATGTGTCGACAGTGCGCTCTGCACATGAGGTGGTCACGTCGCTGGACAACCTTTCGAGACTTGCAAAAATATCTGCCATGCAGCCAGACCTTGTTGCCTTTGATGCTTCTTCCTCCATCGACCCCTTCCGTGTGGACTTTCAGTCCATGGTCGTGCAGGCTACTGAGGTGTTGAACGATCCATCTATGTCTGGCAGGCATGCTACGCTGCTGCGGGTCTTCGTCTCTATCATGCCAGCTCTGACCTGTCAAATGCCGGCTGTTATTGGTGAGCTGCTTCCCCTCACGCTGCTGGGGATTGACCCCACCGACGTGTCAAAGACAATGTGTGCCCTCAGACTCCTGACATCAGTTTTTTCTCAGATGCCTTGCCTAGACATGAACGACTGGGAGCTCACAGACAAGCCTGCAGGCACATTCAGCAATGTCCAGTGGCCACTGCCGGCAGATGCTCAGGTGGAGAGTGGGGACCCTGACTACAGTTCAACAAGCATTGTATCGTCTATGTTGCCCTCCTTTGCAGTCGACTTTGTCCAGCGCGCCTGTGACTATGTCACCCGAATTCCCAAGCCACGAGGTGCCAAACCAGGCAAGATCTCAATGGAAGGTACATGCACCGGCTTGCTACATGGAGCCCTTTGCCTCGTGGCCTCGCAGACTGACAAAGAGACATACAAGCAGATGGTGGAAGAAGTGTCTCAATTTGTCAGCACCAACCTCTTACCCGACCAGGTGAAGCCTGCCGGGCAGGTCATCTTTGCTATCGCTCGCGCATGCCCGGAGATCGCCTTGTCCATGATGCTGCCATTGTTCTTCAAAAAGCTTCTTGCAAGCCGAACGACGGCAGTGCCTCTGCATGAAGTGGGGGTGTCAGAGAGCGAAGCCAAATGGTTCCTGTCACTGCTTAGCGCTTTGGTGCGCTCGGGCGGGTCACATTTGCTTGCGTACAAGCAGCAGCTGCAGACAATTATCAGATCTGCCCTGCTGGACGAGCGAGAGGCTGTGACCAAGCTTGGAATGAAGCTTCTCCGTCGGATTCTGTATGCGATCACTGCGGTTTATGTGCAGGTAGACTACAGGCTTTGTGATGCGAGTGTGTGGAAGGGGTTGATGGGCTGCCGACGAAGCAGCGCGGCGGTTGGTGGAGCTGCTCGCTCGTGTCTGCTCTGGTCAGGACTCAAAGGGCCTTGGTGGCTGGGAGAGACCGGCCGAGAGACCGCCTTGACATCGATTAGCTGGCACGTGCCCAGCGAAGAGGAAGTGGAGTGGGCACGAGGCTTAGTCTTTGCTTCACTGGACCAAGCCGGCAAACTCTTGAGCTCCATCATAGAGGTGCCAAGCCTAATCGACAGCTTGCCAGAAGGCGCAGGCTGGCTGGATGGCTTAGCTACTAGCTTGCCACCCAAGAAGAAGTTTGCCTATAGTATAATTCTGGCCACTCGCCTTATAAACCAGGTTCTGAGGGGTACTTCTGACCTGTGGCCAGATGAGCGTGGCAACGAGGAGCTTGAGTCCAGGCAGCTGCCCAAGAATTTAAAGGTTGCTGGGAACACCGCAGACACAATCTATGCATGGCTCTTTCCCGTGGTGTTGTCAGCATTCCGTGAACTTGCTGTTCAAGAACAGTATGGCGTTGCACAAGCTGGCAAGCTGGACCAAATTGATGTGTCCAGGGTGATGCGAAAGCTTCTCAAGTGTGTGGCGGAACTTAGCGGCGCATGGCGAGATGTCCACCCAAGCTGCTTGCGACTCTTCCCAAGCATGCGTCAGGTCGACCGGGATGCGCAGGCTCTGGCTTGGAATTCCACATCCATGGATCAGCTTCACCCTCACTCTAGGTGGCGAGATCTTCCCCGGGTGTGGTGGGTGGAGTGCATAGCTGAAACAATGGAGGGTCGTGTTCATGAGCGGCGGTCTGGCCTCCGATACACTGGACTCCGCAGGAAGTTGATAGAAGCAGTCGCCAAACAGATATTTTCCAGTGGATTTGAGCCGGTCCGAGATTTCTCACTTGCCATCGTCACAATGGCTATCCACCATCATCAGGGTGGCCGATGGCCTCTGGTGCGCGACGTTTTGCTGCCAGCATTAGCAAAGGAGACAAAGGCTGCTGCAGAGTGCTCCTCCCTCTCTGGCGAGGGTGCGGATAAGGAGCAGCAGCGCTTAAACGATTCCTTGTGCGGTCTTGCAACAGCCCTCGGTGGGCGCATCAGCGGCCTCATTAGCTCTGTATGGCGTCGTGGCAGCGGCCTCAGTACAATCTTGAGGGGAGTGTCGGCCGTAGCATCCGAGCCAGAACTGTCACAACTGTTGCGCCATTTGATGCACCTCCCTGTAGGTATCAAAATAGAAGCGCTCAGGTATTGACGATGCCGCAGTTGTCGGCCTCAGCCTTTGTGAGGCCATTTACGCAGCAACACGAGTGAACGCGACGGGAGGCTCGAGCCCGCCTGCTGACACCAAAGAGCAGAAGTGTGAAGTCAAGCCCAATACGGTCTCAAGGCTGATATCGGCACTGAGGCACTGGCTCGATTGTCGTGAGGCTCAGTGTTGGGCGGAGACTCGGCAACGTTCCAACACCCCTCTACTGCAAGACGACAATGCCGATGAAGCCGAAACCTCCGAAACTTCCACACCTTCAAAGCTTGCTCGCGGACTGTCCGCGGTGCGAACTGTGTCCAAGGCTTTGCAAGTATGCGAACGTGGAGATTGCCACTGGAGAGCACAGATCATGGCATCAACAATGAGCCTTGCCTTGCTGAACTCTTTGGGAGCACTTGGACTTCCACCTGGGTTGAGCACCGAAGAGACGGCAGAAGTGAAAATGATCTGGTTGCAGTGGGGTCGTTGGCTCGTGAAGTGCATGGACCCAAAAGGTCAGCCAGGATTACATGCGCTGGCCATTCACGGTCTTCAGCTCATGCTGAAGCAGTCTCCCCTCAGCCAGTCGGAGTTAGCACAGTTGAGAATTCAAGATGCGGCCTTCTTCCAAAGTCTTCTGAAAGTTCTACCGCCCTTGAACCATGAGGAACTCATGGTGACGGCGGATGACCAGGTGGGACAGAAGAGTGAGCCAACCAGAGGACCAGTGAACGTAATGGTCCACCATGGCTATTTTGACGCTTGGCCAAGAATCTGGCTACGAAGATCCTCCAACTCCTTCTCGCTTCAAAACGCTTTGTTCTGGCAGAGCTACGCCAAGATCCTCATGTCGGAGCTGAGTCGTGAAGATTTCGCGGAGCTGCTGCAGAAAGGCGCTGAGGAGCTGGCATCTCAGCCAGTGGCAGAAGCTGAGTACCATGCAGCCTTCGCAGAGTTTGCGGCCGGTGTGCTGCGAGCCGTGCGGAAGCCTGAGACGCTGGAGCTCCGCAAAGTCTTGTGGAATCAGCTACGGCCCTTGTTTCTGTCAGCCTTGCAACAATCTTCGGAGGAGCGGCTTGGGACCTGGTGCGATGCAGTTCGGTATATTGCGACAGGCTATAGTCGACCTGACCTCTCTCGCGTCTTTGCACCAAAGAAGTCGCTTCAGGAGCCAGAGCGGCTTTGTGCCACCTTGCAGTACCTAACCCCTCTCTTTAACTTCGTTGTGGGGGGTGAAGGTGAGCTTGAGTTTGATGCGCTGAGTTGCACATTGCCGCCCATCCGGCCACGCGCTTGCAGTAACATTCTGTTGGTGTTGCATTGATTCTTCAAACCACTTTTGTTTGTAAGCAGATGCAAAATTCATGGAAACGCGGGTCGGTAAATAGGCCTCTCCATTAGGTGATGATTGATGCAGTAACCTAGCGTTATGCATTCGGAGCACTTCTGCTGAGCCACAGCCCTTCGACTAGGGGACTCCGAATTCGGCGACACCTGCAGAACGTTCTGCACTAGATGTATGTTCTCGGCGTTTCTCGGCGAATCATCCGCGCTTGAAACCTTCACAATCGCTCGCTCTTGAGAAGTTCATTCAGGCTTGATTGCGCTACGCCAATGTCTCTTGCAAGCGTGGCAACATGTCAGTCTGCCATGTTGAGATGGCATCGGCAAAAGGAATCAGAAGGAGTATCGCCGCGTATAGGGGCACAGCTAGCTGCAACAGCGCGTGCGTCACGCATGGGCTCATGAAGGTAGCGTGCTCTTGTACAAGAAGGGGGTTCGTACGTCAAAGCGCCACGTCTGACCAAATGCACTCAGGTTCGAGTACGATGAGAAGCTGTCCGATGATAAAGACAAGGGCTCCTCCTTCGACTCCTTCAAGCGCTTGCGGCTCTTGATGTCTTTGCTGATCGAGCCCTCTGCCACAAAGATCTTGGCTGAGAACCAAGACTTTTGCAGAAAGTTAGTCGAGACCTTAGAGCAGGGCTTGGGGCACCCCTACAAGCAGCTTCGTGAAGAAGTGGCGCGGGGCCTCTTCTTCATCGTGCAAGCTGGCAGCTCTCATGCCTCCCACCAGGAGACTCCACCAGCAGAGACGGCGGAGGAGAGTGGCCTTAGGTTGGTATCCATGCAGCTGGAGGCATGGTTTTGCGCTGAGGCGCAGAGGCTCACACCGATGCTGCAAGCTGACAACGCAGCGCACGCGACTGAAGACGAATCCGTGCGGCCCAAGCACGTCGTCGAGAGCTCGGGCTTGGTGTATGTCCTCTTGCACTCGTCCTTAGCAAGGTTTACATCGACTTGCCTTCGTGAGTCGGCTTCAGAGCTGCTGAGCTTCCTTATGGCAGCAGCGGCGCATGGCGACCTCGAGCTTCGAGCCATCGCCCCCCACGCCTTGTCATTGTGCTGTGCCGCGCATCCAAGCCCACCAGCGCCTGATCACAGCAAGCTGTGGAAAAAGCTGCCAATGGTAAAAGCCTTGAAGTCCTTAGTCACCGCTGGTACTCCTGACAAGGAGTTGGAGAAAGCTCTGGCTGCAGGCCTGAAGCCAGCGGTAATGGCAAACTTCTTTGTGCTTCTTACTGGCGGTGATGACGCACGCTCGCTGTATGCCGAGCTGCGTTCAGCTGCAGAGCGGGCGTTGGGCAACGGCAAACCTGAAATTCGAACAGCAGCACGTGGCGCTGTTGCAAGTTTCTTGACTGTAGAAGCAGAGCCAGAAATCCGCATGCGCCTCAAATCTCTCAAATCAATGGCAGGGGTTCCAGGCAAGCGCGACGACACAAAGCCCGAGACCGGCGATTTCTGTTCCGTTGTGGGCACTATGGCCTGCATGCTCCTAGCGGCCGCAGACTGCGGAGTGCCGCAGTGGTCCGGTCTAGCCATTCAGACCGTGGCACCCTATGGCAAACCAGGGATACAAGAGGCAGCACGCAAGGAGGTGCAAGCGGCGATCCAGGCATTTCTTAAGCTGCAGCAATCAAGCCAACAGACTTGGAAGGAGTGCCAGGACAAGCTGACATCCTCCCAGCTTGATCTATTGAATGACAACAAGGGCAAGCTCTCCTATTTTTCATAGTTCTCATAGGTGAGTGCTGAACAGGCAATTTTCTGGAGTGGCAGTGGCACAGGCCCAATGATATCACCCAGTGCAGCTTGCAGTACTTCTACAGACTGAAGTTGCATCATTGAATTCTATGTAGCAGCATCGCTCGTGGGTGCTCGCGGTAAACATGTTCTCTGGCTCCGGCATCCATGAAGTGCTCCGTTAGATCATGTTGAGACACTGTACCCTTGATTTGTTGCTGCCAGAGAGCTACAGCATCAGCGCCACATGCCTCGCCGAGCTTCCGGCTCTGTCTAATTAGGACCATGGTCGCGGACTAGCTGACTAGCTAGCACAGATGGCGATCGAAGATGACCTGACATGCCAGCGAAGCCGACATAGACTGCAGCGCAGCCACCTCCACAGCCACTACATGGCCTGCAATGACCGGGAATCCCCATAATGCTTGTGTCCACACCTGCGAGAGAAGACGAGGTGGGTCTTGCCGAAGTGTGCTGCTTTATGCTGCTGACCTGTGCTGTGAGGTCGGGATTTCTGAGTACCTGTCACCGGAAGTGCATGGATTCTGCGGCCGTCCGCTCGCATTCCGAAAGCCTGATGCGGTAGCTGGCCCCAACTGCTGGATTGATTGCACCAGTTGTTGAGGTGTGTTCAAGTCTTTGTGGCAGGAGCAAACAGTTCGTGAGCCGTGCCGAGTGTTGCAGCGAACTTGCATGCGATTGTTTTGTGCAGGACTTCCACGTCTACGAGGTTGATCCACAGGGCGCAGGGGCCTTTCATTCTTCTTCAGAGGACGGCTGTATGTCTTCATGAACTTGGGTTGTGGCTAGAGTCACTGGTGAGAAGGTGGAGCTGCACTTGAGCGAGCTGATAACCCCTGGGGCAATTGCAGCAGAGCTGAAGAAGGCAGCCGAGGAGATTTGGCCTCGGGAGTCCGTTGAGTTGCGATGAATTGGGTCGTTTTCACGGGCATGCTGCCAAGGCGCCGAGAAGCTCGAAGCTCTTTGGGTCCAGGGTTCAGATTTGAGCCAGCAGTGGAAGGCGTCTGGCTCCCAGTGGGCCGGCTGAGGGCATCGTGAAGTGCAGTATCTGAGCATGTCACCACGAATACGACTTTGTGAATCCTGAGGAGCTAGAGGAAGTTCTGGGGAAAGAAATCCTACAAGAACTTCTTAGCCACGCCGACATGGTTGCGGCCGGTTGAGACAAGGCAAAATCTGTTGCGGCAGGCTTCCTGCAAAAGCAGCCGTCTGAAGTCGGTGAGGCCAGTACTTGACACAGCGAGTTAAGACTGAGCAGAGCACACCATGAGTAACAGGAAGCCCACGACCAGGGAGGAGCTTCCCAGGGGCAGCTATGGTCAGCTCGTGAAATCGGCGAATAGAATGCGACTAGTGTGAATAGTGTTCTCGGCCTTCACAGGAGAAGTCCAGGCTGCCGAACCTCCGCCTGGCTACGTGACTCACTTGCAATTCAAGGGACCATCCCAAAACCCCTTCCTCTCGCCTGCCTCTGGCGCTTTCCCTGCTTTTTTTGAAGAAAGCGTCCCTTTTTGGGCCTCACAAGGCACAGCGCTGCCGGCACTGCTAGCACTCCCTGAAGTGAGGTGGACTTGAGTGCTGACGACATCAATGACGGATCCAAGGAGGCTGGAGGAAATGGAAGTACTCATTTAGCATAAACCACAAACTGTAGAGCCGTGCCTGGTGTCTTCAAGGCCCGGAAAAAGGCCCACCAAGTTGTTCTGAAACACCTCGGTACTTTTCTCAACACAGAGACAGCCCAGCTCTTGATTGTCGCTGTGCACTGGGGCCTGAAGGCCGTGGGAGGCAACGGCCTGCCAAGGTCGAGTCTGATGGCGTCCGGTCCATCCGCGTTTGGATGCGTGAGGCACTGCCGTGGCAAGTGCAGCACGGCTCGGGGAAAAGGAACAACGCACCCCGCACCCCCCTTCTCCGGCCCGAGACTGCTGCCTGCAAGAGGCCGAGAGAAAGGCCAAAGCGCCAACGGCAGCAACGTTTGTTCCCTGGATCGGGATTCTAAGGCGATTGGTGCACAAGGATTCGAAGCTGCGGCGCTTGCATTGCTGGCCTGCTAAGTGATCCAATGTTCAGCCGAGGTCGGGAGACGCCAGTCTCCCTGCCAAGTTACAAAAGTTGCTTGGAGAGTTGCCTCGCCTGCCATGACAAGTTTAGGTCATCATGGTCCATCGACACTTGTCTGTGCCAGGTCGTGGCGGCAAAGGAACCAAGAAAGGAAAGGGCAAGGGCGGAAAAGGCCTTCTCCAGGAAGCATGACCGACATGTGTAGACCAGCCGTGGCAGGAAAAGGCAAGAACAGCAAGGGCAAAAGTAGCAAGAGCGAAGGCGGTCGTGGCAAATATGACATGTGCTGCAAAGTTGAAAGCGCGTACGCTCCACAATGCAGGGCCTTCGCTGGACTCCTCTGCAGGCATGGAAATTCTTGTTGCGAGAGAGGGAGAGGGAGAGAGAGAGAGAGAGAGAGAGAGACACACACCGGGTAACATGAGGGGCACCACATTCCTGTGACACGTTTGGTGGGCCACGAATACCGTGGGCCTTCCGTTCAGACGGACCCTTGGACGTCGCGCGCCTCTCGGGGCGGCCTTCCCTTCGGGGGGGGCTATGCGTGCAGGAGAGAGAGAGAGAGAGAGAGAGAGAGAGGGGGGAGAGAGAGAGAGAGAGGGGGGGGCCATGCGTGCGGGAGAGAGAGAGAGAGAGAGATATTGAAATCCCGCGGCCGACTGAGCCCCCCAAAGACAGGGGCGGGCGATGACGCCCGGGGGTTCGCCCCCACGCCCCTAGAAAGAAAGAAAGACAGATTGTTTTCAAAGCTTGCAAGCTTCGGCCTCGGACTCGAGGACCGTCCTTTGGCACCATGAGACGGGAGGGCTGGCCGAAAGCTGCAGCCTCAAACGGCTGAGATCGCAGTGCCGGTGGCAAAAAAGCTGCTGAGATCTGCTGAAATCTGAGAGTCTGAGTGTTGGCATCGTGGAAGGATCGACCCGACTATTTGTATTTCCGACTCTACAAAGAGATGCTTAGCCGACTTAGCTCGTCTCAAACAAGTGCCCCGTAGAGACTTCGCCTTGGGATATCTAAGGAACTGTGACACTGGCGAGGCAGTTTCCAGCATCGCGCGTTGCGTTGGAAGATCTGCCAGAGCCCCAAGATGCCCCCTACTGAGGGCCTACTGCTGGAGCAGAGCGGATTTGGAGCGGCAATGAGAGACTCGAAGGATTTAACGGCGTAGCCTCGTGGCACAACGCGGATAGCGCGGTCATGTGGCGTGTATGTACAAAAAGGGGGAAGCCATGGAAAGCCACAACGGCACTTGCACCAAGCATCCTTGGAGGCCAAGCAGTTCAGCTTCGCAGGCACGAAGGACCGACGTGCATCAGCCCAAGCTTCCAAAGGAGCAGCCAAAAAACACCTCAGAAGCAATCATGCAAACATACAAATCCAAGTCGATATCGATATCTGATCTCTTCACAGAGCCAGCGCCCAAGGCAGTTACCGTTCAGCAGGTGTGCGTTGGCTCCCAAGGGCTTGTTGCACTTCTTCGAGTCATGAGAGCATGTGCACGTTGGATCGGGAATCCCACTAGCCAAGAATCGCGACGGATCAGTGCACATAATTGCTCAAGGCACATCGCCTTCCCATAGACCAGTTGCGCCGCAGCGTGCTTCACAGGCACTCGGCTAGATGTGTTGAGAACCAAGCCAGTTCATTACAGGAGCTAGTCAGCTAGTCGCAGGTAGTCCATGCCTGTCCATGCCTCCAGGCTCTGGGACAAGCGCGTGCGCATTTCGAACCTGGAATACCGAAGGGAGCGGTTGAGACTGGGGCAGCTACGCTTTCGTCCTACAGATGCCGAGCTACGTGTGGCAGCCTCAGCAAGCTCCAACTGTGCCCGAGGTGGCAATCGGTTCAAGGTGGTCCTCCGAAAGGTGCCGTTGCACAACCTGGAGGCCTTCAATCCTGCGTCAAGACTACACTGCGGCGAACTCTTCCAGATGCTGCGCTGTGGCCGTCGCGAGGATGTCTCGCATGACTCGTCCACGGGTGGCAGTGCTCGGGCCGCACAAGCCACTTCTGGCACCAAGCAGCAGGGTTTGGAGCCGTGTGCTGGTGGCCACTTAAGTCATGAGCATCTACAGAGGTTACCGCGACTACAGCATGATAAACAAAATAGCTCTGGTTGCAAAGACTGTGCATGCTGTGCGGCGTTTCGACTGTTGAAGGCATCGGCGAGGACAAATCGAAGAGCATCGTTAGCTGGAAGCCTATGATACTTGACCCGGGCCATGTGCCTCAGCAGCCTTGCTGAGGCAGAGCCTTTGTCAACGCACAGCGAGGCATGCAAGAGCTGCAGCAACTGCATTATGGTTCCAGGCAGAACAGACGGAAGATGACGGAAGGCTGTAACTTGTTTTTTGTTCGCGAGGCTTCTTGAACTATTTCGGCCTCCAGCGGTTTGGAACCCGTCAAGTCAGGACCCACAGAGTAGCTGGCTCAGCTTCTGGCTTCATGCCATGTTCAGCTTCAGATGCCGAACCCAAAGCTGCAGACAGGTCGGTGCTGCAATCATAGCCGGTGAATGGCAGAAGGCGCGGTTGATGAAGTTGCATGAGGCTGTGTTGCATGTGGCCGAGAGGGCTCCCTATCTTATTGACCCAAGTTTGCAAGGAAGATTCTGCTTTTGCTCCTCCATCCCCCGATGCGACTCACGGTCAGCCTTTGTCTCGCGATTCCCTTGCATGATCTCCCGTCCCTGGCCTGACATACATCCCGGCAAAAAGGCGGCTAAAGTCTCTCAACACTGCATGCAACGTTGAGTCTGCAACACAGAACACACTGCAGAACACACCGCAACCCACCCCCCAATTACTTGTACCAAAAGGAAGTGATTTGCGTTGCGCCTCCACATTAGCCATCCCTGTAGCCAGCCTAGCCTTAGGCCTGTTGCCTTGTTTTGCTTTTCCAACCTCTCTCCCCCAAGTTGTGGAGTAAGCACTGTGCCGAGGCTGTGCGACTGATCCTTGGTGCTGATGAGTGCTGCAGTGTCGCAGCCCATGGACATGCTGTCGAACAGAGAATGCGGCCAAACATCTCTGAACACGCTAGGCAGAGGCCAGCACTGCGCAAAAGCGACCAAGCGAGGAGGCTAGAGATGAATGTCTGCTTGTCTGCTTTCTTCGCGCATCAGAGCAAGCACTATAATACAGGCGCTCGATCCTTCAAAGCGTCAACGCTGCATCGAGAGCGAAGACACTGAGATGCCTGCTGCCTTTGTGAGTATCCAAGTTTCTCTTCACCTCCGGATGCGCGGGCTGCGCTCTTTGCTGCCTTTCCAAAGTTTCCAAAGGAGCAAGAAACGAAGGAGTTGGCAACACAGGGCCAGCAATGCGAGGAGGGGCTGTGCAACTTGTGGCATTGCGATGCAGCTGCCTGCCTTGAGACATGGAATTCGGAATGCAAGGGAATGCCAGTGTTCAAGCGTGCTCAATCATTTCACAGGCCAAAGGAAAGAGCACGGGTAAGGGCGGTAAGGGCCAACAAGTGGCCGCCGGGGTCCAAGACGGCATTTGCCAAATTGTATTTGTTGCAGTCATTGCCAAGTAGCACCCGAGGTCTTGGAAGCGCAGCGCCTCTTCCTGGTATCAGGCTTAGCTCGGCTCACTCTGCGGGCAGGAGCTGCACTGCTGTCGCCCTCTCAAAATCACACAGGATGGGGATCCTCAGCGTGCGCTGGAGGTCATGTATCGGTCTCAGCACATAATGTGAGGCAATGGGTGGCTACATACACTAACCTTGCTTGCATTGGGCTTTCCAGACATTCCACACACTTTCGCTGCATTACAGTAGCGCGCTGATCAGGCCGCGAAGCTTGGGTCTTAGATGGTCTGCACAGTGGCAACTTGGAAGACCAGAGGAACATGTCTTGTCATGCAAGCAAACCAGACATTTTGCTATTGCCAACCCGATGTCTTCGAGATTCTCCGAGTGCTCTTGACGGCAAGCCTTTGTCAGGTCAGCATTTGGAACGCTGCCTTCTTGGTGCCCTCGCTCGTGACTTGTCCTATGCCATTGCCACGGCCGTTACTTATACCCACACATGTGCATCAGTTTTGATGCTGTAACTGAAGGTAGATGCCTTGAGCCAGTTGCCACACCAGGCAGCAGACACCTTGGATTCCTTGGTTGTGTTCTCTGGAGTCTCCAGTCGCGATGTTTTCAAGGTCTCGCTGTACGCTCACGCAGCCCAAAGCTTGTTGTGGAACGCTGTCCTATCCAGGAGGACATCCTGCAAGTTCCTGCAACTCGCAAAGCTTGCCATCTTGCCCTTGTCCAGGATTTGCGAATTCGGACGACAACCTCGTGCTGGTCGACCTTCCAAAATTTGGAAAAGTTCTGCATCTTGTGGAGACCGCTGCGATCAGCTTCAGATGCCAGTCACAGCCTGCAAGTAGGAAATAATCGCTGTGCCATTGCGTGGCCCCAACTCAATGCGCTGTTCCAGAGGGTATACCTACTGTGCTCCGGACCATAACGAGCAATGCTGACTCAGAGACGGAACGTGTCTGTGCGCGTGCGCTTGCGCGTGCGCGCGCGCGCGCGGGCATGCGTGCGTGCGTGGGTGGGTGTGGGTGTGGGTGTGGGTGTGGGTGTGGGTGTGGGTGCGGGTGTGTGTGTGTGTGTGTGTGTGTGTGTGTGTGTGTGTGTGTGTGTGTGTGTGTGTGTGTGTGTCTGTGTGTCTGTTCGGTGTGTCTGTGGTCTGGTGGTCTGTGTGGCTGTGTGGTCTGTGTGTCTGTGTGTCTTGGTGTCTGTGTGTCTGTGTGTCTGTGTGTGGTGCTGTGTGTGTCTCTGTGTGTGTGTGTCTCTGTGTGTGTCTCTGTGTGTCTCTGTGTGTCTCTGTGTTATGTGTGTCCTGGTGTGTGTCTGTGTGTCTCGTGTGTCTTGTGTGTCTCTGGTGTCTCTGTGTGTCTCTGTGGGTCTGTGTGTGTCTGTGTGTGTCTGTGTGTGTCTGTGCGTCTCTGTGTGTCTCTGTGTCTCTGTGCGTCTCTGTGCGTCTCTGTGTCTCTGTGCGTCTCTGTGCGTCTCTGTGCGTCTCTGTGCGTCTCTGTGGGTCTCTGTGTGTCTCTGTGTGTCTCTGTGTGTCTCTGTGTGTCTCTGTGTGTCTCTGTGTGTCTCTGTGTGTCTCTGTGTGTCTCTGTGTGTCTCTGTGTGTCTCTGTGTGTCTCTGTGTGTCTCTGTGTGTCTCTGTGTGTCTCTGTGTGTCTCTGTGTGTCTCTGTGTGTCTCTGTGTGTCTCTGTGTGTCTCTGTGTGTCTCTGTGTGTCTCTGTGTGTCTCTGTGTGTCTCTGTGTGTCTCTGTGTGTCTCTGTGTGTCTCTGTGTGTCTGTGTGTCTCTCTGTGTGTCTCTGTGTGTCTCTGTGTGTCTCTGTGTGTCTCTCGGTGTGTCTGTGTCTAGTGTGTGTCCTGTGTGTGTCTGTGTGTGTCTCTGTGTGTGTCTGTGTGTGTCTGTGTGTGTCTGTGTGTGTCTGTGTGTGTCTGTGTGTGTCTGTGTGTGTCTGTGTGTCTGTGTGTGTCTGTGTGTGTCTGTGTGTGTCTGTGTGTCTGTGTGTGTCTGTGTGTGTCTGTGTGTGTCTGTGTGTGTCTCTGTGTGTCTCTGTGTGTGTCTGTGTGTCTCTGTGTGTGTCTGTGTGTGTCTGTGTGTGTCTGTGTGTCTCTGTGTGTCTGCGTGTGTCTCTGTGTGTCTCTGTGTGTCTCTGTGTCTCTCTGTGTGTCTCTGTGTGTCTCTGTGTGTCTCTGTGTGTCTCTGTGTGTCTCTGTGTGTCTCTGTGTGTCTCTGTGTGTCTCTGTGTGTCTCTGTGTGTCTCTGTGTGTCTCTGTGTGTCTGTGTGTGTCTGTGTGTGTCTGTCCTGTCTGTCCTGTCTGTCCTGTCTGTCCTGTCTGTCCTGTCTGTCCTGTCTGTCCTGTCTGTCCTGTCTGTCTGTCTGTCTGTCTGTTTGTCTGTTTGTCTCTTTGTCTCACTTTGTCTCTTTGTCTGTCTGTCTGTCGGTCTGTCTGTCTGTCTCTGTGTGTGAGTGTGTGAGTGTGTGAGTGTGTGAGTGTGTGAGTGTGTGAGCGTGTGTGTGTGTGTGGTGTGTGCGCTTGGGGCTTCACAATTCTGATACTCATGCTATGACGATTTGACACGGCAATAAAAATGGACTGGTGTAGTGTAGGTGTTTGTTTCTCAGATTCTGAGAACGAGACTCATGAATCTTTCATTGTCATTGTACCTTTATTTTTCGATCAAGAAGTATGTGTGCTTAGACTCGATTTGGGCACAAAAAATAGTTGAATTAGTCGCAAAAGGGACTTTTCGAGGGCCTGCTTTGTGGGCATGTCCGACCGGTACAAACAAGGCGCTTGCCACGTGTGAGGGGAGGTGATCATGGAATTCATACTGACATGTGCTGTGCAGCAATTTTGCCTGACATGCGTGGGACGGCGCTTTCTCACAGAGTGTTTGGACAATCTTTTTTGGTGATGGGTGCTTGAAAAAATGGGCAATGAGAGCATGTTGCTAGATTTGCTAGGGCTACGTGGCAGATATGCCAGGAGACCTTGTGATGGCCGACCATTCTGGCAAGGTATCTGCCCTGCTTGCCACAATGGGGAGGCTGTCCAAGGTCATCTGCATGCATTGTGTTTGGGAGGCCCTCCACGATTTGCCGGGCACAGTGGACAGCTTGCTGAAGCTTTCGTTGTGTTGGCGTTGGCTGCAGCAAGACCAACCTTTAGACCAAACCTGTGTAACAGCTACTCTGTGTGGATTCCGATGTGCTTTTTCTGACATGTGGCATAGGATGCGAACGAAGAGCACCTCTTCGATGAAGCTGGGGAGCAGGAGAGCAAGTTGCCTGGTTTTCAAGCCTTTGGATTACATGATTTAATTGGCTTGCAGTCGTTTTCTTTCTCTGCAAAGAAATTCGGCTCAAGTGCCTTCGCAGCAGTGGGAGGAAGCCAGCGTGAAGCTCAGCGACTTAATTAGTGAACAGTTTGGTTGCGCGATGCTGGACAAGCGCAAGCGTACCTTTTCCATGCCACGGGATTTCTGCATCAGGCATGGCAGCCAGGCCTACCGTTCATGCGGTTAGCTTTGGCGAGCCCCCGGATCCCACGAAAATCCAGACATATCCTGGAGTTGCTCGACGCGCCTCGGCTTGCCTTGTGTATGAGATCCGCGATGCTTGGACTGCCGCGGCGGCTGTTGGTTGTGCAGGCTATCTTCCCCACGAAGCATTGGTCATCTACAGGCCGGGGTTGTTGATAAGATGTTACGTATGTCTTTTCTCGCGTTTCAACACAGCTGAAATGGATACAGGGAGAAGATATATTCGGAGAGGAAGGCCGGCAGCCGATCGTGAGCAGGTTCCACCACCAGGGCTTGTTGTGACGTTCTGTGGCCGTGCAGGCCTACCAAACGCCGTCTGGAGCTCGCTGGTTCAAGGATACAGATTTATGCCAGACGTCAGATGCTCTCAAGCAGTCGGAAGAGCCAAGCTTGCTTGCGGACTGCGCATTCTGCTTGTCAGGAGCACAGACGCAAGCAGCGAGACATGGAGAGGGTCGAGAAGCAGATCAAGGATTTCAGGGAATCTCGCAGGCCACGCATGCCTTGCAGACGCACACGCATGTTTAGAGTGCACATGCCACCGAGCCTAGCAAGACCCTGAGAATGCAAACATGCATGCCGTATACCGCCATCACAAGGCTTCAAGTAAACAATGGTGTCGGGAAAAGGGCTGCTGTTACCTGCAACCCGCCCCGCGAGACTGGGAGGCAACCAAGCTGTTCTGCCCACAGTGAAGCAATGAGTCAATCCTCTGCATGTCCCCGTCCCCCATGGAGACAGAGGGGCTCAAGAACGCTCAAAACAATTTCATTTTCATCAGTTTGCAGCTCTTATTCTGCTCAGAGCTGTCCAGGCAGTTTGCGCGAAGCCTTTCGCTGCCTAGCATCTCAGCGAAGGAGCAGTGAAGGCACTTGAGAGGTGGCTCAGCAGAGGTGGTGGAAGCCGAAGCTGACAGCTGCAACGAAACAGAGAGTGCGAACTGCGCTTGCCATAGCCGACGCTGGCATCTGTTTAATGCAGGCTGCCGTGCCAGCAGCCCGCTGCATTCTTTCTGCAGGGGTGCGATCAGCAAAGCTGAGGATGGTGACCAGCCAGGCCACAAAGTGGCAGAGGCGTCTCACTTGACCCTGCTTATTCCAGTTGAGAGAAAGGATGAAAAGAGCTTAAAGAGCCTTGGAATGCTTGACGCACGTACCGCGGCAAGGTACGTATGTGATTCGTGGTGGATGCAGTCCGGCATACTGGTTGTTTATCTCAAGTCAGGCTTCTAGTCCCCCTAGAAGCTTGCGTGGAAAAGGACAGCTAGTTGGGAGGCGCTCATGACGAATGCGTTGACTGGGGCACCCAGTCCCTTCCGTGCAACCAGCCTGCTACAGCGGTTGCGGCAATCTTTCAAGATAGAAAGATCTAGACGAGATAGCGAATCAGCCTGTAGCACCACGGACAGCAAGAAGGACTGCTCCAAGTGGTCACTTCCTCGATATGGGACTTTGCGCAGATCTTCTTCCAAAGGACCACCTCCGACGCTGCTGGCAGCCCGCCGAGACACCAGCCCACATCCACATGACAGTTATGACAAAGAGGCACACGAGCCGACAAGGCTGGATGCTCAGACCACCTGAATCAGCCTCTGATAGACAAGACATGTGTCCAGCACTGAATTTAGTCAATGTGGTCCTCCTAGTTCTCACATTCCCTGAATATTCCCTGAGCCCTGAAGGCCTGCCACGGGCATTGCAGTGCGGAGCTGTCGAAAGCCACAGGTCCACTTTGCCTCCGTAGATGGCGATCACGAGGCACCGCAGCGGCCGCAGCGTGATGCGAACATCCAGCGGAAAAGTCGAAGAACCAGGACGATACACACCTGGTTAGGTGCAATGCTAGATGTCTCTGAGGGTGGACTGGATGCCATGATCGAGCCCATCTCACCACTGCCATCTGCGAGGTCTTCGCGATCCCTGCGACCACCAGCAGGGGACAGCTCTGCCCGAGCAGTTGGCTTCTGCAGCCCGCCAACCAGCCCATCATCTGATGCAAGCACAAGCATCATAACCCTACTGAGGGAGTATTTCTTCACAAACGTGGACTTCGATGGCTCCGGCCACCTCTCACGGCAAGATCTCTTTGACCATATTCGAGAACTGATAGAAAAAGATTCTGGCAAGCTTCTATCGAACGATGATTTGGAGCTGCTGGGTGAGGTGGAGAGATGTCGGTTCTCAGAAATGGACTTGGGTCTTCAAGCACAAGAGGGCCTGGGTGTTTCTGAATGGGTGCATTTCATTATGCTCCGGGCATCAGCTCCCAGCCATGTAGCGGCAAAGCACCTGAATCGAGACCTTAGAACGGCTTTGGAAGGTGAACCGGAACTGCTCAAACGACTACATACGACCTTCGAGGCAGCAGATTTTGAGGGTGACGGATTGCTACGCAGTGACGCGTGGCAGTGCGCCTTTGAGCCTCTTGGGGTAGAGGCACCACAACAGGCCGATTTCGACCGAGAAGAAGATGGCTTGGCAGGGGCACTCAGTTCACTTGGCTTTCACAGAAAATATGATTTTTCGCGTTAAATTGTCTTGGGTGATTTCGTGCCGTCAAACGAATAAGCAGATGTCAACGCTCGTGCTTTCACGCTTTGCCACTAGCTGGAAGGCTACTACGAGTTTGTGGCTCACGCTCTGGGCCTGAAGGCGTCGGTTGTGGAGCTTGCCCTGTATGACCTCTCAAAGGGCGTGGCTCAGTGGGTTCCTGCGTCGCTGCTCGGAGGACACACCTTTGACGGCGTGTGGCATTCCGGGATACGTGTGTTTGGCAAGGAGTTCTGGTTTGGCGGCGTGATCTTGGAGTCTGAGTTCGCCGATGTGCCTTTTGGTGCACCGACAAAGGTTCTGAGACTGGGAACCACGCTTCGCACACATGAAGACTTAGTGGAGTTTCTGAAGGAGGACGTTTACGTTGACTACAACCCAAAGAGTTACGATGTTTTGCGGCGCAACTGCAATCACTTTTCCAATGAACTGGCGCAGTTCTTACTCCATGGCAAGCAGCTCCCTGAAGAGGTGCTCTTGCAGCCAGAGTGGGTGAAAAGCGCCCTTCTGGTCAGCATGTTGAATCCAGCCTTGAACCGTTGGCTAGGTGGATTTGGTGATGCCTTGGCAGGTGGATATAATGGAGACTTGAGGGCACCGCAAGCTGTCAGTCGGATTGACGACATGACCGAGGAGTGGCGACACCGCCTTCAGGTAGGGGATCTGGTCATGCATCGACGGCGCTTCATCGATCGACCACGTGTGGCCCGCTTGCTGTCCATCTCCAACCCGGACGAGTGTGGACGGCGTGTGGCAGAAATTAAGTTTTTGAGGCCAACAGCCGTTGAGAGATGGGAGGATCTCTCAATAGAGTCGCCTCCTTGGGCTTGGGAAATAGTGAGAGAGTCGGATGTACCTCTTCGTCAGTTCTATCCAGTCCTCGAGGATTCGGAAGGCGGCGCTCGCATCCTCAGAGCTGGCATGGCCATCCGAGACTCAAGAGCACGGCAGGTCCTTCAGAGATCTCGCGAGTTTCCGGCACATCCGGTATGTGCCAAGGGGCACCCTCTCAAGCATCAGGAGGGCCATTGGTGGGCTACGCTCCCTGCATGTTCAATTTGTGCAAGCAGCTTGCAAAGGACAGAGCCACCACTTGTCTGTGCTCAGTGCAGTTTCGCCCTTTGTGCACGGTGCTGCGATCATGCTTCGCAGATGCCGTCTGGCGGTGTCTTCACCGACATGTTGACTCCGGAGCTTGCCAAAGCATTGCTACAAGAAGAGTGCTGGTTGGCATTCAAGTCTCGGTCTTACTTCTTTCGGGCAGATCATCATTCAACTGGCGCAGTGGACAATACGAAGATCGGTCGAGTAGACGCCCGCCTGGCTGCTGAACTTAGAGTCAAGCCATTGGCCGAGAGCGAGATCTTGAAGGAATTGCATCGGCTGACACCAAAGAGCGAGAAGAAGGCCTTGCAATTGAATGAGGCGAGCTTCCAGGTTTTTTTCACCGCAGCGCTTTCTCGTGGCCTCGCGCTTCTGGCTTCTGGAAAAGAGTGGCGGCCATGCAAGCGCAAGCGCTGCAAACCGCGAGACCGGACGCACAGGGCAACTGCAGCTGAGATTGAAATCCACTTGCCCAAGGCAGCGGATGGATGCTAATTCGTGCGGCTTACAGCCTTTGTCCATCTTTGTTTCACCCAAAAACACTGGCACTCTCCGGCGCTGTCCAAGAGGAGACTGTTGAGCCTGAGGCCCCTGCAAGATACGTACAATTGCATCTTGGACAGCCTCGGTGCCATGCATGTTTAATACCATGCCAGTATTACGCTTGAGGCTGCTGGCTTCTGATCGGAATCAAGCAGCTGAGGCGAGATGCCACAAGTGACACCTGCTGCCTGGGATGCCGTGCGAGATGCAGAGCAGAATATATGTTGAATGTTTTATAAAGACTTCAGGGGGACGACACTCTTTTGTTTCATGCCTGCATCACAGCGCGGCTGGCATGTGGAGACTACAAATAGCTCCACCAAATCTATGTACAGAACACGCTAGTGCGCATTATGAGCTTGCTTGTGCAGTTTTAGTGTGTTCTTAGATGCTCTGGTCAACTACGTGTGTAGATGTGTTGGCTTTGTCCGAATGCACCAAACTGCGCAAGTCTCTAGCAAGTTCAACCCATACCGCCACAAGTCATCGTGAAATGCCAGCCGCATCGTGCGAATCGATTGGCAAGGCATATGGCCAAAATTTGGAAATTCAAGTATATCCAAGTGCTAAATCAGGACGACTTGTCGGAAGACGACCATGAGACGCAAAGCCTGCCAAGTGTGCCCGGTTCTTAGTCCCTAGTAAGTGGAACACTTGCCTCGATCCCGTGAACACTTCTGACGGAGCAAAGGGGCAAATACAGGCGGGCGCTTTCGGGTGAGGATGTCTCTTCGGCGAAATTGACTGTGGCTGCCTCAGCCTGCTCGTCCATTGGAGGCTGCCATTCAGAATAACTCCAGCATCTGGAATCATCATAGGGTGCGAAGCTCATGATAACAGAATGCTTCCATCGGCCAATCAGCCGCAAGCATGAGCCGACAAGCCCCTGCAATGCCCTGCAATCCTTTGCTGGCTGCATCTCAAGACAGCTGGGGCCACGAAAAACGCGAACGTCTTGAACAATTCTCCGAAACAGTGTGCCGCCAGTCCTGCTGTCATCGAGGACATCATGCTTCCTCTGCCTGGCTCTGATGCGGTTGCCTTTGAGAGTTCGATGTGCCTTGTGATCGAAGGTGTTTCTCGCAACACATGCTGTTCCCCTGTCGTTTCGTACGAATCAACAGGTGGTGTACCCTGAGTACCTCCAGCAAGTGTACGAGGAGCACGACTGTGACTAGGTGACTAGCTGGCCGCAGCTGGCCAATCAAACACCCAAATAAGTTGCGCCTACATGCAGATTGTGGTTCTGTGGACAGCATGCGATGCGCACTCTTGCAGACCACTGGTGTCACGAGAGATGTTGTATGCAGGAAATGTCAGTGAGCTTGTTGGGACTTCCCCTTGCTGACTTTGCATCCTGCAAACTTGTACCGTCAGATCCCTAAGCTTGTTGTGTGTCAAAACACATTCTCGCTTCTCTCTGCTTCTTCAAGTAGCTGCAATGCACTGAGGCTGAAGGGCTCGTACCGCAACGCCGTGGTCTGCTACGGGCCAAGAGGCAATGCATAGCACAGTGCAAAACAGCGCCGGAAAGCCCAAGGTCCTGAAAGCCTCGAGTGGCATTCCATTGCGCCGGACAGCAGAACCTGCTTTTGATTTTGCATAGCCGAGCTCTAACGTGTTCTAACTTTATCGGTTAGATTGATTAGAGCTCTGCTGCTGGTGGATGGCCGGAGGAGCTACTGTCAACATCAGCATGGACCTTGGATCATGCTCTGTTGTTCCACCCCGCAGGTATTGTGGTAGAAGGTTTTTTTCGTACATACGGTTGAGGCGCAGCTGAGTGCAAGCAGCTGCAGGGCCACTGAGGCATTAGTTGATAGCGACGTGGCCCAACTTCTGCGGGACAGGCCTTTGAATGCTGAGCCTGGGCCTGAAAAGTCACCACGGAGCAATTGGATCCAATTGGCGCATGGCTTGTCCTTGCTGCTTCGGGTCGAAATGGATTGTATGGCAACCATCCCACGATTGAGAGTCTTGAGGTTGAAAGAAGGCGGAAGCGCAGCGAGCGCATCAAATTCCGGGAGCGGAGCGCCGACAGATCCGGAGACGAAGACTTAGAAAGTGCGAGTACTGGTGGGAATTTGCAAACACGACCATGAATTGCCGTGCCTTCTGGCAGGTCTGCAGTATGGGTCATGGGTCTTCAGGTGTTGTCGGTGAACTATAGAGAAGTACTGGAGAGTCGGTCCGAATGGGACCACAACGAAGCAGCGTACAGGGCGCTTGGATTCATAGGTTCATAGTGCAAATAGCATGCAGCAACGTTTCTCACACACAGACATTTGCACGATTCTGCTCGCATCATCGCTCAGTTTTTGATGCTGGAGGGCTACTACGGTTGAACGCATGCTAGCAGCAGTCTGCCGAGGCTTAGCAAGTGCAAAGATCTGCAAGAAGCTGGTACGGGAGTCAAGTTCTCAGAAAGCCCTAGTCATGAGAACTTTCACATCGAGTTTGCTTGATGTGAAATGAATGGAGGTATGTCGGCATTGGAAGCAGTTGCGATGCACGATGTCGTAGGTAGGCCGGTTCAGGCATGCCCCAACATGAGCAAGGTGGATTGGTGGATTGGGAGGGGCATCACGGGGCATCGTTTGGCAAGCACAACCCCGAAAGATCCAAGTACAACGTAGAACACATATGTCGTTCATCATTGTTATACTCTCAATGTGCGCCTGCACGGACATGCCGCCACAACACTAGAAGGAGGCCGAGGGGAAACTTTACCCAAAGATTTGGGATCATTTGGGATTTCCAAGGAAGCCTAGGGCACCACCAGATTGCAAAACTATTGCAAAGCTCCCAGCGACAATGTGTGTGATTAACTGTATTATGACTCGACCACTTTAACCTTCCGCACACCTCGCTCGAGTTGTTCCAAGGCAGTAATGTTCAGCTGCGTCCTTCCGCCATCATCCTACCTGCGCCTGCCTCGGCAGAAGTGTGCATTACTTACTTGCAGCCTTGGTTAAACAAGGACGATGCTCTTGAGAGAGGTCATGAAGCAAATCACCCCTCCACCTGGTGGCTGAACAAGGGCGCCCGAGTCGGCCATGCTTTGAATGGGAAGGGGAGCGATTGAACGTTCGTAATCAGACAGAGGAGGGTCCATGTACGAACACAAAGCAGATGACGAGAAAGCACGTACCTAAGCTGCTGATGCTGAGAAATGTAGGGAGCAAGTGTCGACGCGGCGGAACACCTGCTGCCCTCGGCAGCTTAGCAGGTCCCTTAGGCCCATACAGGCCCAAAGCTTCAACTCGGAGAATCGGCAGAACATCGCCTATGTCACGCTACGGGGAAAATGCAAGATGGATTCACCAGCTTGCTGAAGCCATGCTTGGCACCCTGATGAACCGTGCTGAGTCTGCTAACGTGGAGGAGTTGAGGCATGACCTCATGATATCTGTACTCGATCTGACTCGGCTGCAGGCCGTCGCAATCATGAGTGCAATAGTCAGGAACCCTTGTGAACTAGCATAGCAGACTGGATGACACAACTGCACAATGCTTCGGCATGGATTGCAGCATCATTCAGGCAAGAGCATTTCGAAAGCTGTTATTTTCTGCTGTGGCCGCGCCATGTCGGAAGCACCGTCCGTCACCAACGGGGACATTGGAAGCCAGGCATGCCAGACAGACCAGCCAGGGCAGTGCGACAAGTGCGACTTGGAACAGTCGATGGAGGGAAAAGGGCCACCAGGGCAGGAGGGCATGGAGGGTAAGCCGAAGCCCAAGTCAGGAGGCCTCCCAAAGAATCGCAAGAATCCAAACGCTCGGCCAAAGAGACCTGCGAAAGCAGCCGCAAAAGCGGCAACTCGGCATGATGGACCAGTTCGGCAAGGCCCCCAAGGCTTTGGACCGGAAGTCTCCCTACGCCCCCAGCCTTTCTTGGAGAGTGGGCTGGTGCCCCCTTGGATGCACCCTTGGGGGCCTTGGCCACCACCTGGCATGATTCTAGGCCTCCGTCCGTTCTCTCAGGTGCAGCATCCCGCAGCAGACCTGACCTTTCGACAGTGTGCAGGTTCGCAGCCACAGGGCTCCAAACCATCACATCCAACACAAGCTCTGCAACACAGCCAGCCAAATCAGCTGCAGCAGCGCCTGTGGCACCAGATGGCCATGAATAGGGGGCTGCGAGATGCGCTGTCATCTCAAGCTTGCCCAGCTCGACAAGCACCTCCCTCGTCTATTTGGGACGTGTTCATTGATAATAACTGTGATCCCGGTGAATCGCGAAGCTCCAGGGGTTCTTCCTACCCGCAGAAAGCTATGGAGGACTTGCTTAAACCGTACCTGGTCGCATCAAGCATGATGCGAAAGGACACGCTCACAAACTGCGAAGCTGCTTCAGAATGCAGCACTGCAGATACTACTACCACTTCTTGGATGGCCTTCCATGCAGATGAAGCAGCTTTGGCCGAAAGAATCGCGGCCGTCCTCATGGATCGTGAGAGTGCTAGCATTCCGGGCTCTGATGTGCTGCCATCAGCCCCACAAGGCTCAGATCTTCAATGCCAGAAGTCATGAGCTTCAGGAGCAGCACTGCCTCTCTGATGTGTGCCTAGATTCGTGAATGTGTGTCATATCGGCACCTTCGATGGTTGGCATCGACCTCCATGCCGAAGTGCAACTTGGTTGCAGTGTGGTGCAAAATTCCTGTGCCTCAAGTCAGACTCGGCCATGCCAGGCATGATCGACATACTCAAGACTCGGCGACTTTGTGAGACGAAGCGTGCAGGAGTTATTCTAATAGTAGTTGCGTGTCACCATGCTAGAACATGTTAGAGCAACGCCGTAATTTTAGTTGCTCGTGTTTCAGACCCATCAAGAGACTGCAGACAGATAAGAAAGCTCCTCACTGCTCACTCCTCTGACTGCTTTGGGAAGGCTAGGTCGCAACCTTTCTCATGTTCAAGAAGCCAGGAGCCTGACAGGAAGGATGGGCGCAGGGAACAGATCTGGTGTGGTAGCCCTCGGTAGACGAGTTGATTGGTTGGAAGCTACCGTGTAGCTTATCGCTGGTCATCAGGGTGGCTTGTATATGGTGGTGGGCTCACCCAGCTTGCTTCGGCTCGACCTTTCCCCAGTGCCCTTTGGGAGGCAGGCCACTGGGAGGACTGCGCCACATGCCCCACTCGACCCCCACAACTATGTGCAAGCTTGGCTCCCTTTGAGTCACCATTGGCTCGCGATGACGCATGCAAGATCCACTCTCTCATCGTTAAACGCGTCATGTTGCCATACCCCGCCTTGAGTGTTTAGCTTAGCGCTCTTGGACTGTTCTGCAAATGCTGTTGCACCTCCTGCTTCTCTAGTCATCGTGTACATGCTTTCCCAGAAGAGCCACGCAGCAGTTTTTTTCGAAATATTTCCTCTAATCCAATGGAGACTTTAGTTGAGCTTTGCAAGTTGAGAACATGCTCGTGTCCTTGATGATCTTGTACCGGACCAGGTTTTCATGTCCGGTTTCTGTCGTTTTGACTCGAGTACTTGAGCTTGTCGATGGACATTCCGTTAACAGCTATGCGAGAGGCATACGTGCAGCAACACAATGGAATTCATGCGGCAGAGCAAGGACAACGGCCGGCTTCGAAACATGAGTGGACAAGAAAGGTCTCCCATGCATGCAGACGCTGACTAAACCATTCTTTGCAGATGCTAGCCGGGCAGGCTGGACGAGCATGCTCATGCCGTGTGCGTCGTATGCGGAAGCATGACTACTTTGTGGTTGCTTTCATCTGGTCCGTGTACAGTCCTGGCAAGTGCTTGTTTGTAGGCCCCGCGCAGACTTCGTCGCCGAAGAACTCTGTCCCAGCCATAGAGATCGGCTTCTCAAAGCAGCATGCTGCAACTGCGTTTCACAAGACAACTGCTGGAACAAGCCAAGGACCGTCCTGCGCTCCTACAGGCGAACAGTACTGAAGGAGTTGGTGGCAGGCGCAGACGGCAGAAACCATCATGTAAAATGCTGATTACTGCGAGCGACAGGATTGGGTTCCATTCGACAGGTCTCTTGGACGCCTTTGGCATGGTTGCGGTGGGAATACTCGAGCGGGCTTGTGTCTTTTCACGGTTAGTCAAAAAAAATGGAAATAAGGCCGGAAACGGGCACGGGACTCTGGCCGCGAAACCATGTGGAAGGGCTGACGGAAGCACGTGTAAGCGGAAGCTCTCGCAGAACAGATACGTTGTGCACTGCGTAGCTATTCTACAGCAACAAGGCTGCTATAGCAAGCAGTACACTTACTACGACACTACGGCTCGAAAGCAAAGCGAGGGGTCTTCCGCGACGGTTGACGAAGACACAAACTCGGAAGCTCTGCGGAAGCGCGGCATGCTGGACGTCGAGGCCTCTAGCTCCGGAAGCTCAGCCGCACCGATTTCATACTCTACTAAAACCCTACGACAAACCTACAGAAGCAGAAGCAAAAGTTCCCCCCGTAAAAAAAAACAGAGCACACAAAAAGTGAGCTCTCGCGGAAAGCGTCCACGCAAGAACCAGTACTGAAGGGTTCCGAGGGTTCTTACTTCAACCATTACACCAGCGAAGACCCCGTGCATATTGGCTTACCCCGAGACTTCGAAGGTATCAAATATACGGGAATGACAAAGACAAGCAGCCCAGGAAGCCGGCCGAGCCATCCGGCTAGGTCGGAATTCTTAGAAAGAAACAGGAAACCCTACAGTAAACTGTTTGGGGGCGGGGAAATCATACAGAGTAAATAACACGGCTCATTCGGCTTTCAGTCTTCTCAAACCTCAACTTAGCCCTCTAGCCCCACCCTCAACTTTGTGATGATAGCTCTAAAGCCAACTCTCCAGAATCCGCTTACTCACCTCTCTCGCCTCTCTCAAGCTCAGCTCTCGCAATCGCCGTGCAGATCATCAGAGAAGAACTGGATCGGGAAAGCAACGCCAGCGAAACTGCACCCGCCTCCAGCATCTCCATATGTCCAGGGAGGCCACGTTGCGGACGGTGCCTGGGTAGATGCTGTTAACTCTGCAAGGAGGATGAAGAGGAAGATGATGAAGGCACTGCGCGTTTGCTTGACTACCCCAGTTGCATGTACTTGCCCTGGGCCAGATGGAGAAGAGTGGAAGCTCATCATATGTGTGCGCAACGTGGGGCCCTTGGCACTTGCACAAAGTTAACACCGCGCACCCGATGTGCAAGATCACTTAGGATCTCAACATGTCCATCGGCAAGGTTGCGGCTCAGGCCACTGAGCATCACAAGAACTGCAAGTTTGGCACTTCTCCTGTGTCATTTGACATGTCTTAGAGGTCGGCCACGCCGTGCACCATTCCGTGACACATTCAGCGCCCGACCCTCACAAATCAATGCCAGTCCTAAGCAGCTATGGATGACGTTGAAGTGGCAATTATGGCAACACATTGCAATCTTGGGAGGCGGTAGTTATCTGAATAAGAGCATCCCCTTCAGGTGGCGAGATCTTAAAGATTGGGAAGAGCAGGAACCTCAGAAGGCAAGCCAAATTCCATATGGAGATGACCGCTGCCTTGACCTTTGGACCTTCAGGTCTGGATCGAAGAAGGTAACATTGAAGACGGACAGCCGCGCCCCACGCTTGCGTCGCCCCAAACTAGCGCCAACGTTTGGCGGGAATACTTGCGCCGTTCACTCCTCTTAGGCTTGCTTTGCGGGGGGCTGTGAGGTTTTTCTTGAACAGGTCGAAGGCCATGTCTTGAGTTGCCGAGGTATCCGAGGTTTTCAAGCACAAAAATGCAATGACTGAAGGGCCCTCACCCCCGGATCTAAGCATGTACACGGCCAGAAGGTGCACTGCAGCATATTCAATACTGCAGATGCACATGTATTAAAAAAAGGGCAAAAAAGACGGGGGAAGCCCTTGACTTTGAAACCGAAGCGAGCGACCCTGGGCCCAAGGGCACAATGGACCCCTTGCTTCCTCAAAGCGATCACCTTGGCGATGCTGTCGCTGCGGCTCTTCGTGCTGCTCTTCGAGTGCCACAAGCGCCACAAGCATTCTGCCCCCAATTCGCAGCTCAGCTGAAGGACCTCTCCTCTCAGTCCTGGTGGAAACAGGCTTGTCGATTGCTGGAGCAGTCCGGTGTCACACCTCATCCCGTCTATTTTGCAACGGCAATTGCAGCCTGTGCCAGGGCTGCAGCATGGGCGCAGGCCATGCATGTCTTGCACAGCATGGGCAGATTGCGAATGAGCCCCAATATAGTCGCACACAATTCTGCAATAAATGCCTGTGCGAGAGCCCGGATGTGGCAAGCGAGCCTGGCGTTCCTTGCCGCAATAACCTCCCAGCGCTTGCAACCTAGCACCGTTACTTTGAACTGCTTCATCACTGCTTGTGAGAAAGCAGCGCAGTGGCAGCATGGATTGCTCCTTCTCTCATGGGCCAACGATGTCATGTTGAGTCTTGACACGATCACCTTCAATTCGGCGCTGAGCACCTGTGAGAAAGGAAGTCAGTGGCTGCCCGCGATGAAGTTGCTTCAGTCGATGGACACGACAAAAGTTGAGATGGACGTCATATCTGCCAGTGCTGCACTGTGCGCTTTGGAACGGAGTAGCAAATGGGAGGATGTTTTGCTACACAGGCAGAACTCGTTCTCAAACCAAGCCCCTGTTGTAAGTTTGGGCATTCGTGCATTAGGCCAGGAGTCGCATTGGCAAGCGGCAAGAGAACTCCTCCGTGAAGAATACAAGCAGTCCATGCAGCCTGACGTGAAGCTTCTCGGGTGTTCTGTGTCACTGTTTGCGAAAGCAGCAACGTGGCATTTAGCACTCGACCAGTTGGATGTGGCTGCTTGCATGGATACCAAAGCGGATCACGTAGCAATTACAGCTGCTACATCGGCACATCTGTCTGCCAGCCAATGGCAGCTCCCCATGTTGTTGCTTGGAACAGCCATGTGGCGAGATGCAGCGGGTGTCAGCCTGGTGCTGTCCGGACTAGAAAAAGCTACCTGCTGGCAGATGGCAAGTTTAGTGTTCCACCAATCCCCTGCACAGCGCGTACGCCCGAGCACCGTCAGCTGCAATGCTGCGATCGCAGCAGCAAGCAGTGTAGCCTGGCAACAGTCGCACCTCATGATGTCACAGCTTCAACGACACACAGTCAAGAGTGACGCCGTGACTTTTGCATCATGCACTACCGTGGGCCCAGCGGAAGCTGCACCTGGCTCACCTGGCCTCTGGAATATATCCATGTGGATCCTCGATCAGATGAAGAGCCGTGCTGTGTGTGCGAACACTGTCGTTATCGGAACGGTCATGACTTCGCTCGAAGGACAGCAGAGGTGGCAGCAGGCTCTTGACATAGTCAGGGTTGTGGCACGAGCCCGAATGATCTTGAATGGTGTTCAAGTCGGGACACTTGCCGCCTGCATGCACCAGGCAGCCGGCCCTCGCTTTGCACGTGAATTTCTGGAAAACATGCGGCAAGTTTGGCTGGAAGCAGAAGTTTGCACAAGCAATCCGGAACTAAGAAGAACATCTCACCAGGTCATAGCAGAAATGCCCGGAATCTTCGCAATATCCAAACCATATGGCTCCGCTACTGAACAGGTTCTGAGACAGCTTCAGGGTGAGCTGAGATGCCGGCTCTCGATCGCTTCACGCCTAGACTACGGAACATCTGGCGTGCTTCCCATCGCTGTTGGCTCGGAAACATCGACCGCTACCAGGTGGCTGCAAGCTCAATTCGCCGCCAGGGTGGTTCACAAGCACTACATGTGTTTGTGCGCGGGCGACCGCCAGCTGACAACAAATGGGAGATTGAAGACTGGTATCCGCACAGTTGCCAAAGGGTTGCAGGCATGGGTTTCGGAAGTTTCGCAAGAAGGAAGCGTCGCTGTCACTGAGTATGCGGTTTGCGCCAGATACGAGGATCCTAGAAACATGGAGAACCGATTCTGCTTATTGTCCGTCCAGCCGCTGACAGGTAGGACGCACCAAATCAGAGTCCACATGGCAAGCATCGGCCTCCCCATTGTGGGTGACGCGCAGTATGGCAAGAGGGCTTTCGATACAAATTGCCAACGGCTGTTTTTGCACTGTTACAAGTTGCAAATCATGGGGCTTGATGGGCGGCTGGTGCATCTGACAGCAGAACTGCCACAAGAGCTAGAACTGACGTTGGCACAGCTGCAGTTAATTGAGGGGACCTCAGCCTTTGCGGGGCGTTCAGTCGAAAGACTCGGGAATGCAAGAGAAATGTGTCGTAGGACATGAAGGAGCTGACATCAACTCTTGCAGAAGTGATGCCGGAGATGGGAGTGTGATGCGGACGGGAGATTTCAGGCGGGGCAGGGTGTGTCGAGTCAGAGTGTCCAAGGTGAAGCAGAATTGCAGGATCTACTGCAAAAAGCGAGGTCCAAGGGCCTTCTGGCTCAGAGCTCAGCAAAATGTTCATGCCATCAGAGCTTCTCAAGAAAGCACATCAACACTCAGTGCATCTTCATTTCACTGGTGCCATGCGTTGCACGCATATGGATGTTTTGGTGCGTGTTGCGGTGCTGCTCAGTGCGGGACGGAGTCACTGGAGCGTCTGGAGCTTCGTAGCCGATAGCTCCGCTGAGCTCCACTTCAGATTTGCTGAGGCCGAGACCATTCAAGATGCTGGCCATACAGAGGACGGCAGCTGCACTGTTTCTTGCTGCTCACACATCCTAGCCGGTTTTAAAAGCAGTTTTCCTTGAAGATGATGTTGTTCAACGCAAAATGGGCCTTTGCTTGCTGCAGGGATTTGGCCTGGTATCACATGTGCTTCGCTGGAGGTGGAGCCAGGCACCACCACCGTCTTGGCCATTGGCCCTGCCCCGGCGAGGTGCAGGGGCGTATAGGGGCGTCAGTCAAATCCAGCAGACGCCGCACGAACTTTGGCTGGTCAGGCGCTTGGATGCTGTCACTGGGCATCTCAAGCCCTTGCCGGACAGGAAGGGTTTCTTCGTAAATTCTGCAGTGCCTCGGCTTCCTTCTACGTCGCTTCTTTCTAGCAGAGCGCGAGGACAGAGCACAGCAAATGGAGAAGCAACACAAGAAGCTGTTGGAACGGGCGGCGCGGTAGCTCAGCACAAAGCACTTGTTAAGCTTGTGCGCATCTTGTTGCTCATTGCAAGCAGTCGGCAGGATCGCTTGCAAAAAGAAGTGGACGAGGAAAAGAGGACAGCCGCAATGTGCGGTTGCTGCATCAGAAACAGTGCAGAAGCGGGCTCAACTTTTGCCCGGCAGGAAAACCAAGAGGCTGGTGAAGCAGCTAGGCACCTGGAACCAGCGTTTGTAAGATAGAATGCCCAGCCGTGAGTTTGCTGTACCCGACGCCCCATCCTTCATCCAAGGCTTTCTGCGTTCCGACAGTACTTGTGATGGAGAAAAAGATTTCCAAGCAACAGTGGCAATGTTTATTGCTTAGTTGGGAAGCATGGGCATGGGGAATGGCCTCCATCAATCCAGTCCGTCAATCCGAACACGTAACCATCCAAATAATCGCAAGCACTCTACGCTCTTCATAGACCGTGTGTGAAAAGAGAATTGGCTGGTTCTATCTCTAGGTCTATAGTCGAATAGTAAGTCAAAACATACAATCAATTGCATGACACTTCAATGTCCCCTTAAAAGGCCCACAAAATGAACTCTATTGCACGCGCACTGATTATCGGGGAATTA